AACACAAAACTAACTGGCGATGAGATACAACTACCCATAAACTGACCATAGTTGCTTCGGACATGGCAAAGAAAGTTGTAGCTGTCTCCTTACCATTGTATTCTTCTCGCTGGCCTTGAAGCCCATGAAACACACCGATACACCCGACATGCTGAGTGAGTAGATGGGACGCCGTGTCAGAGGCAATTCCTTTAGCAGGGAACATCAAAACCAAAGAACACGGCTGTCTCGTTTGCCTCGCATGTAGTTCACCGCAGATCATCACAATTCAACATTGCATACAAAAGAGCAATGTTTCATAAAGTCAGTTAACCATCGCACACCCCCGCCAACAAATTAATAATAGACGCCCAAAAAGGGACTTGAACCCTTGGCCCTCAGATCAAAAGTCTGATGCTCTACCAACTGAGCTAACCAGGCAGCTACATCACCACGTTACTTGCGTGCGTTCTGGCAGGTAACTAGTTGAAACTACATGTGAGTGCAGGGAGCAACGCCATCTGAGTGAAACTGGCAGCTGGTAACTTAGTACACTGATGACTTTTAGCCTTCTGCAGAGGCAGGCCAAATTTGAACGCATGCAAGCTCCCACACTCCATCCCATTCACTTTGTATCTACATGAAGCAGGTACATCTGCAATAGTCTTTGGTGGATGGCAAGGATCAGGGTAGGGACTTCAATCGAAAAACCAAATTTGCGAGTTTTGCATAAAACGCTAATTTTTCTAAACCGGGAAGATGTGAGAAACAACCTGTGAAAATTTGAACCCAAAATTCCAAGGCAATCCAGAGTTATAGTCGATTGAAGATCGGAAAACGGGGGAGAAAGTAGTCACAGAAGTAAATGCAAGTATGTATGTGAGCCGTGTGGTTTCCGTCCAGCACTGCACTATCTGGTACATATAAGGCGAAACAGGATGTGTGCATGCCATGCAGTGTGCACGCATGCCGTGCGTGCCTGCTTGCACAAGGCACACGTTTTCACCGTCACTGCTTCTACAGTGTGCGCGCAGTTCACTCGATTTTTTTCGTCTACCACCAGGAAATCGCCGTGGGCTGGTTTCTGTGATCATCTTCCTCCTACCGCGATAACGCGCGAGCCTCAATGGTCTAGAATCCTCTTGGTTTAGGCTAATTCGAGGCCGCTGAACACGAAAATCGGGTGTTCCTCGCGGGGCCGAGTACGGATCTGGTCGAAATTAGTACTTCGAAGTGCATCCGCGCCAAGCGCGGAGGCATTATTTTTGGAAGCATGGCATGTGTGGCACCATTGGAAAGGTAATGACCTCAGCTACCTAAAAATAGCATCGACAAGGCCAAAAAGGCCGCGGGAGAAGATACTCGGGCCTCGAACTGCATCTCGAACTGCAGTCACGAGGCGCCCATTCACTTTGTACAGGCGAGCTGTGACTGCACTTTTCGCTTTTCTGTGACCGGAACTGAACTCCCTAATCAGGGACTCTTTTACCATCTAAAAGGACACGACACGGGTGACCGGAGCGTGAAACGGTGTGGGATTTGCTCCTGGGCCGCCTGGTCTAGTCGTCCTGGAGGCACGGTCAACTTAGACACCTCACATATTGCATTGTTGTTCGAAGCCACAATTGGGGTCAGCAGGACAACGCTGTGATCACGACCGTGACCTGCAAAGACCACATGTGACTCCCGCGGGATTTTCAAATCCGGGGTCGAAACGCACATCATTCCGGGCACTATGGTCTCGTGTTATCTCCCTAGATGCTCAGACTCCCTGCATGGTATGGACTAACGGGTAACAGGTTACAGGGTAGGTACTCACCACCTTAGCAGCTGCACAGTAGTGAAGACATGGCGGTCCCAGGATCCTGCAATCATCAGCCAAAATGTCACATAAATGAAGGGTTACAATTTACAGCCACTGGAATCTCGATAAATGTTTCCAGTGCAGTTAATTTGTAACATGGAAAAATGTGGGCACAAGTTATGCGATCGAGTCCACCAACTAAACCAGATTTGGAACAGTCAGACGTGCACAATCACAAAATTGACAAGGAGTACTGAGATATTCCACGGCATGAAAGTCAACTTGAGCACTTCTGAGTTCTTAGTGCAGTAATTGTTAGGGATACGGGTGGGTGATATTTCCCAGGGGTTTTATGGCATTTCCCTGGGTTTCTTAGTCATTTTCCAGGGTTTCCTTGGTATTTCCTGGGTTTCTTTTGGAAAATGTCATGTGAGCTTTAGGCTGGGTAGGCGGCTCACCATCAAAACAATAGTGGGAGTCTCCCATACTATATGATCATGCCGAAATGCCACAGATGATTGACGCCGGTCGACTCACCGAACACGGCTGCTCTTCAGCGCTCTCACTCTGGCCCAAAGCTTGTCGAACAGCGGCCCGTCAAACTCGCCGCAGATGAACGCCAGATTGCAGCCACTCGGCACGCAGTCCGGTATTGCTGGCTCGTTTGTGTAGGCAATAGACAAACCTAGTGCCTGGTGTAACACAACACATGACATAGAATACAGGAGACTATTCATCAGATTGTAACTACAGTGGAACATTCATAAGACATACCCAAATGAAACCACTGTGTAGTGAAGACCAAGCTAAATTGTGGTGGTCAGTTCTTCAACGCCGTGATTAGAAGCTGCGGACTAGTGCCAAGGTGATTTGGTTCTGCTATAGCATCGCCACTATAGTCTCTGGGGGATATTGGCATCTATGGTCTAAACGGTCTGATGTGTGTGTGTGTGTGTGTATGTCTGTGTGTGCGCGCATGCGTGTGTGTGTGTATGTGTGTGTGTGTGTGTGTGTGTGTGTAGTCGCTTCAGACTTTTCATCGTGTTGCATCCTCGTTTGGTTTGTCCGTAAGTTCGTCGAAAACACAATTCATGGTAGTTGGTGTTGGTATTTCCCCGGAGGACAGGATGCCGATGGACATGGGTGGCGACAGCATTTCGTATGTTGAATCGTTTGTGTACTTGGGCTCCCTCATCACGCCAGACACCCGATCCTCACCTGACATCCAGCGACGGATTGCCAATGCGGCAAAGGCGTTTGGCTGCCTCCTACCAGTGTTCCGGGATGCCAGCTTGACGGTGGCAACAAAGCGTCATTTGTACACAGCCTGTGTTCTGTCGGTTTTACTCTACGGTGCTGAGTCATGGGCTCCGCTTCGGCACGACTTGGATCTGCTGGACAACTTTCACCACCGGTGCATTCGCTCCATCTTATGTGTATCTCGGCGTCAGCAATGGGAGGATAAAATCTCATCGGCAACGCTCCGTGCGCGCTGGGGTGACACTACACCGGTGTCAGACCTTGTTCGGCGTCGGCGGTTGGAATGGCTCGGACACGTCGCGCGCATGCCTGCAGACCGTGCTCCCGCCCAGATTTTGTTTGGAAGGTTGAGTGGTCGTCGCCCTCCTTGTGGTCCCCGGCGGCGCTGGAAAGACGTTGTCCAAAGAGACATGAAGGCAGCTGGCGTGGATTCCTGGTTTCAGAATGCCCAAGACCGGCAGAACTGGAGGATGTTCCTTGCTGAGCCACCACCGCACACAGATGATTCGCCACCTTTGCGCTGCTTGCTGTGTGCCAGAGACTTCCGCCGCCGTAACGACATGGCCCGACACAAGTGCATTGCCCAGCGGAAGTTGCCTGTGTCACAACAGAAGGGTGCCAGGCAATGTATGAAGTGCATGCGGTGGTTGAGGAGCGCTGGAGGACTGGCTGTGCATCGCTGTCCTGTGTCCACGGATGTCCCCACTGTATCTATTCGCCATGAATCTGACTCTTTTCGATGTGATTTTTGTCGCCGCTCTTTCCGCTCCCGTTCTGTTTGAGCCGTCATCACTGTGACCGTGCGAAACGGATGTCACGTGCAGCCAGGAACAACTGCCGTCATGAATGCGAGCATTGCGAAAGACGGTTCTCAAGGCCACAGGACTTGCAACGCCATGCCAAATATTGTTGACTTTGCGATTTCTCAGGCTCTCTTCTCTTCTCTCTTCTTGTCGTTGTCTCCCGCTTCTGGGAGCGGCGTGGCCCGATAGGGTAGCTGTACATAGTAGTAGTAGTAGTGTGTGTGTGTGTGTGTGTGTGTGTGTGTGTGTGTGTGTGTGTGTGTGTGTGTGTGTGTGTGTGTGTGCGTGTGTGTGTGTGCGTGTGCTGTGTGGTGGATACCAGGCTAGAAAATAGTGGCGGTCAATTCATCAGCATTGCAAGCTGTTGAATGGTGTAATCCCAGCACAAGTTGCTATGTCTAACATAGCTGTTCGCTATCATCGCTTCGCGATGGGCATGTCTGAGGTCTGAGGTGTGTGTGTGTTGCTACCATCGCCTCCGGCGATGGGCATCAAAAGGTCAAAGGTGTGTGTATGCATGTTTGTGTGTTTGTATATGTGCATGCACGTGCGCGTGCCCATTCCGATTTAGCAACTCACACTGGTATCAAGTACAACCTTTTCTAAAGTTTACTCGCAAGGATAATGCAGCCAGCTCAGGGATGAGAATGGATACCCTGATGCTGTTAATCCTTTTTCTGTACCTTTTCCTTACCCACTTACTGGGGTGTGGTGAGCCCATAAGTGGGATCGTGTCCAAGTGCACTCGGAGCCTGGGGTTGAAGGAGTGTCGGCTGTTGGGCGGATCAATAGCCTATTGAGTCTTTTTTCGAGATGTCTTTTGAAGTCTCCCCTCTCCCAGGCCACAACAAGATCAGCTTCTGGCGGTACAAAGTGCTAGTACACGTATAAGTGTACGTGTATGTGTATGTATTTGTGTGCATGTGTGTGCATGTGTGTGTGTGTGTGTGTGCACGTGTGTGAGTGTGTGTGTGTGTGTGTGCGTGTCTGTACATGTGTGTGTATGTGACGCTGCAATGATGCATGCATATGGCATTATTATTTGTGTCATACCTGTCCGCTTCTTTTCACTTCATCGTTGTTTTTGAGGTCCTCTCCAATGACACACATCCATGAATCACCCAGCAGGTCTTGGCCAATACACAAGCAACACAAGCAACACACAAGACAAGAATCATAGAACACGTTACACTGTACATGTACAACGCAGCTGTTCATGGGTAGATACTGTGCAGATAGATCCGCCAAGCACTGGTTACACTCGGAGCACTTTGTCCATGCCGCGTGCTAGCCAGGCATGAATTTCATCCCATGACATGACTAAAGCAGTTCTGCATTCAAGGACACAGCCCCCCCCCCCCTCCGTTTTCACTGTGCTTGCGAAGTGTGCGGCCCGGCATGCCTGCATTCATGGGGCAAATACATTTTGCTTGTCACCACTGGTTGCGCTTGTCCAGAACGCAGGCAGAACTACACTCATATATACAAACATACACGCACGCACACACACATATATACACACCAACTCACTGGCTCTGGCTCTCTCTCTCTCTCTCTCTCTGTCTCTCTCCTTTCCTTTCCTCTCTCAACACGCACACACACACGTTTACATGCGCATGCACGCACACTATGTAATGTTGTATTATTGACATACACCGTGCGAGCGAGGTCACAAATCTCACAATGGTGCGTGCGTATGCGAGGACTGAAGGGCACACCGTTCATCCGTCTACAGTCTACAGTCTACACCAAATGCAGTTTCAAATACATCGAGCATCAATCCGATATTTCAATGAAAACACAAGTCAGATGTTGTGGAAGAGACAGACTCAGCAATCTCTCAAACACTCACCTGGGTCTTTGCTAGCTGATGTTCCACAGTTTGCAGTCAGGGACATATCACTGCCGCTGTTGGTCATGTCACTAGGCAGTGCTGACACCGCTCCGTCCATTTTCTCCGCCGCATCGTCATCCATCACAACGAGCGATGCGAGCGCGCAAAACCTGCCGGCGAGCACTTATTCCTTGCCTATAGCTTCGTTCTCCCTCTATCTATTGGATTCGCCAGGCCAAGAGAAGGGCAGTTTGGAAGCCCACGAGCTGATAATCCTTCAGACGCAACTCATCGTGCTTATGCTAGCGGACATCTGGATCTTCTACTGGGCTCGCTGTGCTGCAACAAGTGACAAGAAACCATTACCTGGCCCTGTACTGGCCTGCAAAGAGTCGAGTCGACCATGTCCATGGTCGACAAGCCGATTCAAAATCAACCGCCGTACTGCACTGCACTGCTAGCCCGTAACCATGGTATCCATACCGCTAGCGAAACTCAAGAAAACATTTTTTGCATAAAAAGAGACGTCAAGCGCGCGCGCCGTTCGCTGGACCGGCAACCAGATAATGATAATATGACAGCAGGACCTACTACTAGTACTAGACTGTAGAAAGAAGAAGGCATGTGCAGTATGCAGTCACCATGGTCACAGACTCCGTCGGTCTTGTGACTCGAACGACGCGTGCTACACAGCTCCAGCCTTCTTCACTTCAGCTGTACGTAGCCGTGTAGATCTACATGCCATGGTGTAGGCTCAGGTTCACTCAGTTGGCATGGTCAGTCTGGCGCAGCAGTGTCAGCCTGTAAGCATGGTAAGTGTAAGGCTGTATCATGTCACGTCAGTGTGTTCGCTTTGCAAAAATACTATCTGAGTATCTCGCTCGGCTCAGGTCTCAAAGGGGATTTGCACGTCGCGTCTGAGCTGGAAGAGCTGTAGATCCACTGCACTGCCAACAACTGATACTGTGGCCCTGTGGGAGGGATTCTCGCGTCCCGTCTCAAGCAGTTTCGTAGATTGGTAGCAACGTTCTGGTTTGAAAATATTTTGGAAACAAGATAATTTTTTCTGCTCCAGATCGCCCTAGCTATTTAGACCGCGTACCGGGGTATTCGTCTCCAGTTCTAGTCTGTGCTCGCGTTCTAGTCAAACAACAATTATTATTATTTCGCTGCTAGAGTAGTTGACTGGCTCGTTAGTAGGCGGTACGGTGTGTAGGGTAGTTCGCTAGTGCCATTGGCGGCCAGCGAACATGGCTACCTCACAGAACGGTGCTGGAAAGAAAGGTGAGGGTATTTGTTGTATGTTTTCAGCGCGCTTGTGTTTGGGTCGTGACGAACAAGGACGTACATAATTATATATATTGTACATGTACGTGGAATGTTCCTATGTGTGTGAGCAGACGCCCATCAAGCGCTCACGCTGCTCGAAGAATACTCCACTCACCTGGGGGGTGACAAGAAGGCTCTGCAGAGCGCTATCAATCGTCTAATTCGCGTTTTTCGCACTCGATTGTTCCAAGCACTCCTCGGTAGGTACCAATCCTCCATTGTTTGCTCTACTTGCCGTTGAAAGAAGCGTTTGAAATTTCTGTCCCGTGTCCCTCGATGAAGGATGAGTTTGTGATTCCGTCTAGACCTTACAACGCTACGTAGCACTTGAATCACGGGATCTGATCTGAATCGAGTTTTGTGGGTGCACATACCATGCATACTTACCACGCTCTGCATGTGCCCCTGTCCGGAAGTTCCGACGTGAACTCGTGCTGTTGAGCGGGCTCTGTTCCGACTTCCCGATCGGAAGCACAATGAAAACCTATTTATCATTCTAGGTTCTGCAATTATTGTTGCTGTCAGCGTCACTGTATCCCAAATGGCCATTATTTCTTGCTGTGAAATATTTTCACAGATATTCAAGATTTCTATGAAGACACGCTCCTTAGCGATGAAAAGCCCCAGCAGGCCAAGATCTCAAGAGCCCTGGAAATGGCCGCCAGGTGGGAAACCAACTCGTTTATACCGGCGACGAATCGCGATCCGTCCAAGTCGCCACGCGTGCCGGCGTTCTCCGCAGACCAGACACCGCCGGTACCCAAGAAACAGGTAAACAAGGTCCGCCGCCTAAACTTGCCGCCGCTCCCAGTGTCTAGCATGTTGCACGTGAATAATGGCTCTTTTAGTTATGCTCCTTAGTTGCTAAGAATTAGTTTTTGCATGTCCTTTACAACACTTGAATTGGAGTTATCCCGGTCAGTTCTAGAAACTTGTGCGTGCAGACTGGTATGGTTAACCGCAGTGTCAATACGCCGTTCATCATAGACCGTAACCGCAGTGTCAATACGCCGTTCATCATAGACCCCCGTAACCTCACTTGACATATTTACTAGTCAAATCTGTCGTAAGCGACCGCCCCTTGGTGCAAGAAAAAGCGGTCGCTTACGGCAGATGGTCTCCTACGGCAGATGTATGGTAAATCCGGCATACCAGGTATATGCTTCCATGTACTCAAATCGACGAGAATAATGTGATTTTTAATATCATTTTATTGGATATTCAACGACGATCATACCCATAGTACGCGTATGCGACACGGCAGTAGATCGACACTGCCTGGCTGCCTTGACTTGAGTACAGCACAGCCTCAGTACGAGGCCAGGCGCCAGTCGATCGCACTTGCAAGACAGCGCATTTTCACACTTTGCAGGTGACAGCGCACTGGCAAGTACAGTTTCGCACCTGACTGAACCTGGGTCGCGGTCGCTTACAGCAGATTTGAATGCAGCCACCCTGCATGAAATCGCGGTCGCTGGTCGCGCACAGCAGATGGTCGCTCTGGACAGATCAGTTTGTATGTGAAACCGTCGGTGCACGGAAAATCGGTCGCTAACGGTAGATGGTCGCCTACAGCAGAGGTCGCTAACGGCAGATTTGACTGTACTTAGGGTGGAACAACATGGAACTTGGTGGAAATACGCCGCATCTGTGTGCTGACCCTACTGCAAACTTGCCCGTCCTTTCTGTCTGTCACTGCAGTCCGCATCGTTTGCTTCACCGGAGCTTCCTCCACCGCCAGCGGACGCTGTAGATGGAGCGAAGCCAAGTATATCGGTAGGTTTTTGCTAGATGTGTTCCATGCATCATTTTGACAGAAGCCGCAAAGCCGTGCTCCAGATACGATAGCGTACATCTGAGAAGGCATACTAGAAGTGTGCATTGCCTGAGTACCTTGTGCTGTGAGCTGATCTAGGTGCAAGACACTGAACAATATAGCTCTGCAGGATGCATACCGCCTCCAACAATTGCATACACTGAGAATACTCACAGCTGTTGTTGCCACTGCTGATAATGCTGCCGTAGTGGCAATGATGCTGCTGATGTTGCTGCTGCTGCTTCTGCTGCTGATGCTTCTGCTGCTGCTGTTGCTTCTTCTTCTGATGCTTCTACTGTTGATGCCACTCCCGCTGGAGATGGCACTAACGCTAATGCTGGCATAATGTTCTGATACTGTTTCCCCTGCAGGCCAAGCCGGTGCCATCTTGGCAGTATGACGAGATTACATACACGCTGTCCAAGGACAATCCACGTGATAGCTTTGGCTTTGGCTTTGTCGGTGGCGTGGATGCCCCCATTGTGCCGAATGATCCGCACCTCTACGTCAACATTGTACCACACAGTGGTCGAGCAGCCGCATACTTGAAGTAAGACATGCTCAGTAGACAAATATTGTTGGTGCTAATGTAGTGAGAGAGTACATAAATAAGAGTGTGCAGTTACGATGGTGGTCTGACCCACGGCAGAATTTATTTGTCAACATCACATTGTCGAGAAGATCTTTGGTCATCGTGTACGATCACACAGCTGCACGAGTTTGTGTTGCAAACTCCACCTCTGTTCTTGATAGATTGATGATCTTTGGGTAAATTGACATCAACAAAGATTGCGCCAGTGGTCAAACTCAGTGAACGGCGCACTTTTGTTGTTGTACCGTACTGCTATTGTAGCTTGTTTTGTGGATTTACTCGCTCTGTGGCATGGGTTGTGTTCAGTGATTTCCGTCGCATTGTTTTGCTCTCAATGTACTTTCTCTCTCTTACACGTGCACGCATCCCCACACACCGGCATCTGTACTGTGTGCAAGTACACACTTATGAAGAGTTTGCCATAGGTGAAATGCGACAAATGCCTAATTTGGAAGCTTGTTCTCTGTTTTTTTTGGCTACTTCGTTATTGTTGTTTGTTCAGACCTAATGATCAAATAGCGTCCATCAATGGGTTTGATGTTGGAAATGGCGTAACATCACATGCTCAAGCGATAGACCTCATCAAAGATGCTGGCCTTCGCCTGGTGCTGGTGAGTCAGAAGAGCTAATCAAGTGCCAAGTGAGAATTGTTGAAATTATTCTATTGGCATTTTAAAAATGATCACTCCCTTTCAAATAGAGGTTGAGACTTCGTCTCCAGTGTGGGAGCAAACCCATTCCTAAACTCCCTTTCAAGTAGCTTTTAAAATTCTTCAACTACTGTGGGCGTTTTGTGAATACATAGTGGTTTGTTTGCTATCTGAGAAATATGATCCTACTCTATGGCAAGCCTTCGTCAATGTCACCGGACGTATGTGTGTGTGTGCGTGTGTGTGTATGTGTGTGTACTCCACAGGTAATACGACGCGGGCAAGACCGTATTTTCAGCTACACGGAGGGCGGGCCCATACCGGCCGATCTGAACCGCCAGCGCTCGGTCGTGTCTGCCTTCTCGGACGAAAAGCTAGTGACTCTACGCAAGAACAAGGCTACACAATGTAAGTTCAATAATATTATTGTTCTGTAGCCGGCGAATTGGGTAAACTTACCCCTCTGCCCTGATCAAACTGGCAAAGTGAACGACCTACGTATATCAAGCAAGATGTAGTCCGATTGCAAATGATCTAACTTCCCAAAGGTAGATCTACATCCACACTCTAGTCTTGGTGATCTTGTGGGGCATGTTTGTCCGGTGTCACTCAGTCAGGTTGAGAGGACTCCGGGTGCAAGTTTAAGTATTGTGATCAGGCACCTTCTCAAGATGTCTTCATGCAAGTAATTTATGGGCGGTTGCCGAATTGACTTTGCTGCTTGGCGGGTTTCTGAAAAAAGGGCCACTCAGGTCACATGACTCAAGCCATATACAGTTTATTCTGCTAAGATGTACATGACTCGGGAACGGCGGAAGGAGTTTTTGATTGGTCCGGCCATTCCCTAGCCTACCATACAGTTTGTGTATGATATGGAGGATACCATGGCATACAGTTTGTGTATGATATGGAGGATACCATGGCATACAGTTTGTGTATGTTATGGAGGATACCATGGCATACAGTTTGTGTATGATATGGAGGATACCATGGCATACAGTTTGTGTATGATATGGAGGATACCATGGCATACAGTTTGTGTATGATATGGAGGATACCATGGCATACAGTTTGTGTATGATATGGAGGATACCATGGCATACAGTTTGTGTATGATATGGAGGATACCATGGCATACAGTTTGTGTATGATATGGAGGATACCATGGCATACAGTTTGTGTATGATATGGAGGATACCATGGCATACAGTTTGTGTATGATATGGAGGATACCATGGCATACAGTTTGTGCATGGCATGCAGTTTGTGTATGATATGGAGGATACCATGGCATACAGTTTGTGTATGATATGGAGGATACCATGGCATACAGTTTGTGTATGATATGGAGGATACCATGGCATACAGTTTGTGTATGATATGGAGGATACCATGGCATACAGTTTGTGTATGATATGGAGGATACCATGGCATACAGTTTGTGTATGATATGGAGGATACCATGGCATACAGTTTGTGTATGATATGGAGGATACCATGGCATGCATCACCTCCTCAGCAGTAAACACACGCTGGTGGCCAAAAAGTTGGTCCGGCCATGGCCTGATCACCCGGACCGGTTCCGCCGGGCCTTCATGTACTTTATTCTGTTATAGTAAACTAGTTACTTATACCTGCTTTCTCTATTGTGCAGCGTTGGGATTTAGCATCAAGGGTGGCAGTGACAACATTTACTTAGAGGGCAGTGTGGGGATCTTCGTCTTCCGCCTGTATGAAAACGGACTGGCGGCTCTCTCTAAGGGTGTCTCCATTGGTGACCAGCTAATTTCGGTATGTCAAGCACTAGCTCATGTGCTAGTATATGATGCAGCCTAACTCTCCGCAGGCAGGTGTGTGTGTGTGTGTGTGCGTGTGTGCGTGCGTGCGTGCGTGCGTGTGTGTGCGTGTGTGTGCGTGTGTGTGTGTGTGTGCGTGTGTGTGCGTGCGTGTGCGTGCGTGTGCGTGCGTGCGTGTGTGCGTGTGTATGTTTGTGTGTGTGTGTGTGCGCGTGTTTAGGTTTGTGTGTGTGTGTGTGTATGTTTGTGTGCATGAACAGGACTGGTATTCTTTGAGGACTCAGAAACACATTCTAGTCTTAAAACAGAGGAAAACGTGTGCGCATTGCATGATTCCATTATGATGACAGAGAACGCATGTTCCTCAGTCGCCTTCTCTGTTGTTCAAACAGAACTTCAGCTCCTTCCCTGATAGATGTGTCTGTGTTCTGGCATGTTTTGCAGATGTCCTGTGCTGCTTGTCTGTCATGTATAGTTGTGTTGGTACCTGTGTATGGCTGTGCTCAGGTGAATGGTGTGAACCTGGAGAATGTGGCACATGAGCAGGCTGTTTCAACACTGAAGAATGTCTCCGACGTTGCCGTGATGTTTCTAAGACCCAGTGTAAGTGTCTTGGTGGCCATTACATGTAGAGTTTCAAAACTGCTTGGCCTTCGCTTGGATGCTATCAGATTTGGCCCCGTAGTTGCAAAGCAAAGACATATACATGCATTCATGCTCTCAAATTGTGCGTTTCTCACTCTGGCAACTGAAGGAAACTCCGGACAACGTTTACAAGAATACCTGACACATGCATGCTGCTCCTTACTAACTCGTCTTGAGATGTTATTGCTGACGTGCTGCCATGGCATGCAGAAAGCCATGTTTCTGGTTACTTGTATCGTCAAGTCATTGAATTCAGTACTCGCCGTGTACAGATTCAGACGTTGCCTTCGCTGGGCAAAGCCGGTTCAATTCAGTTGTGAATGTGTCTATTGACCGGGATTTCTGCTCTTCGTCGTCACATTTGGTTCTCTGTAGGCACTATCTGGAACGGACACAAAGATGCCACGTCGGCGCGAGGCGTAAGTCTGAAACAATTTCCTGCATGGCATGGTATGTATCTGGAATACCGGCAGCAGTCCTCAGTTCATGATATGCAAGCTTTCTTCGTGTAACGCTAGTCTGGCATTACTCAGACAATATTATAGTGAAACTTTAGCATAGACAGTCCACATTAAGAATAACAGCCTTGGCTATCAACTCGCGAATCAACACCATTGTCAGGCTCCCTTCTTCGGCAACCTACAGTGCTGTATGCTGGCACCTGGTCTTGGTTACAAGTTAGGCTCTCGTGAAGGCTAGGAACACAGTCACTAGTTCTTGTTCGCTCACCATTTCTGATGTTTTGGTTTTTTGGATGATGGTATAATGCAGTGATGAGCGTAAGGTGATGTTGAGCAAGCCCGACGGCGTGAGGAGTCTAGGAATCAACATTGTGGGTGGCGACGCCGGCGAGGGAATCTTTGTCTCCTTCATCATGAGCGGCGGTGTAGCTGATCAAAACAATGAGTTGAAGCGAGGTGACAAGATCCTTGAAGTAAGTCGTGCGGTGCATACGACTTCGCCGTGCCCATTCTTTCTAATTTGCTCTTAGCTTTCACGGTACACGGATCTGTAATATCTACTTGTTTGTGATTTGTATTGGGTGTCCCGGAGCAATTTTCTGTATCAGCACCTCCGAATAGTGATGAGTAGGCCTCACCTACAACCTCGCAATTACAAACCGCTGCCTTTACCAGCCCACACTTCATACATTGGAGTCACGGATCCTTCTTATGTTTACAGAGTACATTACCCTATTGCTTGCCAATCTTTAGAAAAAACTCCACAACCTTGAGCTGGTTAGCCTCAACATTCCGCTTCACATGCTCGTTTTGTCAGCTAGTTTATCTGACCATTCACCTTTGGTGCTGATACTTCGATTATTTGCTGGCGGTTGGCAGGTTGATGGTCACGACTTTGCGCCGTTGAGTCATGGTGAAGCCGCTGCAATCCTCAAGGGATCAGGCCAGAGAGTCGAGATGGTCATAGCTTTCCGGCCACAAGGTGCGTGCGTGCGTGCGCGTGTGTGTATGTGTGATAGATATTGTGACTTGTATGGAGACTCTTACTACCTACTTCTAGTACAAAAGACACTTCTAGTACACATACAAGTATCCCTACAACTACGCTTCCTCCTTTCATAGTCCTCATCGAATATAATAGATAGGCTCACATCTTTGCTATATCCATCCAAGCCACCCTTTGATTGTATGTGTTTGAACAGAGTGTGTGTATCATGGCTGGCGACATGTATAGTTCTATTCCTTCATCTGCTGCTTGTGGTTGGTGGTGTTGCAGAGTATGGTGAGTTTGAGAAGAAGCTGCAGCATCAGCGAACGCTCATGGCCAAGCCCAATAGCGGAACCCTTAGGACGTCCTCCAAGAAGAGCATGCATGTCAGGTGAGGGACGTGGCGGATGTATGCTTGTCAGCGCTAGTATGTGTGTGTGTGTGTGTGTGTGTGTGTGTGTGTGTGTGTGTGTGTGTGTGTGTGTGTGTGTGTGTCCCGTATGGTGCAGTGGTATGTGCAGCGATTTCCAATCGATAGGTTGCGGGTTTGATTCCCGACGATTATGGTCTCACACGTCTTTCTGTTCTGTCTCAGACTCCTGTCTTTTCTTTCATTCTCCTGGGTGGTTACCAACAGCCAGTGCATGCCGGAGTATGTGGCCTGATGTGTGTGCGGGAAAAAATGAAAAAGACCAAAAAGTAGGGATTCACTGGCCAAAAAAAGCCACTTCATAGCTGTGTGGTGTAGACCAGGCTGAATAGTGGTGGTCAATTCTTCAGCCTTGCAAGCTGTTGAATGGTGCGGCCAGTCAAAAATCGACGACTATCCGTCGATGACTTTAGCAAGCTGTAACTCACTTATTTTTGTATTGAACCTGCATCGTTTTGGTCTCAAAAGAAGCTGGAAAGACCCACCATTGATTTGCAAAAGACCGGAGCATCTTAGCATCTTTCAAAGAGAAGTTATAGGTCTCTGAGTGAGGTCTGTTTTCACACCGCGTACGAAACAAGTTTTCAAAGGGTGTAACTTTGGCAATGATTATATTACCCTCCTAAACCTTTGCCTGGATGCTTCCCTGATGGTGTATTCAAAATGTGTTAGGATCAAAAGTACAAAATAAGACTACAAATAGTCCACATGTCGATGAGCCATACTTCTCTTCGAAGAATGGAATTGGAGATGGATTTTGTTCCTCTTACAAATGAAGGCTAGAAACTGTTTCTAGAGAATTCCACATGGCTCAAGCTTTCCAAAAAGCCCAAGTTTGCCAATATCACCCAAGGTAAACTAAAGTTATCAACGAAATGAGTCGCGGCGTCTCGCTTGGACTGAGAATTTGTCCATTTTGACGGTCGGATAAGGGTTCAGCGAAATTTCTCCCCGTATATCCTTCAAGTACGGGTCCCAACAGCTACTGGAACAGTAATGCTGTTGCTGATGGGAGCAGAGCCTTCACACATAGATTCCAGTTACCTGGCGATTGTCATCGGCATTGAACTCATAGTGGTAACTAATCTCTAGTGGGTTTTCATTTCTTCTTTGTGTATCTGGCATACTAGTATATAGTGCTACTCGATGAAATCCGATCGCGTGAGTCAAGAATGTGGACGTGGTGCAGCCCTTAGACCTGTGGACACTGGAATGTGAAATGGTCTAGGCCGCAAACTAGACTCATTAGATCGGATGTCATTGAGCAGGACTGATGAGCCTTTGGGTACCCACTGTGGTCAACGTAAATGTGCTCTCAAATGCTGCATGATACACAGGGAATGGTCAACATTCTGCTCACACGGACATTAAGAAAAAGTAAAAAGTGAAGTTCGCACATCCACGTTACCGCCTGCTTATGATTGTGTTGAGAAGCACAACCAGCTTACAGAAGTTTTGCTCATGCCAGGCCACCATGCAGACATTAATTAAGCAATGGGTATGTTCTGTGTGATGCGTATGCGTCTTTTTCAGAGTACTATTCTCTTACGACAAGACGCGCGACTCTGGCTTGCCGAGTGAGGGTCTGAGCTTCCGCTTCGGTGACATTCTACACGTAACGAATGCTGCGGACAAGGAGTGGTGGCAAGCAAAGCATGTCAACCTGGACACCAATGCTGATGAAGGTAGCCAAGGAGTGGTTCCAAGCAAAGAAAGGTAACCATCGCACGTGTCAATGAACGTGAAAGAGCAGAGTGCCTTGGGGAAATGGGTACTGTTATGTTGATGCGCTTGTGCATCTCAAGGCTAGCACTAGTAGTAGCCATATCTCCAGTATAAGGCCAAGACAAGGTCATCATCATCGTCACACTGCATATGTCAACCTTCTGCATGTAGGAATGAGGCCTGGCCGACTGATTTCTTGGCATGACAGACTCATTGGGCGTATGTCTCATCTTACGGTGTATATGCGCTTGTGTGCTAAAAACTCTACACTGCCCATGGCTATCTTGATTACCGCTTGGTATGTTCAGATACGAGAAGAGAGAAAGAGCAAGGAACCGCCGTGTCAACTTTGGCTCGACAGATCTCACTGAGCCCGCCGAAGAGCGAAGAGTTTCACTGGCTGGCAAGGGAAGCGTCACCAGTGTGAGTTATCATTGCCATGTGATACGGCATGTGATCCGTCATGTGATACATATGTATGTCATGTGATCCACCATGTGATACGTCATGTGATACTCCATGCACCTCAGCATATATCGTAGGGAACAAGCTCTGTGACTTACACCATGTACCGTACAGCAGCATGCCATCACATCAACACCCTTACAGGTCGCCTGTTGTTTGTACGACAGTGGCTACAAGACAAACCTCATTAGAAGGCAGGGATCCGATATCCCCTGACGAAACGTGTCTTAGAGTCGTATATATTCGTGCAAGTCATGATAGTGAACAATACTTGTAAGACGAAAATGTACCCCCCCCCCCCCCCCCCCCCCCCCAGTTGCCTGCTAACGAGAGTAGGCCTGAACCTCGCCCCACACACTCATACCAGTACAGCAGCCCCTAGTGCCATGCAGCGTAGCGAGTATTTCCATTGTGGCCCCTTTCTACCCACCACAGAGTCCTGCTACGGCTGAGCACACCGACGGAGCGGCACCAAGGCGCCGCAGAAGCTTCACCTTCTCAAAACGCCTGCCGTTCATGAAGAAACAGGAGCGTGACCCGGCAAAGCCAAAGACAGCATCGACTACGGAGAGTAAGTGCAGTGCATTGCATTCCGTTCCACAGTCACTGCCAAGCCTTCGTTCAGCTTAGCGCTTGTCATCTCCTTTATCTGACACAGCATGCGTAATTACTAATTACGTAAAGGAACGGTTATCTTCGGTACAAAATTGACTGGTACTTAAACAAGTCTTTTAACTTAAAGACCACCAGCTGGCAAAGATAGCCTTTCTGCACAACCGTGATGTGGTTGATGTGCACGGTTGTCGCTCTGTAAGGTACACAATCACTGTTGAATCGTGATTGTTCACTCTGTAAGGTACACAATCACTGTTGAATCGTGATTGTGTTCATAAATTGTATGAACTGATCAATGGCACCGTAGTGCGGCAGAGTGTGAAGCATGGCTAGTTTGTTACAACTCTAAACTCTGTGCAGCTCAGTGTGACCGTAAGGCTAGGTGACCGATCCGAGCACGGTGTGCCTCCTTCCATGAACTGTTGATGTAAGACTTTGATCAGAGTCCTATTACAGTCAGACCTCGCTTATCCGGAAGAAAATCGTTGGTTACCGATTTACAGCATATGTCCTGCATACATACCGTGTGTGTGTGTGTGTTCGATTATCCGGTTCCCTCGCCTATCCGGATGTTTTTGTTGAAAACGGATGTGTGCGGTTAAGCGACGTCTGACTGTACATGCAGCATACCGTACTCCATCATCTGTGCACGCTGTCAGGAGTGTGCTCTGAGTGTGCTCTGATTGTGAAACTGGTGATATAGAGCGTCGAACATTGCGGGTAAGGACGGGTTTCTGTGCATTTGACACGCTCTTCACTTTGATGCTGATATCATGATGTTGGCATGTTTACTTGTCTATCATTACAGAACCTGAAGAGGAGGAAAAGATCGCCTCGTACGACGTTGTTGAGCTTGAAACAAGTAAGGCCTTCTACGATATCTTTTTTTCAGATCGTACATGCATTTGTTTAATATTTGGCTTTGAACAGCCACCGAAAATCCCTGCGGATGTTGATTTACTGGAACTGGATGGACATTCCACCATAACACAGGTGCAGTGGAGATCACGGTCACGATTGTGTGTCGGGGTTAAAACGATTGGTTGGTGTTCGGAAGCATGTTCCAAGTTTATGTCAGTTGCTAATACTCATTGGCAAGAACCACTGACGGTTCGGCTGTGATTGCTCTTATTGCCGCTGTTGCTGCCGCTAACTGCTGCTGTTGCTGCTGCCGCTAACTGCTGCTGTTGCTGCTGCTGCTGCCTCTAACACTGCTTGCGCAAGTGATGATGTTGTTCTCGCTCGTGATGACAGTGTTTGGCTGTGCATTTCTGCACCGTGTGCCTTGCAGTATCGTACCGTCGACCGATTGTCATTCTGGGCCCATTCAAGGACCGCATCAACGACGAGCTGTGTTCAGAGAATCCCGATCTGTTTGGAACCTGTGTACCGCGTAAGAAGAGCATCGGGGCTTTTTCACACCCAGTCGAGCAATTTGCTATGCTCTTGTCCGGCGTCTATCGAATGGGGCAGCACTGCACCGACCTCATGTACACATCTGTGTTCAGGGCTAGGCCGCTTTACATCATGATGATTCTTGTACAGGTTGTAATTCCCTCTTGAAATTGAAATGCTATTGCTATCAGCAGTCTATTAAAGACATTTTTGCTTGGCGTAACGCTCAACGTATAGATTTTTTCTGTGGATGAGGTAGTGTGTCAACATGCCACAACATTCACACTGACTATACTCAATTACTGGCCGGCCATCTACTGCTCTCTTTTCCTGTGCCCAGACACGAGTCGGCAGGCCAGGTCGGATGAAACAGGCGGCGTTGACTATCACTTTGTGAGCGTTGAAGTCATGCAGTCGGGTATTCAGGATCATCACTTCGTCGAAGCCGGTACCTACAACAGCAACCTGTATGGCACAAGTGTGGAAGCCGTACAGCTGGTGGCTACTAAGGTATGGGGCGTTCAAGGGTAGTGTATGGTAGAGAATATGGCTTGTGCAATGTTGCGCAATGACATGTCTTTTTGTGTGTACATTGAAACCTTTTGGTGGGCCTCTTTAGCAGACTCTTGTTGTGACTGACGGGATCAAAGGCCGTTGATATGCAGAAAAAAATTAATTGAAGCTGGCTGGCCTTCGCTCTTATCATTGTGCCCTGTTTTCTATGCAATGGGGTGGCAGATTGGCAGATTTTGTATTAGATATTGAGAAGTTCTAGCTTTGTGAAGGATTTTTGAATTTTTTCCTCTTACTGTAAAAGCCATTATTCTAACGAGGCGCATATATAACGATTTCCCAAAATTGACTAGTTTACGTGAACCAAAGGTAACGATTCTCACTCATTCTCAACGCTCAATAGGACAGTATATGTATCGATTTCTATTTTAACGACAGATTTCTCCTCGTTAACTCGTTAGAGTTAGCACTTCGTTATATACAGTCAACTTCGCTAACAACGACTGCGGATATAACAACAATTCGCGATTAACGACAGAATTTCCATGCCCAGAGCAAAGTCCCATCCCACTGTAATACATAAAAATAAGACTTCGGGTATAACGACACCGTTTTGATGCCCCACCGAGTGTCATAAGTGAAGTTGACTGTATGTGGCATTTACAGTAAATGGATTTGCCGATTGTGTTATTTTCCATGATTACTTTAGCACCAGAAACACTGTGTACTGGATGTGAGCGGCTACGCAATCAAGCGCTTGCTGATGGCCGGCCTGCACCCCATAGCCATCTTCATCAAGCCAACAACTGTGGATCAAATCAGGTTAGCTCTTGAATTTCATCTTTCACGGAGACTTACCACCATCTCACTGTTATTACCAGTACCAGCCCGTATTTTTGACATGAACCTTGCTTTGGCGATAGTGTCCAATTTCGGCTTTACAATTGAAAAGGTCTGGAATGTCCACAGACCTCCAGCACTACAGTAGGGTCTTGCGCCGAAGAAGGTTGAGCCCAAGAACGTCCAGCTTGAAATGCTAAGAACGCCACAGCTTTAAGTTACGTTTAAGAACGGCAGTGTTGGATTTCCGGCAGCCCCTCGGGAACAACGTTCTTGGACGCGCGATTCTACTGTAGCTCATATTAAATTTTGTCTTGCTGCCCCCCCCCCCCCCTCCTTTCTATCTATCTATCGAATATTCTCTCTGCTCGCTCTCTGCATGTACTGTTCAACTTCCATGGGTGTAGAAACCATAACAAACGCGTTACAGACGAAGCAGCACACAAGTCTCTGGAGAGATGTCAGCGTATCGAGGAGGAATTCAAAGAGTACCTGACAGGTGAGGAAAGTCAGAATGACTAGTTTCCAATCATTGGTCACAGTGTGCTTGCTGGTGATGGTTTATATCATGCAGGTGACTTCACAAATCATGGATGCACACCGCCTTATGTACACATTTTGTCCATATATGGGGCCTTGAGCAATATGCCACCTTTTTTCTGGCTTTTTGCCACATCTATCTGTATTAGTTCCGTATAAGGTGTGTCAGTACTAGATCTGTGGGCCTGGTTATCCTCTATACTTGTGGGACCATAGCTGGATATAATCAAATTAGGAATCCTGTGTGACAACATTCCAACCCTAGTAGTAACACCTACCAAATTCCTCGTGGTATGTTGGGTGTTGAACAGTACAATTTTCTCCAACAGGACTGAGTCAGCGTGTGTTGAATAGTTAGGGTGTACATGTATCAGTATTCTCTGTCTTTCTATTGTTGTTGCATGCAGCAATCATTGAAGCAGACATGACGCACGATGAAATGCTGCGTAACGTCATGAAAGTCATCAGTGTCCATGGCAACCAGAGATCCTGGCTGACTGCCAACCCACCACCTCCGCCATCACAAACTGATTAGACCCGGCACCCAGCTGCTGATGCACGTGCACACACACACATACACACACACACACGTACGCACGCGCGCGCGCGCGCACACACACACACACACACACACACACACACACACACACACACACACACAAACACACATGCTTTGAAATGTGCGGCCCAGAGGCTGTGCTGCTGGCTTTCCACGGAGACTCTGTTTCGTGAACTCCGGTCGCTGCTTGGTGCGAATACACATATCCAAATTGTCGACGCGGACCTATGCCCGGTGGTGCTGACTGTCACCGTGAAGCTGGCTGGGTGGGTGGGTATACAATGAGTATTTGCATTATAGGGAATGCTGTATTAATATTGTGTGTATCGCTGCCGATATTTCTCGTGCTTGTGCCAATGTACATATTACGTTGCAATGGAGGTGCGTTGACATGTGATCTCCCAGACAATAGAAAAACCTAGTATAAACATGTCATATGAACTCTCTTTTTTTTACGTGATGGCTTGCGAATTCTCTCAACGGAAATTTTATGAAGATAATTATTATCCTGATCGTGTAGTTTACGCTATTGTTTTGACAATGTTTGTATTGTGTACTGTTTGTATCATGTAATGTTTGTATCGTTGCGTGTACCATTATTGCACTGGCTGTTAGGACCGGAAAGAAAGCCGCACAGGAGTAATGTATACTTTGCCAGATGCATTCCAAGTGTGTAAGCTCACCATGCACATTGCTAATGGCCGCGACTCAGCGGCGTTATCACTTCTCTAGCCACAGCTGCTGTTCACTAGATTACCACCCTGCCTGAATGGATCTTTCAGACCTGCCGTTAATGTGCCCATGTACGTATATTGGTTAAATAAGATCTATGATTGGCGCATTTCTCTACTTTCGTTTGTTATTAATTTTGTTTTACCAGATATTCTATGTTAGTTTGTAATCTATTCTCGTTAGTCACTTCTGTTGATATGACTGTATCTGTGTGGAAGTGGTCGGTACGATAGAGGTGGTGTGGAAGGAACCTGTCTGCTATTTTGCAATTTATTATGATGTGAAGCTAATATTGCAAACACCTGGCCATGTACTAGGTACATTGCTGCATAGTTGGTGGTACTGGGTGTCATGGAGACTTGTACACTGTAGCAGGCCATAGCTGAACTGCGTACAGCACTGAAAAGTAACACGCGGACAAATACCTGTACTGGCACTATAACGGCACTTCAACAAATCTACATCTTACTATAAGACATGTTATTATAGAGTCACAAATTTATCTACTAGTATTGTCCGAAATCCGTAGATTAACGAGAAGGTACGTTAACGATTGTGCTGTCTTCAGGCATATCCCCACTTAAACACATGTGAGGCCTCACTGCCTCAACAGAACTTATTGTATAAATGAAGAAATGTCACTCGTTAAAACTTAAAACGTTAGATTTATTCCCTCGTTAGATTTACATGTGTTACAGTACAGTACAGAACGAGATGGCTGTTTGTGACAACATGACCCGAGTTCAGATAGTTGATATCACCTACACTGCTGCAGCTCACAGAAAAGTGACAGGATAGTGACCGCAAACACCTCGTACCCTTCCAACCTCATACCGACCACAAGATCAAACAACAACAACAACAACAACAACACGTCATGTGTGATTTACCAAACCTAACTACAAGCACAACACTCAACAGCACTACACCACCATACCTTCCATGACATAACCCACATACAAGAGTTGCTCCACACTGACACAATCGGGGAGACTGGAGAGGACCTCCAGAGGGCAAGCACTGGGCGTTCCAGGGCTATTATAGAAGATTCAACAGCCGGTTTCTCATAGCGCTCACGCTTTCCTCGCACGACTTCCCTTCACATTAAACTGCTTCATGACTACCCTACAGAGCACACGAGAAGCCCACTGAACCTTCAACTCAGCCCCGGCAAACCTGGCAGAAACCCTAACTCTCTGGTCACATACACAGTGTTTGGGGAATTCATCTCTCATTAGCAAAGCATCACATTTTATAATGCTCACCCGGCCCAGCCAGCCATCACCAGACATACAACCTTACAGAAACACCCCATATACAGCGCGACAAACACCTCGTGAACACCAGACAAAAGCTCACCCATGGACGTGTAGAATGACAACCAGAATACTGGTACGCATAGACGACCCTTAGTTCCTCCTCCAATTCCAAAGCAGCTAGTTGTAAACCCAGCACATCAATGAAGTGCCAAGTCAAGTTGGCGGGGAAAGCGCTACCTCAAATACCGCGAACAACCAACTTTCTCATTATTAGCGCCGAGGTCGCTAGGGGTGACTCATAATAGAAGATCCTCCTAAGAAATATTACATGTACTTGTATGTCCTCGCTGTGTATTCAAGGATAGTGCATACTTGCGGGTTAGTGGTGAGCTATGGCACATGCATATAATCAGGTCACAATTTATGCAGTCGGGTTAAAAAATAAACACTAGCAAGCAGGGATTATACTACTCCTTGTACTGCTAGCAAGACAAGTAGTAGTGATGTACGAGCGCTGACACGCACCCAATAACCTCAGCTGCTTGAAATAATTATTTATAGCACTGGCGAGATTGCCAAAACTGCAAACCAGAATTTACTACATGATACCAGTACGCATAGAAGAACGCTATATGTACATCTATTGCTGGACTGCCTACACCAAACCCTAGTAAAAGTAAATAGTTCCATGCCTGCCACTATAAACAATAGGCGTATACGCGTACGATGCGAAATACAAAGCTAGAAAATACTGAAACACCGGCCAGAGAGTTCAGGCTCTAGTCTAGAACAATAGAAGCTTCTAAAAAATGGCTACTATAAAAACTATGACGTGAGGCAACGTTTCCCCAGTCAACATCAAGGGCACAAAGTTTGTGAAAATAAAAAAATGAAGCTAGAAAAAGACAGTATCTACATTACTGTATACTAGCCTAATTCGTCTGACACATACTAATGTACGAATGTACAATCTTGGTCAATGGATCCCCGCCGAATCAGAGTAGGCCTGTTGTGCTCAAAAAGCATGAGCACGGTTTAGAGAAAATATGGTACAGTTGGAGCTCAGTGCTTGTTGCGTTCTGACCTTGTTATCGACTATTTTCGAACGTACCATGCTCGTGACACATTATCCAACAAATTCTCCCCAGAGTTTCTGCAGGTACGGCGGTAGGTACGTAATCGAGCCGTAGATGATCAGGGCAACGGTTGCAACAGACGTTGCGATGAACAGCAGCCTCTCACCAGGGTCCAATCCGTACGTGCCTGATATTACATCAAGTCGATGAAGATAACGAGACACCCCTGTCCGCTTACGCACAAATCCAGTACTGGGTTCTTTCTTCGGTGCCATACCAGCCAGCAATTCTCTCACCCAGCTTCTCCTCGCTGTTGTTTGAAGAGGTATGAAAACAACAATGATAGCATGCAGTTGACCAATTATTTGCTTGTGACTGTCGTCGTGACGAGTTGAACAGTCTTCATTCGATATTCAGATTTTGAATTTTCATTTCATCGTCATCATCGTCGCGTTCTTTTGGGAGAGCACCGTGACATCATAAATGGTAATCATGATTTTTGACTGGCAAAACGCATTAATTTTTCCCTGAATTTTTATTTTATTTATTTCACCAGCTTCTTTGTACATGTACTATGCATAATGATGTAGCTACCGCGTGGCCGGGCCCAGGCCCCACAACTACTTGGCTACATGTATGATGTAGGGCCAGGGAGGCACCGGAAAAATGGCAATATGGAGCCGGGAGGCCGCCTCCCGGACCCGGCGGAGAGGGACAATAGCCAGCCGCATGGCCGCAGGTAAACTGTGACCAGCCGGGGAGTCCGGTCAAATACCGGCAAGAGTTCATAACCCCTTGGGGGGGGGGGGGGGGGGGGGGGTATGCACTCTTCAATCAGTGATACCAGCCGGGTCACTCCCTGACAAAACAATGCAAAATGACAAACTTACAAGATCGATAAGAGGCAATAACCTACACTGGGCTCTTGATATAATCATGGCGGCGTGAGTCAGGGAGACCGACCGCCGCTGCGGCTCCGAGTGGCTAGGGACCTTCGAAATCAGTGCCGGTGGCCTCTGCGTACAGGTGGTGGTCATCTGATCCAGAGTCATTCAAGTGACTGCCGGGAGTAACACCCTTGCCTTAGTCCTGGTTGTAGTGGTCCTCTACAGCAGGTGCCCCGAGCCGGCTGGCTCTGTGCCGGGCCGCGGTATCCGGCAGAGTTCTTACTGTGATGATCACTTTAGCCAAGAGAAGTAGCATACTACTATTACTAGCCATGCCGCTGAGCGCAGACCTGAATGGAGTTCACATAATGGAAGACTAAAGAATAAGTTCGGAGCAGGTCTTTCGTCTTCCACCAGCCCTGACAACCTGGAGTATTAGACCCCCCCCCCCCCCCCCCCCCAATACACACACACTGTGGCACACACCGAGGTCTGGGGAAGGGGTGTACCGGTTAGTGACACACTTGGACCTAGTCGGTGCCGATCCCAGCCTCAGTAATGTCAAACCGTGGTGTGCACACGGATGACAACTCTGCAATCAAGCCAGGAGTCGGAAGGCATACTGAATCCGGGTCCCTCATGAAATCAGCAGTTTGAAATCATTCAGACAAGACCCGGCATTATATTCAATTCATTCACCGATTAGAACCTGGGGAGAAAGTGGCACCGTCCATACTGCAGCATGCAGTGAGTGTGTCCCGGACACTACACCCAATGATAGCAACCGCAGCAGTGAGCCCAACATCATGGGGCGTTCAGTCATGCCGCACTCCGCTAGCTTCTCCAAAATGGAAGTGGAACAAAGAATAACTTTCTTCAACTCAATACCAGTCATTAGTATAGGTATTCAGGTCATCAAGCGAAGTACAATGCAAGAATATATAATTGAAGAGAAATTGATAGAGTAAACTTTCAAGCAGATGAAGATACACCCTGGTAAGCATGGGATATGTCCCTCGTGATATCAATAACTTAGTGAAGATTTTGACAGATCCTACACTCAACTTCCCGCATGTAGTTGCTACTTGAGCAATAACTTGCTATACATATAAATGTTTTAGCAAATCAAATATAGCCATACCCTGAGTACTTGCATGGTGCAAAGAACACAATGCCAACCAGAACACCGAAACTGTGGCTCCATAGCACAGCTCCAACTTGAACCAGATCATGGCCGATGGTGCACACAGTGCTCATTCCTGTCCGGTTGGCCGGCCGCCCGGCGTTGGGATTTCACCTTGAAGAACGGCGGCCAGAGTGTCAAGATCGATATTCCCACCGGACACGACGGCCACAATTTTCCCACGCCCTGCTAGACCCTTGACGGCAGCTGCCAGCGGTGCAGCGCCTGCTCCCTCGGCGACCGTGTGATTGACTCGAACCATGCTACGTATGGCAGTAGCAGTTTCTTCCAAGGACACGGCAAGCGGTTGCTCCATCACCTGCGTGACGAGCGGCCACATCTCGGGCAGGACGGACTTGCCGCCGATCCCGTCGACGAATGTCGGCGTGTGCTGGCACTGTGTGGGCTTGCCGGCAGCGCAGGCGGCACGCAGAGGCGCCGAAGTCTCCACCTCGACGGGAAAGACCTTGCACTGCGGTCGCATCTCCTTCATGACGGCACCCACGCCCGCACACATCCCACCGCCGCCGTACGGCACAACCACGGCGTCCACGTCGGGCAAGTCCTCCAGGATCTCCAGAGCAATCGTGCCGTTGCCAGCAATCACCGCGCTATCGGCGCACGGGTGCACAAAGTGCTTGTGCTGAATTCCCTTCACTGAACGTGTTTCCATTGTGCGCCACCACTCCTGGTAGGAGACAGGGACAACATCTGCACCGTACCTCTTCAAAGCCGTCACCTTGGTTTCTGGTGCGGAATTGGGCACCACGACTGTACAGGAGTAGCCGAGGTTGCGTGCGCACCACGCCAATCCCTGTAGAAATCACACCGAGCAACAGTCCTTTTGTTGTTTGATTTTATTTCAATTCCCAGTGACCAACCGAGCAGAGGTACTCAATAACAAGGCAGCGGATGAAGGTGCCCTTACACACCCACATGATCATTCTGCTATTTTCACTCTGTTTTTGGAATTTTCTCAGGAACAGTTGGAGTTGAGCCTCAGTAAGTCAGTTTTCCCCGGGAACGCCGCGAATTCTTCACCGGGCCGTTACAGAACAAGTATCCAAATAAATAAACTGATGCAGAACATTGAAACACAATGCCCATATTCAAGCCGTGGGTATCCGTGACTGTGGCAATGGCCCGGAATAGGGTTCGCCGGGGACTCTTGCTTTCGGGGGAGTATTTCAAATCGCAATACTCTTCAGCAGCAGAGACTGCGCACATTATAAGTGGCCAGGACCGCCGGAAGCAGTTTTCGATTGGTCTGGTAGTATCATGGCCTTTCATACTTTGGGTATCATACGGCGGGTACACATGCCCTCCACAGTAGGAAACATGAGTTGGTGGCCAAAATGTTGGTCCGGTGATAACCTGGACCAACCGGACCGGCGGGCCTGCCACTGACTTCATAGTCATACAATCCCTTCTGGACTGACTGCCGTTCCACTGGGCGGTGTAGTGCCAATTGCACAGCCGCGATTGCGCAACCTCGACAGGAAGTGTGCCTAGTATGTTTTAATACGCCTGGTCATGATCTTGCTTGTACATGACGTGCATTCGTGATCATGACTGGGTGGCGGGTGAGCCTGGGATCATGATGACAATTATGGACCAGCATGGTGTATGGCAAGCAAGCTGCAGGACATGCGTTGCCGTCTATTCTCAGCAACAAACACTTGAAATCCAGGTCAGTACATGAACACGAATACTTGAAGGTGAACAGGTGCCAGGCACAGGAGCACACAAACAGTCCACCGCCCGCCCCGTCACATTCCAGGCAGCATTGCCATTACAGTTCTGCATTACCTGGTGGCCTCACTCACCAACTTACTTACTTATTACATGACTACTAGTAGTACATTGAATGATTCGCATGCATTGGTAGTCTACTGTACTGACTCTTACCTGGCCAAAATTCCCAGCACTGGACGTGATGACTCCATGGTTTCTGCAGGTCTCAGCATCACAAGACAGCAGGGCGTTGAATGCTCCTCTAGCCTTGAAGCAACCCGTGTGTTGCAAGTTCTCCAACTTCAGATAAATCTTCAGTGGCGCACTCGCGTCCCCGTTGCCATCCTCCTCCGCATGACTATTGCCCAGTGCGGTTTCGTCGGTGGGGCCTAGCAACTCCACAAGAGGCGTCCTCAATACGTGTGGTGCGATGCGCTTGCGAGCCTCATGCACCGTCTCCGTGCTGGGCAAAGTCACGATCGGTGCTGCCCCGGCCGGAGGAAGGAGAGTCGACATGGTGGTGTCACTGAGTCTGTGCGCACCCAACACACGCTGCGAAGTGCTATGACCAAGCTTGTACGTCAGCCAGTCTCTTGACTTGAGTCTTGGGCTCACTCTCTCCGCGTCTTGATACGTGTAGACTACGCCTACAGAGAGTACAATGAACCTGTTCAATCGGAAAAATAACACCGTAGCAGAGAGAACGTGATATTATTGTACCAAACAACTGCACCTGACTGAATGAACCTCAGCCTATTCAGTGGTATTCAGGAGTAGCCAGCCTACTCAGCTCAGTCACAGTAACAGTAGACACGCGCGCGAGCTAGGCTAGGGCGGACTCTATCACGGCGGATGCCAATCGTTTGAACAGCAGCTACTGCTGTGCCTCACGCGCACTGACTATGTCCAAGTGCAACACTTGGATAGATCAATCCTTTTACGACTACAGCCGGCCTGTACCATGTGTACAGACGACCTACCGAGCTGGCTGTTGCACACTTGCAGGCTCTTCAAAGTTGAAATTGTCCTCTTGGAGTTCAGAAATTCAAATGGCAATCACAGTGCAGCCAGACTCTGCGAAGGCTTGATACTGATTGATTCCCCAAGCGACCGGATTCTGTAATTTTGTGTTACAGCCTGGTACCCCGGCGATTACAGGCTAGGCTGCTAGCTTCACACAAAACAAAATTTTGAATAAGACGACAAAAAAGCCTAAACTGAGCCGGTTCTACTACAGTACGCGGCGCGGTGATACTCAGTGAAGAGAAACTGAGCCTTGAACTGTTGAAGTAAGACTTCGCTTTCACGCTCGGATCGAGATACTTGAAGTAATTATTTGTCCACATACATGTAAATAATAATTTACAGTAATATTATTGTACCTGGCTCGTTCTCTGCATAAATTTTGCCGTAGTAATTTTTACTCAAGCTACAAGTAGAGCTTTGTGTAGCTACAGCAAGCTGTGGATCGGATCGCGGACATGTACATGTCGACAGAACTGTTTCGTCCTTTTTTTTACCGTATTTATTTTTGGCACAGAGGTCCATCAGCGCCATTTTTCACCATGACTACGAGCACAAACCTACTTGTAGCTGTACATGTACCATGTGTACGTCTCAGACTCTGAAGACTGTATAAATCTGTATGCATATGCTAGCAAGTAGCATGCAGGGGGGGGGGGGGGTATGCGGCATATGCATGCAGCACACTGCACAAGGCCTGAACATTATTATTATTATGCGTGTGTAGTGTAGGGCTATGTGTGCGTGTATGTGTATGCGTGCGTGCGTGTGTGTGGTGTGTGTGTGTGTGTGTGAAATTGGCCAAAAAAGGTACCGGTGCATCTAGTGGCTGCTTCTATCAAAGCAGTGTTCGATGCCAGGTTGCAACGCTAACGCCGAGACCCCTGGTAGTGGTCGGTCGAGTTGCTCCCTGTACATCGGCACGTCGTCCCTACATCCCCTAGCCCTGTGTCTTGTCTTGTGTTTGTCTCCACATCATGTCTCTTTTGTTTGTCTAGGCCTATATAGGGCTGTGTTCCCAATAAAATAAAATAAAATAAAAAACTAAAAAAGTGTGCTGTCGTACTGGTTACCCCAGCAAGTGTAGAGTGTTCATACTGATAGTGCTCCCTGTCTTGGCTAGCCCGACCTAACGTTATTCCGATGTGCTCCGTGTGGTGCAGCTAAGTAGACCAGGTGTACATAGTCATTGGGGTCGATTCACATGGCTTCGCCAGTTGTGTGGATTACTACTGAGACAGTTATCTGGCGCTTGTCTTCATCTGTTTCATTCAGAATCAGATCCGCTATCGTTGCTATAAAGAGAAAAGCTGTAGGTACACATCCAGTGCATTTGCAGATTTACATGCTTCTCGGGCGTATACATGGTGTGTGTGTGTGTGTGTGTGTGTGTGTGTGTGTGTGTGTGTGTGTGTGTGTGTGTGTGTGTGCCAGTTGCTCGGATTGAGCAGTTATCTGGCACTTCTGGCTTGTGTAATCAATGGTGCTACAAGTAGGAATGCTTATACATGTACATGTACATGTACAATGTAGTTATAATCATATCCACTCTGATTTAGTCACCCACATTAGTAGCAACCTTCTCTGGGCCATCATGGGGGCAAGGGTAACATTTAATGCAGTTGGATCCTGGGACGGATACCCTGATGCCGGCAATTCTTTTTCTGCACCGTGTCCTCACCCACTTTCCGAGGTGTGGTGAACCCATAAGTTGGATCATTTCCAAGGACACCCAGAGTTTGGGGATTTCGAGAGGAGGGGGGGGGGGGGAGGAGGAGGGGAGCGGGTGTCGGCCGATCTACGGTTCAATAGCCATCTTTTCAAGATTCCTTTTGAACCTCCCTCCCGATGGCGATGACAATGGACTTGACAGACAGTGTTCACTTAGTCTAAATCTTCACCTCCACCTATCCGGAACCAGCACCAGCACCAACTAGTAGCACCGACACTGCCCACCGAAGCCCGTAATAGTGCTCTCCGATCGTTCCTCCACGCCACGATCCAAGACTGGAATCGTCTCCCATCTGCCCTGCTATGCAACCTTCCCACGCAGAAGGGAGTGCAGGTATTCAAGGAAGGCGCCTGCAAGTCTCTCTGCAGTCGAGACAGGCACTCAGCCACAGATGCTCTCTGAACCCTCCCTGAACCCTCCTTTTTACTAGGCTCTATCACATGTATCATCTTTCCATTTTCACCCTCAATACAAATGTACTCCCCCTGCCTCCCCTCCCCCCTGTGCCTACTCCTCCCCACTTTTCGGTGCACTGAAGTGTCGCTGAAGCCGAAACCTCAGGTCGGCGGAGATGCTCCAGCTTCACCACCACAGTTGCGCCTGCAGCCACCACCATCATGCAGTATTCAGTTCTCGAGGTTTGTGGTTTCTCGTAAAAAAAATTAAAAAATCCTCTGGGCCAGACATGAAAAACCCCCGATACAGTATCTGGCACTCGTGTAGTACTGTAGTGTACATACCTATTTAATAGCCTATATAATAGGCCAGTCATGCAGTCAGCCTATAGCCCAGTCATGCACATGTATAAGTACATGTCAGCGCACAAATTGATTATACATGTATTGAGATCTACCAGTAGCCTACAAGTACAGTACTAGTACTACATGTATGTCCTGAGGCTGAGGTCAGTGCTAGTGAGGATGATACATTCAACTGTCAACACAGCCTGCGTGAGGCGTTGCCCTGCCACTCGTCTGACGGGTAGGCAGGGCTCTGGAAACCAGGCTGCGGCTGCTAAGACCAAGAAATGGATGAAGGATATCCCTGATTCCCATTCTACAATGCGCTACACTTTCACCGTTGCATATCCATGTATGGGGACAATGTGAGCTGCGTGTAGTGTTCTCTGGTGTCAGAAATTGTCCCAGTCAAGAGATACTATATCAATTAGCATAGCGTCGTAACACGCAGTGTTCTCTAGGCTGAGATATTCACAAGTTGTGTCACAACTAAGATACTTTCCCAAGTTGTAGCGTGCTACACCTGCTGTCGATTCGGCTTTGCCTTGGAGTGGAGCTGCAGAGGACAGGATTAGCAGCAACGGATTCCTAGACAGCTTGCATGTGGAACAGTTAGCCCCGTCTCGGTTGCTGGCGGAACGCGCTCCATTCCGGGACGCATAAGCAGCGCGTCGCTGTTGGGCGGTACATCTCAGTGCATGTGCATGTGTGGGTGGTGCGGCAGTCACCACCATGCCGGCCGTCCAGTCTCCAGACGACAAGAAGAAAAAGCTGCGAAAGCAGACGTCCAGCGGGTTCCTGGATAGGCTGGTAAGTAATCCTATCATTCGAGAAGAGCTGCATGATGCAGTGCTCATACACACGCGCAGTCACCGCAGTGCCTCATTGCCATTGCCATTGGCGATGGAGATTAGTGAGTGATGTACTACAGACAACAGTCAGTAGAGCATGCCGATAGAAATTCGCCACCAATTGGCATGCGAGGTTTGTGTGCGGGGTGCTCAGAACCTGTACTGCATGCATGGAGTGTCTAGTGAGGCAACCACAGTTGTGCATGGCTGACTGGGCACAATGTTCATCGCCATCATGGTATGACATGGAGATAAAACAAGTGCTGTATACTCCTGCTGAATATGCACACAGCCACACTCCACAGCTAGGGCTTGTCTTCAGTGGCGTTGTACCTCGAATGGCTCTTCACATCCCCATAATTATCACACTTTGTGCATTTAGCAATATGGATGATTACAGCTAGGGGAAGTGTTTGGTGTTAAAAAGCACAATATTCCTGTCTCATTAGCTAGGTGATGAACGCATAATAGAGTATGGGATAAGACCACGAACAGCAGTGTGTGCACACACGAGATGATCTTGTATTCGTCGCATAGCCTATAGACAGTACAGCACATGATGGTGTGCGACACTGCATTGTCGCCTCGTTCAGTGCATGTGGACTGCAGAGGAGTAGGGCGCTTTGGACTTTAGTTTCCGGGTGCCAACGAAATTGAATGCAGTTGTATGACTGTGGCTACCCTGCTCTCTCTCTCTCTCTCTCTCTCTCTCTCTCTCTCTCTCTCTCTCTCTCTCTCTCTCTCTCTCTCTCTCTCTCTCTCTCTCTCTCTCCTCCCCCCCCCTCTCTCTCTCTCTCTCTCTCTCTCTCTCTCTCTCTCTCTCTCTCTCTCTCTCTCTCTCTCTCTCTTTCTTCTCTCTCTCTCTCTCTCTCTCTCTCTCTCTCTCTCTCTCTCTCTCTCTCTCTCTCTCTCTCTCTCTCTCTCTCTCTCTCTCTCTCTCTCTCTCTCTCTCTCTCTCGCTTTCTCTCTCTCGCTCTGCTCTTTTCTCGGTTGCCCCATGCAGCGACGGAAAAACACAAAAAGCAACCTAAACGTGCCTGACACTCCTCGGGAAGAAGACGAGGATGCCGGAAATGACCTGCCCTACACTGAATCCTCCCCAGCACTGCTTGAGAGGCCCGACAATGAAATACCTCGTCGCACAGACAGCTTTTCTCGCAGCCCAAACGTACCCGACAACCATGATGATGGAATCCGTGATCAACGGCAGCGCTCTGGGTCGTTGCTACGAACCAGTCCGGCAAAGGTCCCACCTCCTAGCGAGGAGACGTTCCCACCGCAGCTCAAGCCACTCACTCTACAACGTAAGGTCATCCAGGAACACAATGACTGTATAAATTATCGTCACGTCGTTACCTAGACATACAATGTACATGTACTAGTGGTCGTACAATAGCCAAACTAAGACTACTTACTTGTACAATGTGGTTACTTTCGACAGATACCAGCAAGACTTGAAGTAACTACTTTACTTACCGGTAGTTGTAGAATTACATAACCAGGTACCTGGCCGCGCTTGGGACTACCCCGTCCTCTTGTCACCATGGTTACCGGCAGTAGATATACACATACCGGTAGTAATAGTACATGTAGATCTACATCTAAAATGACTTGCGTAGATTTACTCAGGGCAGTCAGGCTGAGGCCAGTGAGCTGTAGATCTACATCTAAAATGACTTGCGTAGATTTACTCAGGCTGAGGCCAGTGAGCTAGACTAGAGGGCTTCGAAAACAGACGCTGTAGTGACTGTAGTTTTGATATTTTGTATACTGACTACTGTACTCTGTAGTGACCCACCCACCGTCCGTATATGATCGTAGATCTACGTCGTAGATCTACATCGTACATGCCGTGATTCCAATCAGGGAGTCGTAAAATACCGGTATTTTACGACTCCCTGATTCCAATGTTCCGTCAGTGCGCGACACCGTATACACTAGCGAGGTGTTGCCGTTGAAAACTGAAGTGGTAAGCCGGCGAAGAACAACTAGCGCTATGTTAATGGCAGGGAGTCGGGCTTTTACGACTCCCTGGTTTATGGTGTTCCCTTCGTCTTCGGTCCTGTATCCTGGTATCTGTGACCGCTAAGTACTAATACGTTACACGTTAGTGGCACTTACAACTGGCAGGTGCCAATTCGCGCAGACGTGGTGGCGGCCGATTCTGACAACGCTTTCGTCGAAACAAAGCCAAAGGTAGATCTACGTCCACACTCTGACTCTCTTGGTGATCTTGTGGGGCATGATGTCAGGATTGTGGTGCGGTCGCATGCGTCGTGGAAGACCCAAATCGATATGCGGTGAATGAAGGCTGTGCTAGCTTGGGATGGAAAGACTTTCTTCTGAAAAGACAAACGCGTAGGCTTTCTCCCGTTTGATGCTAGTCATTGGTGTGGTTCTGAAGGATGGCAGTGCGTGCTATGCGATTGAGACATGGTACTAATATTCTCATAGCGATCGAACAGATCACCAGACCGTCTCGTTTAGCGATTTCGGAGCCCCAGTTCCGTGATTTATCCCCACTCGGCTTTGTGGCTGACAAAACATTCCCGACTTTTTTCTGTGCTTTAGACGGCGAGCCAATGTCAACCTTGATTCAAGGCTCCTTCCCGTGGCAAGTTCAGGTAAGTCGGGATGTCACGGATGCTGTTGACACGGCCCGGTACATGAATCAGGAACCAAATGACTGAGCGGTTTCCTGTGCTTGATGTACAGTCTGTATCGGCTATAGCGTACCCTTTTGATTTCCGTGATTTTATCACTATAACCGATGCATCACTATATGCGATACGATCGATTTTTTTCGAGCGACACATGAAAGGCAAGGAAATACTTCCAGCATGGCGTTTTGACAAAATGAGCATGCTGCATAGTTGACAGTGCCCGCATTTCCATAAAAAATTCTGTTATGTACATGTATCACTATCGAAATAAGCAATGTGAAGAAAGTAAAAAAATAGGGCCTTTGATATTATTGCTACATGTATTTTAAAGTTATCACTATAGCCGATAATAATATAGTGTGTTATGCATGTTTTGATTCTTTGTTGCCATCATAATATCCGATATATCATTACATCCGATAATATTGGTTATAGTGATATTTATACTGGATAAAATACGTTTTGCTTTTGATATTTCGTACCAATATCACTGTAGCCGATATATTCTTATATCCGGTCACTCTATAGCCGATACAGACTGTACTAGAGTTGGGACATAATTCAGAGAACTACTTGAGACTGCGGCCTAGAATATCTTATCATCTTGGACACTGGGGTGGATACGTGTGTAGATCTGCACTGAACATAATGTAGCAACATCAAGCGGCGCTATGTTCATGCCATGGACCTTGACCTGCGCTGCACCTGCCATGGACGTTGACCTGCACTGCACCCGCCATGGAATGCAGGCAACACATACAATGTACCACAGGTTGAAGTCTCCCAAATTCTCCATGTGCAAGTGAATGTTATAGCACACACATTTTATGTTATCTTTCTAGCGCCTTGTATTGAGTTATGACTGTACTAATATGTGGGTTCATGGTCATTTCAGTTCATGGTCATTTCTTGAGAGTCGATTCACTGGTGGTGGCCAGCTAGTGGCTGAAATGTTTGATATCTCTCAAGCTGTCGCTCTGGCCTCTGGGACTGTGTTGAGGGCTGTGTTGAGGGTTGTGTTGAGGGCTGTGTTGAGGGCTGTGTTGAGGGCTGTGTTGAGGGCTGTGTTGAGGGCTGTGTTGAGGGCTGTGTTGAGGGCTGTGTTGAGGGCTGTGTTGAGGGCTGTGTTGAGGGCTGTGTTGAGGGCTGTGTTGAGGGCTGTGTTGAGGGCTGTGTTGAGGGCTGTGTTGAGGGCTGTGTTGAGGGCTGTGCGGAGAGTGAAGTCAGAGCAAAGCATAAGCCTAGTGCCTACGTCACTGTCGGGATAAAACGCTGGCCTAAACATTGTCTCGCAGCTGAATTAGGTAGCGTGTGTGTGGTTCTTTGATTTCCATCCTCCCCGCAGTTCCTGGGAACAATAGCCGACTTGGAAGACTGGCGGGTGGCTTCGACGCGTATGGAGCTACTGGAAATGGTCGACTATGCTCAGGTAAATGAATGGGTTCCACCTCCACCGCATGCATTGATGAACAGGACGAACGCTGTTGCTGTGCAAGCGTAGTGGTGGCTTATGTGATCATGGTGATACCACTTTAACTATTAGATAAGCCTTGTGTTTGTTGACAGCATGTAACAAGGCGGAGACCACCGTGTTCGCCAACCACGGAGGTTGTAGTAAGATCACTGTTTCCGAACACGGTGGTCTCCACCTTGTTGCATGCTGTCAACCAACAACACTTCTAACTACTACAGACTAGCAGTGACCACACTGTGCAATGTAATAGTCCATGGACACTGTGAGTCTGAATCAGGTACACATGCACTGCATGGGCTGAATGGGTGGACAAAGAAAGATGGCACTCGGTGTCACATGACAATGACTCACTGCAATTACACTAGTGGTACATGTATCATGGTGCGCGTTATGATACACGGTGGACTGGCTATACCTGCGTGTGTCCTGCAGCATAAAGAGTGCTTGCTAACCAAGGCCTACAAGTCACAGAAGCTCCACATCTCGCCACTGTGGCTGAACGTCACTGATGATGACAACAAGGTGAGGGACGTGCAGCTCTGCAAGTGCTGCACCCACACCTACCAACCATCCCGATTTTGCCGCGACCGTCCCGATATCGAGGGTGGTAACAGGCACCCAAAATTGCATTTGTCCGGCATTCCTCACAACTACATTTGTAGAAATGTTCATACCTTCACCTAGGTATATCGTTGTTCCGATCTCAAGTTTGCAAAGGTTGGCAGATATGTGCACCATGGCTTGAGTGCCTACTATGAATAAGTGATACCATGTTGCCGCGACATGCTACTAGTGAACACATCCATTTCCACCTGCAGCCTTGCTGATTCATTTTAACCTTGACCCATCATGACAAATGTCAGTGTGTGTGTGTGTGTGTGTGTGTGTGTGTGTGTGTGTGTGTGTGTGTGTGTGTGCGTGTGTGTGTGTGTGTGTGTGTGTGTGTGTGTGTGTCAGTCTCTCTGTGGGTCTGCCTGCATGTCGCCCTTGTGGCACCAAGACTAAAACAATGTTAAGATTAACAATTGATGTAAACACCACATCATTCCATTGCTATCCTCTTGTTTGTTGCGCTGTTCTCTCTCTCCCTGCACAGCACTTGTTGGCGCGCTGTGAGTTGAAGCTGATTGGTAGCGTGGGCTATGTTCAAGATGACACGGAGCATGTGCTGGTCATCAAGTGTTGTCAGGCACCGCTCATTGAGTGCCGCTGTCTAGTCTTCAAGATCGACACTGAGGTATGTATTGCATTGTATACTATAATACTGTATTTGAATTCTCAAGTATGTACACACGGACTACAAGCCCGAGTACATGAAAGCGAATGTGAGAATGGAGTTAAATAAGGGGTTTCGGAAGGAGGAGGAAGGTCAATGTACAGAACACGTTGACCTTGAAGCTCACTTTCACACAAGAGAAACCTGAGCCTGAGGATTTCGAGTAACTCATGACATCCTATGATGAATGTTGGACCAAATCTGCTGCTAAGCATTTCTAATTTTCTACCTTAGCAAGACCCACCTCAGGGAGAACTTTTTCTGGTCCACGATTCTTGTTGTCAAAGGTGTAACTAAGTGTGAACACATGTTGTGTCCTGATTGCTCATGTATACAGAACAACGCACGGCACATATGCAGTACGATCAAGAATGCATTCGAGCTCCACATTGGCCAGATCCAGTCTGAAATGCGCGCCCTGGAGGCGGCGGCCAGACTGCAGTCGCCAGACGGCAAGAACAAGGTGGCATCGGCGCCCAACATCAGTGCCATGGCACGCACAGCATCGCGCGTACACATTCGCAAGCCCACCGAGAGGCGAGCGGGGTCGGACACCGAGCAGCGCAGACAGTCCGCGCATCACAGCTCGTCGGACACCGAGAGCCTCCACCAGTCCACCACCATCCTGGAGCAGCCCAAGCTGCCGCTGCAGATGTACCGCCAGAAATCCAAGACGTCTTTTCCGGATATGCAGGCTGTGGCCACCGCCACTACACCTACCGGTGCTGGACTAGGTGCACGCAAGAAGTCACGTACACAAATGCTTGCGCAATCCCAGCGAGACAGCAGCGATTCAGACTCGGTCGCCCACTACAAGGCGGCAAAATCCAAATCATCCGAGTCGCTACGTAGCCCGATGGGTGCCGAGGCTGGTAGCAGGGACGCGTTCGATGGCGGCCACTCCAGACACGGCAGTGATTCGCTGGCCCAGTCATCGGCCAGTGTTCAGCAGAAACTGGGCAGTCTGCCAAGACCCCCAGTCATCCAAACGGAACAACACTCTGACGGCATGAGACGACGGCTGTCCACACTCAGTTTTCTCTCTAAGGACCCAACCTATGCATATGTATCAAGTCGTTCCATTACATCAGGCAGATCCCGATCGGCCGATGATCTCTTCTCACTCAAGTATTCAGAGATTGGGGAACACAAAGAAGAAAGAAGCTCTAAGGGTATTGATCCGTATGCCACATACGCCAAGTCATCCAAACAGGTCACTCATATTTATGCTCGGCCGCACAAGGATAGACAGACCATAGTGCCTGCGAGAAAGGTGAGCCAGTTCGATCCCTACTCGAACATCGATGAAGTGAAACTCGGCCTCACCTGGGCAAGTCCTCCGGTGCAGCGAACGAAACAAGAGCAGCAGCAGCCAGTTCCGCCACTCACACCGCGCCCCACACTGGCACGATCGAAACAAGGCCTAGCAAGTGCCAGCTCGGAATCGCTGACTGGTGGGAGATCGATTCCATCCTCACCGGCTGTCATAACACCCATTACATCACCAACAACACCGGTGCTAGCAGATCAGGCACAGAGGATGCTAAGCGACAATGATCCTGCATACTCGGTGCCAGTTCCAGTCGCTACGCTTGTTCATTCCTTGCCACCAGCTGCACCACCAGCACCACCAGCACCACCTGCACCATCAACAGGCCCACCAATCCCACCGGCACCACCAGTACCACCTGCTGTTCCGGCAACAGTTGAATCAATACGGGTTGTTGATACTGTATCAACAGGAACAGCACCACCCCCGCCTCCATCTTTAGGACCACCAGCAGCAATACCTGCATCTCCACCAGTGGCTCCACGTCCTACAGAATCCCTGGTGGAGACAGAATCATCTACAGAGTCAACGCCGCCTGCCCCGCCTGCCCCACCGCGACCTCCCTCCAGTCTGACAGGGAATTCAGGACCTCCTCCAGCACCTCCCCTAACACTGACCCTTGATTCCGGCCCACAGTCAATGTCAATACCTGCACCACCTCCGCCACTACCCGCAGGCCTTCTTTCAACCGGTCCCCCGGCGCCACCAAAGCTGCCCCAGGCGAAGGAGACAACCACCACCACATCGAACATTCCAGCGCCTCCGCCACCAAATCTTCTATCCACTTCAGGATCTCCACCGCCACCACCACCACCACCACCACCACAAGGAAGTGGCTCAATTAATGCTCCACCAGCACCAGCAGCACCAGCACCACCACCAGCATCATCAGCAGCACCAGCACCTCCACCACCCCAGTCCAGCACTGCAGCAGGTGCTCCCCCACCGCCTCCCCTACCAAAGGGACTCCTCTCTAAAGGTGGGCCATCGCCAAAGAAGCCTGTCGGCCTTGCATCATCACCTCTGGCTGCTGAACAGGTAGCTGTGGCAAATGCAACTTCTCCATCAGCAGCAGCAGCAGCACCCCCACCACCTCCTAGCCTCACTGGTGGTGCTCCTCCGCCAGCACCTCCGCCACCACCCAACCTCTCCAGTGGTTCTCCTCCACCACCACCCAACCTCTCCAGTGGTTCTCCTCCACCAGCACCTCCACCACCACCCAACCTCTCAGGTGGCGCTCCTCCACCAGCACCTCCGCCTCCACCCAGCCTCTCAGGTGGCGCTCCTCCACCAGCACCTCCTCCACCACCCAGCCTCTCCAGTGGTTCTCCTCCACCAGCACCTCCGCCACCACCCAACCTCTCCAGTGGTTCTCCTCCACCACCACCCAGCCTCTCAGGTGGCGCTCCTCCACCAGCACCTCCACCACCACCCAACCTCTCCAGTGGTGCTCCTCCACCAGCATCTCCTCCACCACCTGACGTGGCCTCTACAGGTCAAGCAGCAGCACCGCCCGCACCAATGCCCTCGGGTGGAAGCAACATTCCCCCTCCCCCACCATTGCCAACTCAAGACCAACTTGATGGCAAGGTACCAATAGTGCCGAAGAAGAAGGAAGAAGCAAAGGATGCGGGACCGAAGACTAAGTGGATTGAAGAACAATACTCCGAGTATGAAGATGAGGAAGTCTCAGATGAAGAAGGTATGATGCATGCTCTAACATTTTTGATTTATACTACACAACACAACACTGCCGGATTTGGCACAATGGAATCTGCAGTACTAGACAATGCACTTCAAAGAGTTAATCCTTGAGTTGCCGGTACATCATATTAAAAAAGGTTCAATTTAGAAAGCTGTCTCTGCCTAGTGTGTAAGCTCTCTCAGCTGCACCACAATGCCAATAAGGATTGCGAAATAACTTACAGCTAGTCTGGCCTAGAGTTATTACTACATCCTCTCAGCTCTGCAACACCAATTGGTTTACAGTCTCGTTCACTATGCATCTGTGTACATATGTGTGCGTGCGTGAGTGCACACACACACACACACACACACACACACACACACACACACACACACACACACACACACACACACACACACACACACACATATGTACACACATTCCTTGACCTTGGTAAACGTTACGGCATTGATAGGTTACACAGTCCCCATCACCCATCAGGGGAGAGGGGTGGAAGGGGCTGAGGAGCAGCACTTCTGACGGCACACTAGATGATGACGTAGTCATAACTTCATGTGGCATGGGAAGTCGGCCCTTTCTGCACTGTCCTGCGTTTCGTGCGGTCACACTTGTGTCTGGCCAAGCTGCTGCTGGACTTGAAACTGCGGTGACAGGTGATGCACTGTGCACTGTGGAGTGATTGGATTGCCGAGATGCTCGGTGTTGGGAGCAGGCCCGTGATCACACCGATTCACATTCACACACATGCACACACACACACACACACACACACACACACACACACACACACACACACACACACACACACACACACACATACACACACACACACACACACACACACACACACACACACACACCCACACACACCATTGATGTAAGCATACAAGGCAGCTCAGGAATGATATTGTAGTTGAAGGTACGTTGCCTGAATTGAGAGGCTTTGTGCGACCATTTTTTTTCCTTTTCCACTTCAATGCCGGCACCGATGTCTCACGTTCAAATGCAGTTTCTGGTGCGGAATTTGGAAGAGAGAAAAAATGCCGTGCGAAACCTCTCTAACGTTATCATACGTGTTTTTGTCTTCAGATCCTAACTTGAAGAAGGTAATCATGGAAGAAACTGAAGGCTACATATGGCAAGTAAGTGCAACGGGTTCAGGCGACGTAGATTGGTCAAAGGTTTACCTTACTGAAATTGATACTCAATCTAATTAATTGTCCATGTCTCTGTTAGAATTGATGAGCAGTGGTCTACATAGCACCAAGTACTGAAGTAGCAGATAAGGGTGGGTTCGCAAAATGGTCAGATCTGCACTGGGAGGCACCGACGGTGTGACAGCTCCTAGTCAGCTGACGAAAAATCATTTTTAATTTGTTTAGATTTTATATTGGTAACTTATTCCCGTGTTCATGTGTTGTGCAGGTTGAAGCAAACTTGGGCCAGGTAGGCTTCAACCAGTTCCGCCAGCTGATGGATAGATACGTTGATCGCAAGGCTGATTCCAACATCAATGCCGTGTGCCGTTCACTCAAAGTGCAGCTGAGAGGAGACCTGTAAGTATTTCTCAAAGGCTGCGGCCAAACCAGTGTGACACCCACCCACCCGCCCGCCCGCCCGCACGCACGCACGCACGAACACACACACACACTATTTGTTCTTCTGTCTGTTTGTCTGTTTCCGTTGTGCATCTGTATGTCTGTCTCTCCTTTCCTTCTGCCATCCCTCGGTATGACTGTCTCTCCATCCCTCTGTATGACTGCATATCACGTTAACAACCTTGACATAGGAATCCAGAACACTCGTGTAACAGCAGAAGATGATGCGGTCCTGTGTTGTTTTTCCCATTTCTAGGCTGTATCTCCGTAAGGGTGCACTGAGAATGATCCGGAAAGAGGACCGTCAGACTTACATGGAGAAGATGGATGTGGAGGCGCTTCCCCGTGAGTTCACAGCCTGATCAGCGGAGGGCACCGTAATGTGCTTGATAACATGTGACTGATTTCAAGTATAATTGTCCCGATGTGTGTATTACTACTAGCTTCAGTGTTGTTGGCAGGTCACACTGGCACGGCGGCATGCTTCACTCATCATGCACATGCTGCTCTATAGGAAGTAGGAGCAATCACATCTCTTACAAGTAGCATGTTCCACATGATATGACCAAGAGTACATAGGCGGTTATGTACTCTTGCAGTCTCTTGGTATGACTGAATGCCTCTAGGCCTACAAGCATTCCGAGTAATCAACAGTCGGTGACGCTGTCTGAGGCCACTCGCGGTCTGAGCATGTTTTTCTGTTGTTTTGCCTCTTGTGTACTCTCTACACAGGAATGACGACTGTGCGCAAACGGCGTCTCATTCGCACCAAGAAACGCGAGGTGCCCATCGACCATCCTGGTCCTGAGCCACTGCGCCGCAACACTATGACTAACAAGACAGGAAAACCCGGCATCAAGTCAACTCCTTCATCGGCACAGTTTGAGGGCATTCCAAAGTCAGCCAAGGGAATTGTTGCTACCGACACATCCAGCAAGGACTGGAAAGAGAAAGTTCTGGGAGCAAAGAAGGCCAAGAAAGCCGAGGAAGAAGCCCAAAAGCAACTCAAGCAGCAGCAAGACAAGGAGAAATGGGACTCTGTCCCTGCGTGGAAACGCAAACTGATGGAGCAGAAAGAAAAAGAGGCAGAGGAAAAGAATAAGCCCAAGGCCATGGCCGTCCAGCAGAAGAAAGAACTCCAGGCCAAGATTTCTGCAATGGCTCCCTGGAAACGGGAACTGTTCATCAAAAAGCATGGCTTGGAAGGGCAGTTCGATTTCTAAATATTGTCAGCCTGTGCTGCGTGGCATTCTTATCCTGTGGCAAGGTCTGCTTTGAGACAAACACTTTGATCAGAGTATTTTACAAAAAAAGCTGCCCATTGACCATCCATGGTCTATAGAGAATTAGCGTGCATCAAAGCAGCTTGTGTGCTTGCATGCGCTCAATCACTAATTGCATTGCTGCTTTCATGAGTTGAAATCTAGTACATCGAACTATGTTTGTGTGCTTAGTGTAAGAGTTGGTTGGTGTCGCCGGGTTGCGGCTCTCTCGCATTGAGTACTATAACGTTAGTATTACTAATACACGAAAATTGCACTGGAACAATGGTCATGTGACCCTGTCAGTTAGTTATACTGTTCGCAAATCACAATACTGTGGCACACATACATAATTATAGAGTTTATTATTATTATTATTATTTAATATCAGGATATGCCGTGTTCTGCTTAGATTGTACATACAACTGACCTTCTGTTTCCTGTGTAGTGATGTGAGAACAATTTTTTTAAAATATTGATTATGACCGATGGAATACCGTACTTTGGTCAAGATGAGCTTGGGTGCTTTTTTCCGAGCTAATAGTCAGTGGACTGGTGCATTGTACAAATATGAAAAGCATATCCGGACAAAATGTACGGTCAGTCATGTATCAGCAACAGAGAATTCAGTACTGTAGACCAGGGAGTAGTTTAATACCGGTATTTTATTACTCCCAAGCGTATACTACACTGTACCAGTATTTCCCTGTGTATAAGTCAGTGCTAGCAAGAGTACATAACCCCTGGGGTTATTTACTCTTGGTGCTAGCATGCCGGATGAGTTGTATTCACAGTCCAATCTTTGACGGTGATGCGTCCTCTACAGAGTCGTAAAATCACCACTTCAGAGCTTGTAGGGCATCCCATGCGCGGTCAGATAACTGGCGGCCGGTTAAGTGACGCACTACTATACTGGAGTCTGGTGTCCTGGGGTAGCATGTTGCTCTTGAAATCCATGTTCAGGATCTTGATGTATGACATTACAGGGGTGTAGCTGGTCCCCCTTTAGGGGGGGGGGGGGGGGGGGGGGTGTAGCTGGTCCCCCTTTGGGGGAGGGGGGGGGGAGGTGGTCGTGCACGGCCGCATATGTGTAGGATGGCTGGTGGCAGGTCATTCACGGTCATTATGTGCATGCTGAACCTAGGCCAAAAGTTTTAGGGGGGGGGGGGGGGGTGCACGTGTCCCCCGGGCCCCGTGCGGGCTATGCGCCTGCATTACATGATGGGCAAGTATACCCTTTCAAGAAGCCACATTAGCTAATAGCGGTTACACGGCAGACCTCTGTAGCAGAACCAGAACCAGCCATCTAAGCATGAACGGCGACCCTTCAAGCTAACGTCAGTACCAATCAAGACACAATCAAGTCACTAGTAGCTTCAAGCGTTGCATTTTCTCTGAACTATTTTGATTGTAATATCAGACTAGTGGATACCATTAACATCGCACATGTACTCATAAGTCAAGTATTTACGCAGTCGGTGTTAGACAGTAGCAGGAATAGGAGTAAGGTAACGCATGGCTCCCATTCAAGCCTGCCTTGAACCCAGCACAGAGCACACGGCTACAAGACGTCACCTGCGGCCTCGCTCTCCGCACGCAGAGCCTCCATGTCGGCGTCAATACACAGCTGTGTCTGTGATTCCAGGGCCGCAAACCTTGCCTCGCGCTCTGCGCAGCTGTCAAGCTGATCCGTGGCGTTCTCGTCAGCTTCCTCATCGTCCTGCTTGCCAAGGTCTATGTCCCTCCAGCCGTGCGCAGTTGCAAGCTCCCTGGCTAGCTCTGTCAAACACCGCTCGTCATCATGATCGCTATCCGCAAGGCCAGCATCATCAAAGTCAATGACTTCCAAGTCACCCTCATTGAATTGCAACTGGTCAGTCTCGGCATGAGTGCTGGCCGTTGGTGTAACGGAACCATTTGCGTCGATTCCATCGATACCAACTTGGTCTGTTGCAACATTTGTGTCACTCAGCTGGTGACGGAGTTCATTTTGGTGAGATTCACAGATGTGGTCCGCACCATTGGAAGTAGCGGCACTGCATGTTATGGCATGAGCTGTGCTAGGCTGCTCATCGACATAGTCCGGTATCCACACAGCCTTGGAGCCAAGATGAAATCCAACGCTCTCAATCTGCGGTTCCATGTCTGGCTCTCCATCAGGCTCACTCACGGATAGAGCGGTGTCTTGTGCGTCACCCGTGTCGTCGATCAGAAAATTATACAGAGGTCTGTAATTCTCTGTGTTCGACTTGTTCGGCTGTGGCGCTTGGCCATCTTCGAGCAGGGAACAAACACTTACGACCTCACGCTGCAGTACACCAGAATCCGTTTGCTGTCTGCTAGATGCTCTGTCAGCTGGACGGGCTGACGCAGCAGAATGTTGAAATAGCGGAACTGACGACCTCGGAGCACGGTGGCTATGGGAGTGGACTGACACTGGCCTGGATCCTGCTGGTAGGAGATCAAGGGCGTCTGCCTCAGAGCGAGCAAATGTATCTTGCAGATGTGGTGATGCATTGCGTGCTGGTTCTGCCACCGTCCGCACACTTGAGTCGCTTTGCTGGGTATCACTCGACACACTACTATCAAACTGACCAGTGACATCATCACACTGACCAGTGACATCATCAAACTGACCAGTGACATCATCGCTCACTCTACTCGTTGTCCTGCTCAGTGGCTGCTCCGCAGCGAGATCAGACAGAAGCTTGCCCTCCTTGTGTTTCTGAAGCATCAGGCGCTCCGTGTACGACAGCTGGCTTTTGCCGAAATCCAGGTTCAGCTGGGCCGCCGACGGCATGCCAGGCTGGAGATCGTGTGACGATGTGCCAGTTGATACGGGCTCTGGTGGAGCGACCGATGCACTCATTGTACCTGGATGCATCAAATAGAATGACACACCTGTGTGAGGGAATCAACCTCCAGGGTGTGGAAACTTGGGGAAATGGACGCATACTTCCGCACCCTAGGCAAAGATAACAACAGAGTTAATCCTCAGAATTCTTTGTTGCCATCTTCCATAGGTCCGTCAAATAGTAGTAATAGGTTTTTCATTTGACCCGACGAGACCTGCGAGCGTAGTGTGGTCTCGTCGGGTCAAATGAAAAACCTATTACAGTACTATTAATTCTCAGAGTTAGACCACGCACTTTATTTTATAATTATGATGTACAATAAAACCTGCCGGGGGGGGGGGGGGAGGGACTCTGGTAAGGTTACTACTAATGAAGGGGATCGCTCTCATAAAACGACACCCTCAGGCCTGTCCCAGAGGACCACTAGAACAAGGACCAAAGGATATCATTCTTCAGTCACATGACCCTGGATACAGAGCCCACCTGTGTAAGTGACCAGGATCGTGGGTCCCTTGGTCGACTTAGATAGGTTTTAGTACAGCTAGCCACCTACGTGATACTCCATGATGACCAGTCCAGGCCCGTGATCACTGGTAGTTTGCCACACCTGCTGATGCTGTGCTTCGGGGAAATGTTGGGCACCTTCTCAGTCTCACGTTTTCACCCCTTCCAGTCATCGCGGAGAAAAACCAAGTACAATGTACAGTATCGTGATCAAGAGCCAAGAGACTACACTGAGATAAGACAAAGAAAATATTGGTGGCAGTCCCCCTATAATAGTTATGCCGGGGAGCAAAACTGAGTTAAATATTCATAAATTCGAGGGAGATGAAAAGGGAAAAGGAAATCTAAAAATCAATATCATGAAGCAAGCATCGTCCGGGACTTACTTGCTTTCGGTGTGGCCATGTGTCCTTCTCTCCATTCCTGAACAGCGCGTGCAAAACCCTCTGCACTGGCCTCTTCGTCGTACTCTCCCCAAAGTGCACCGCCTCGTTGACTACGCGGTCTTGTGTTGCCGTCCCGATCCAGGGCAGTGCTCGCCGTGTTTGTCACGGTTGCTGTTGTTGTTGTTGTTGTTGTTGTTGTGCTGGTGGCAGTGGGGGTGTCTGCGGGCTCACGACCTTCACGCCACGCTCGAACCGCTTCCTGGAACGACTGCGCCTGTGCTTGCTCGTCATACTTGCCATTAAGTAAGGAGTCAGTGGAGAAATTGGCTGCTTGTTCGCTTGTCCCCACTCCCTCTGCAGTTACTGAACCTTGCTGACTGCTCTGACTGCTTGTTGATGCCCTAGTCTTCTTGCTGAAAACACCAGGGCAAGATGTAGCCTGTTGTCCAGGAAGACAGTGTATTGCAAAACAATAGGGAAACACTTTAAAACAAACTGAAGATTTAAAGTACTACTAACAGCGCTATCACATGATACCCAATTGTATACAGTCAGTGTCAAGTTACATTCGGCTGATCTCCCAATTTCAGAATTTTCTTCCAAGCCAGCCATGTCAAGATAAGCTTTACAGCCTCTTTTCCTCCCCTCCAAACAAACAACCAGTAAACACCATGCTGATGCAGTGCACAATCGAAATCTTCAGACTGGTATTCCAAACAATCAGCCCCTCCCCCCCCCCCCCCAAGTAAGGTAATTCTGCCAGAAAACTCTGGAATTCCAACTCAACCTCTTTTCGGCCATATACCATGATGGTTTCCGAGACATGGCTTCTCAGCGCTCCCTTATGATGAAACCGGGTAAAGCAGGCAGAACAGTACAATTCCTTGCAGTCTAGGCAGTTCTGCAAGAGCACACGACCGTAGAGAATGCAGCACACGTGCACGTGCACACACACACACATGCATTCACATACACACTCATGCATGCACGTACACACGCACGTGCGTACGCACACACGCGCGCGAGCGCATAGCACAATATGCTAGCTGTTCACATTACAATGATCTTGTGTGCTGAAGAACATACGGCCAACTAATCACTCCTGGTTTGTCCATTTCCCCACCATTCAAATGTATACATGTACTAAGTTACAAGTTCTTATTAGGGAGAATCCCAGCCACCCGATCGCCGTGATTCCCTCCGAGCATCCTGGCACTCTTGGTGCACAGGGTCATTAAATATCAGGCACATCACATGTCCTGTGCAATCTCCTGCCTGCTCCGCTCTTAAGTGTCAACACATGTACCTATACCCGTGCGGCATGTGAGAGAGAGAGAGAGAGAGAGAGAGAGAGAGAGAGAGAGATAGATAGAAAGAGATAGATAGATAGATAGATAGATAGATAGATAGATAGATAGATAGAGAGAGAGAGAGAGAGAGAGAGAGAGACAGTCAGAGAGTCAGACAGACAGACAGACAGATAGACAGAGAGAGAGAGAGAGACCGTAAGCACGCTGGGCACACTGACCTGACAAGCTCCTGCTGTCTCACACTGCCCACAGACTGGCCGAGGATCAGCCGTACCCACACCAATACCGGTGCTTGCGGACACGCGCGGCGCTACAGACGGTGAGCAGTGCATTGCTGATGAAACACCCATCTTGACGGTGCCATTCAGTGCTGCAATGTTGTCATGTCGGCCCAACTGAATCTCCTTCAGCTTTTCAGAGAGCGGAGTGTCATTAGAGCGCTGACGTGGCTGTATGGGCTCGTCCTTCAGATACGTGAGTCGAACTTTCTTTGGCTTGGCTGCTGGCTGCTTCTTGGCCTTCACTGGTACGTCCGCTGTACCACTGAGGTCGGTGGTTGCATCTCTCGGAAAACTAGGCAATGTGCCTCGGGGACGCTTTGGCTTGCGAGGATCCAGCGACACGATGTCCGCACCAAAATTCGACAGACTCTCCGCACGAAGCGCATCACGCTCGGCCTTCTCCCTTTCTGACGACAGGTGCTTCTTAAGGAGATCAAGCTTCTGTGCCGCCAGTCTATTCTCTCGCTCAAGGTCTTTGGCAGACGCGGCAGTGTACTGAGATGAGGTGCTGTATGTTGAAGACAACACGTAAACCAAAGACCATCAACACTGTGTGTGTGTGTGTGTGTGTGTGTGTGTGTGTGTGTGTGTGTGTGTGTGTGTGTGCGTGTGTGTGTGTGTGTGATGCGTGTGTTTTGCTGAGTGTGTATGCGTGCGTGTGTGTGCGTGTGTGTGTGTGTGTGTGTGTGACGGGAGAGTGGGACAGCAGTACAGAAGACAACCCTGATGATGTACCGTGGCCGATGACACCTTTGCAAACTGTTTCCAGCACTGACAAAGTCACCATTCAATTGGAGTGTGTGGTAGTCTGAATGAATATTCTCTGTTAACCACGGTGGAGCGAAGAATATAGCCTATAGGTTCTTTCATTCCCTTAATCTTTTTATAATTTTAATACCAATGATATAGGGTATCCAGTACTGGTACAAACCCAGATTAAAACAGCGCAGTGGACGTGAATGCATACTGGGAAAATCTGGAGGTCTACATGATCATGAAAGCTGTCAGTTCCACAACATCATGCACATCATTGTGCTGAGACAGTATTATTATTTATTATTATTAAATTTTGAATAGGGCAGTCCCACATGCCTAGAGTATGCTTGCTGGAGCTGTTGCTAACATTCGATTTACGATTTAGAGAGACTTACCCCTTTCCTCTTTTCATCGTGTTGCTGCTCTTCACAAGCAATGCTACTGCTTGTACAGTGCGTGAACAGCACGACAGCTGGGACAAACGTTTCTTTACAAAGCTGACTGCTGGACACCGTTCGTCGACGCTAGCACCTAGTACCTAGCGCCGTTCGAAACCACGATGCTCACGACAAGGGTACCGCTACAACACTGTCACTACTAGCAACAGAGCCGTGACTACAGACGTGACTACAGACGTAGACCGGGTGGGAAGAAGAAGACGACTCTGCAGTCAATCGGAGACGATTGCTTCAGATTTATTATCATAGCAGGCTGTAGAATACCATGAATACTACTTAGCCGTGTCTACCAAGTACCTACATGATTGTACTACATAGTCATTACAGTGTAGATCTACAGTACTACATTATTTGTACATACACAGAGGGGTTGATACCACCATGCTGAACATATTTTTAGATTTATCGGTATATGGGCATCGGCGAAATGCCTACAACTACTGAGCGTCTACCACTTACCAGGTCTACTACTACTACTACTAGTACTAGTACTAGATCTTACCGTCCTCATGGTCCTAGCCTTGCTTCAAGGATCTTGGCTCTTGCATGCAGGAGGTGTTTTATTTGAAAACATGTCCTTGGTGACACTTCTTGGTTACCGCGACCACCTATCACCATTGCCAAGAGTACATGAAAACCGTTTTCATGTACTCTTGCCATTGCGTGTCAGGTCAGCATGGCAACCAGCCGCGGCGCAGTACCCGTTCAAGCACTGCGTCTTTGTTTACGGACACGTGCACCTTCTTGATCTTCAAAGTCAGTCGATCAAGTCAGGCTAAAAAGAGCTCAAAACCAAAAATCACCAGTTCAAATGTCTGAAAGGGAAAACACAAAGAAGTGAAACTACCAGGCCCGATAAACATCGTGGACATGATAATGATGGAGTACAGCTTTGTCACTGAAGCCTAGGCTAGAGCTCCCAAATGGCCACTGTCGTCGCACGTGGTATTCAGGGTGGGTTGAGGCCGGCGTGGAGGAGATCTGCCCAGGTGCAAATGCAGTATGGAAGATCAACACTTCGGGCCGCCAGCTCCAGCACCGTCAGTACAGGACCTCAGAACGGGCCACGACACTCAGACTTAGCACCCTGGTACAGGTCCTGTTTGTTCGTTCCCGGCGACAGTGAACGAAAGCTGAGAAAGTCAGTAGAATGTGGAGCTGACTTGTGTATTCTGGATCTGGACGATGGCGTTGGACATGACAAAAAGGTATACAATTTAATCTGCAAGTACAAAATTAATCATGGTTGTAGCATGATGAAATCAATCACGACCTTTTCATTGAGTTGCCAAGGACGGGAAACTAAATACATGTAATATACAAGTAAACAAGCGCTAAGCGTTTCGGAGACAGCAGTTACACATAATAATAATAATAATAATTTACACATAAATGTCGACATAATTACCGTAAAGTCGCGGATAAAAGCCGGGCTTATAAGCACATAAGCCGCTTTCTGCATCAGGCTTTAATGCAAACCATGCTTATATGCACCACTGATATTTTGCCAGGCTTCTGTGCGCGACACGCGTAGATCTACCACTGACTACCGGTATGGCGGCAGTTTTACTATGCACCGTCTACATAGTGCATACATTCTTGACCTACCCGATCCGCGCTTGCATAGAAGCCAGGCTTCTATGCGCGACAGGCGTATATGCATTTGACCCGTTTGATTTTCAGGCTTCTATCCGCGATGTGCTTGTATGCAAACCCGGCTTTTATCCGCGACTTTACAGTATAGGAAATTCTTACACTGCAAGCGAGGATCCCTGGTTCGAGTCCTGATGGTGACAGTCAATTTTTTCTTCAGACTTTTCCCGTTTGCGTCTTTCCCTCAAACTAGTCAAGAAATTCTTACAGTGCAATTAGTCCTCCTTGTAGTTATAATATGCAAACGTAATCAATAAAATTCTCACTATGGTAAATTGCACAACTTGTCCGTTTAGCCCGGTTGTGCTGCGAGTACTATCCTCGTCTACTCAGCTAGTGCTACCGTCGGTTACTAACATGGCCTTCTTATGAGGTGAAGACATTGGAAAATTAATTTTAATTTTATAATTGATAATATACAGTGTAAAATCTCTCGGACGGGCAACACAATTGTGCAAATCATCATACAACAGGAGATAGCTCAAAATGTATAAATCAATTCAAGTGCTAGTAAATCAATTGGGAACACGAATAGCAAATAACAGCTAACAGTATACTGCTGGTGATCCATTGCTGGTCAGCACCCCGGTGTGTGCGAGTTGAAGCGATCACTGCGTCTAGTCTTGACAATTTACTCCTCCTGTGCCTTTTTTCCTACCATACATATGGTGTGTCCCTGGACATACGCTTCGGGCATGCGAACGCCAGGTTAAACCACCCCTGCCCCGCCAGGATCTGATCCATCTTGGATCGACATATTCTTGTTCATGTAAGCAAGTCATGCGGTGCCCAGGAATTACCCTGCTTCCCCACAGCAGTGCAATGATCGGTTTGCCAAAGCTAGAATCCGAACAGTACCGGATCATTCTTATTTTCCTGGTTCTTCATGTGTTGGTATCTTTGCTCTTGTCAGGCCATGGCTAGAGAGATGATATGCAACATAGTACCACAATTGGTCTATCCAAGTACAACAAATACGCTGGTTCGCTTGAATGCCACCTCGGCACTGACAAGGGATGGTTTATCTCAGCTGGAGCTCGATGTGGGCATGCTGAGCACCATGAAGACGCTGCCCAGCGCCGTGGGCCTGAGCAAGGCCGACACGGCGCAGGACGTTGAAACGTTCATCACGCTGCTCGACAAGGTAAGCAATGCGGTGATGAACTGTGCTTTTCCTTCTAGCACCGCCATCTCCACGTCAAATAATCTTACTGCAGGTCAGTTGAAACATCTGTGTGTTGTGATATGACGGGCTGATGAGGCTCTAGTATCCCACTTGCTTGGACTTTTTTGGCCAACATCTACATGAGTTTACCGAGTGCTCACGGTCGTCGTGAGTTTCCTTCGGGAATGGACACGATAATTTACTTTTACTTTTCTTCTACTTGCCGTTCTGTGTCCACTTGCCCCCCGGTGTGCTGCAGTACTTGCCACAAGACATTCCTCCGCTGGGTATCTACCTGATGGTTGAGTCACCTCTAGCCATTGTCAAGCTGGAGGATATCTGTAGCGCATTGGTCAACGCGTCCCAGAGCATGCGTTTGAAATCGTTCCTGCCGGGTGGCCTGGCTTTCGGCCACATGGATTACTGCACCGACATGGGTAAGACATAATAACTACATGTACAGTTGTGCTGGGTGAAATCCGACCCGACTTGCAAAACTGGCACTCTGTACCAGTTCTGATTACATCATTGTAATTGTTACTTGTACATGTGCATGTCCAGCCGCATTCGTGTCACTTCCGGGGCGTCAAGGGCCGTGTAAATTGAGGGCTCCAAATGTGCACCCCGGGTCGGATTTCACCAAGCGCAACTGCACTTTGTAAACCGTAAGAAGAAGAAATGTGGAGTACAGTAGATAATAGATATTGGTTATAACGTGCCCTTCTGATTTTTCACATTTTATCACTATAACCGGTATATCACTACAGGCGATTTTCAACTGCGCGCGTCATACATACACATTATACACGTGTGGGTACTCGATCGCGCTAATGTAGCGTACTGATACGTGATGGATGCTACTGCACCTCCAGTCTAGAGTGAAGAGCTTCTTGGCCCAAAGGCATCATCCAGGAAGCACCAGACCACAATACCCTATGACAACACACATGTGGCTCCAAGTCGAGACATCAATGCCTCACACTCGTGTGTTGCTATCACTATAGACGATAATTTTTCTGCACAAAGAGGTGTTTTGAATGGTGATTCTGTATCCTTATAGCCGATTTATTGCTATATACGATATATTGGTTATAATGATAATTTGACTGGCTTTTTCTGGTTTTGCTTTTGATATTTTCATTTTGTATCAATATAGCCGGTTTATCACTATGTCCGATGACTTTATAACCGATATCCACTGTACCTGTACACGTACACATATTCAGATAGGATATCTGCTATGATACACAGGGGAAAGATGAAGATTTTTTTTAAGATACTGTAGACCACCCAGTGTTTGCGTCAATAATTTTTCGCTATCTCTCAGAACCAGCAGCTAATAACGATGGTAAATGTTTGCAGAACACTGTGGCCACACACACACACACACACACACACACACACACACACACACACACACACACACACACACACACACACACACACACACATGCACCCACTGTTGAGGTTTGACTTCACGCTGATTGTTTGCGGTATGCTCTTCTCGTGAAAATAGCGAACATTAATACGTTGCAAACATTTGGCAGTTTTAATTCAATAGTAACATTGTGTGTCTGGTGCCCTTGCTACCGATATCGCAGGCATTGACACTACCGTCTATGACCGCAGCAAGTTTCTCTTCGCTGAGCAGAAGCTGGCCACCGTAGCAAGGGCGTACCGCTTGCAGGCCATGGACTGTGCATATACGCTGGTCAAGGGTGAGTTTGGTGTTGTCTAGCAAGAATGGTTTGCTGCATACTGCCATTACTGGTAGCTAAGCTTGGAAAGATTGAAGTGATACTTGAGTGTGTGATATATGCGTACCGTATGCCAGCGCCTTTAAAGCCATGGTCTTGTATTCGAAACAACGCTGCTTTCCTAGATATTTTAGATGCAAAGTGACTCACCCACTATGCCATGCATGCCATAAAAGTCGAAGTCTTTTTTACAAAACACGCTTCAAATGTCATTTCATTTCAGAAGCCCATGGCTTTATAGCTGAGACTGGCTTTATAGCTGAGACTGGCTTTATAATCGAATATACCGCCATGGCTTTAAAGGTGCGGACATACGGTGTGTACTGAAGTACAACTATAGCACAATAATATTATAGTAGTTTTGTTGTAGCAGCATATGTACTCATTTTAGTACAGTAGAATCGTGCGCCGAAGAATGTGGAGCCTAAAGTTAATAACGCCGGTGTTGGTTTTCTGGCAGGTTTTGGGATACATATGATCCAGTATGAATTGTTTCTAAGAATGTGCTGTAAGAACGCAGCCAGGCTTCTGAAAGATACGGTCAACCTTCGAAACAACGTTCTTGGATGCACAACTCTACTGTACTGTTCATGATGATGATGATGATGATGAAATCAGTGTTGCTGGTCAAGCCGGAGCATCCGGAGCATGAGGAAGAGGCCCAGCGCCTCTTCTCCGCCACTGGAGTTACCATCAAGACCAGCGGCAACCGTCACCTCGGCGGAGCGATTGGCAGTGAGGAGTTCTGCTCTGCCTTCATGGCCAAGAAGGTGGATAAATGGAAGCAGGTTCTGGATTCCCTGACGGGGATGGCTGTCACTCAGCCTCAGGCCGCATACACCGTTTTTACGAAGGGTCTGTCATCCACATGGACATACCACTTGCGTTGCTCACCTTGTTCGGCTGAGATACTGGCCGAGCTTGATGAGAGGATCAATGATTGCCTGATACCTGCCCTTCTGGGGGATGGCGTTCGTCCTGGTAGCCCTGAGAGAGAGCTGATGTCATTTCCAGTGCGTCTTGGTGGTTTGGCCCTCCCTCTGTTGCAGGATAGTGCACCAGCAGAGCTCGCAGCATCCTTGAGCATCACAAAGCCTCTTGTTCAGCTACTGTTGACTGGCACATATGCGAACCCTCCAAGCGTGCCTGGTGATATGGCAAGGAGCGATTTGTCGGATACTGCCCAGTCAGAGGGCTCCGGTGATACAACCCAGGAGGTTGCCGACCGAGTGAGGCTCTCCAATCATGATCCCGTCCGCGATGCTGTTGGGGACACCCGCCAGCTGGCACGCTCGACTCGGACAAGCAAAATGCGGAGCCTATGCAGCCGGCAACAAGACATTAAGGCGGACTTGAGCTCGGAGCAACAATTTCTTGTTGAAATCGCGTCCGAAAAGGGAGTATCGTCATGGTTGACTGTTGCCCCGCGGTGGCAAGATGGAACCATCCTGAAGAAATCCGACTTCCGTGATGCCCTGTGCATCCGCTATGGGCGAAGGTTGAGTGGGCTACCCGATTCATGTGTTTGTGGTGTGCCTCTCAGCCCCGCTCATGCACTTACCTGTGCCACTGGCGGCTATACCATTGCCCGTCACAATGAGGTGCGGGACTTGGTTGCTGGACTACTGAGGGAGGCTGGAGTGGTGGACGTAGAGACGGAGCCCCGGCTATTGCCCTGCAGCAGTGAGCATTTGCCTGGTGGTCGTTCCCTCAACCGATGCGCAGAAGCTCGTCTGGATGTGCGGGCTCGCGGCTTTTGGTCGTGGCAACAGGACGCTTACTTTGATGTGCGGATCACTCATCCCGCAGCGTCTGTGTTGTCTCGATCACAAGCCCTGAGTCAGCTGAAGTCTCACGAGCGAAACAAGAAAAATCAATACGCCAGCCGTGTGGTTAACGTGGAGCGCGGCTCCTTCACGCCACTTGTGTTCTCGACGTACGGCTTTAGTGGCCCAGAAACTACTCAATTCCTGAAATCATTGGCCTCCCTGTTTGTTGAGCGCCATACTGAACTGAAGTACCCACTAGTAATGGGCATACTACGCACCCGTTTGTCTTTCTGCTTGCTGCGATGGGCAGTCACCTGCTTCCGCGGTTGCCGCGGTTCGTACGGCAAGAGGCGACAGCCGAACTCATTTCTGGCCCAGTGCCGCCAGGCGGAGTAGGGTGCTGCCTTTGGCCTCAACTTAATATAATGCTATTTGGTTTTTCCCCTTTTATTACTCTGTGTTCATTGCTTGTTTTTGTATTGATTTACTTCCTTGACTGCTTTTGTGTTTCATCATTTTCCGGTTGGTTTTGTGTTGATTTCCCCTGTTCACTTTACATATTGTAATGATATACATTTGCTTTGCCCGTAAAAGAGGCTTTTCTCATGATGATGATGATGATGATGATGATGATGATGATGATAGGGAAGGCCTCTTTTACGGGCAAAGCAAAGCACAATCATCACCATGCATCAGTACAGTGAGTAGTTAAACCCAACACGAATGAAAAATGTGTGAAATGGAATAAAAACAATATTTGTAAAAATGATGATGATGATGATGATGATGATGATGATGGTAACACACCCGAAGGCAAGCCTGCTGTCGCGTACAGACGTCCTGCGTCAGCTGAAGACCCATGAACAGGCCAAAAAGAGAGAATATTGTGCCCGTGTAAATATTGTAGAGAGAGCATCATTTACACCGTTAGTTTTTTCAACTTCAGGCATGTGTGGGCCAGAGGGGTCTCGTTTTTTGAAAAATTTGGTATCGCTTGTTGTTGAGAAAAATCCTGAGTTACATTATTCTGTAGTCATGGGACAACTTCGATCTGCATTGTCGCTGTGTTTGCTCCGCTGGTGTATTACCTGCATACGTGGTTCGCGGGCATCGTACAAGCGCCAGCGCCACAGCTTTTTAACAAGCTGCCATACCCTTAGAGCACGTTGATGTGTACGGGTGTCTTATGTTTTTTTTTTTTATTTTCCATTATGAGCCGGTCTTCTCCGATTGGTGGCCCCATGCCCCATGCTCATTGTGTTCAACTGCACTTTGCGTTCCTTTTTATATTGAGTTCCAGTGCACTTTGTGTTCATTTTCCTCTCTTTTTCATTCTAATTGAATTTTGATGTATTGCGTTTTTGCTTGCCCGTACAAGAGGCTGTTCAAATGATGATGGTGATAATAATAATGGTTTTGTTCAGTTGTAGTGCACTTGCATGTTGCTCTATGGACACCTTTCTTTTTCTCCAGACCTGGACGGTCTCCGCACGGACTGTCAGCATGCCAAGCAAAGCGGCTTCACAGGCAAGACGTTGATCCATCCTAGCCATGTGTCCGTTGCCAATGAGGTGTTCTCACCGCCAGCTAAACAAGTGGCTTGGGCGCGTGGCCTCCTCGATGCATATGCAAGGCACAACGCTGACGGACAGGTGAGGCACTCCGATAACCCATTTTCGAGTTTGTGCGAAGCATGGCGCCTGAATTATGTGCCTTTGTACAGATGAGTTAACGACTACATTATGTACCTGACTGACTTCCTTGTGTAAGCTCATTTGTACTTTTGATTGTGATGATTGTCCGAGCCCTACGTGGATATGACCGTTCTGTTTTGTATAGAAGTAGGTCTGCCCATTTCAGTGTAGGATCTATTTATCTGTGTGTGTGTGTGTGTGTGTGTGTGTGTGTGTGTGTGTGTGTGTGTGTGTGTGTGTGTGTGCACGTGTTCGTATGTTAAATACAGGCGGTGTTTGTTCATGAAGGTGAGCTGGTAGACGAGCCTATATTTCGCCGCGCTCGCTTGACGCTGGAAGCTGCAGATCGGCACAGCTCCGTTTAGTTCAGCAGAACGGCGGGACCAGCCTGTCAAAACTATTCCCATGCCACGGCAAGACAACAACTGGCCAATGTGATTCAGTCAGTAAAGCAGGGCAGACTTGAATACATGAAAATAATAGGCCTGCAAACACGAATAAATAAAATCTGAATGAATGAATGAAGACTCCCCACACATCCCATGTAGAAAGCAGATTTAGCTTGGCAAGCATCTCAGATACCTAGGCGGGGTTAGTAGGCAATCGCCGAACGCAGGCACACTCATACTTCGTTGTTCAAGAATCAAGATGCTTCCGAGAAGTACCTGTTTTGGCAATACCGGTATGCTATTAGGCGCGGTCCAGGCTGCAGTGATAGATGACAAGCCACACATGCATTTTACTCTAGACCTGTTCGTTTTATATTGGAAATGATACGTCGCCTTGCCTTTTATTGCAGAGGATTCTATCAACCATTTCTCAATCAACCATTGTGATCATGAGTCAATGCGCGACATGCAGTGCTGCCTTCGGCGCTCCAGTACGCAGCTGGTCAGGTCTGCACCGTCCACACGCACTCAATAGGGAGATTTCGCTCTACGTAATTACGTATGAAAATCCGTATGTCATACTCGCCGGGGAGTGAGGGCAACTTTCATACGTAAATCTCTCTACGGATTTCCGTAGGAAAGCTCTTTCCTACGTTGGGTCCTCCGTAGGATTTTTTTTCGCATTTTCCGGATTGTCCATGGCAACGTTCAAGCTGCGCGAAACACAAGGTACACACTCCGTACACCACGTGCAAAATAAAATGGAAAACGTGGTTTCTGTTTCTGGTGTTTGCGGTGGGCGCATGCAGCCAACGCGTTTCCAAAGCAACAACGCATGTTAAGCAGTCTTGGAGAAATCACGTAGAGCGAAAACAACAGCTCTGATTTTTACGCATGAAAATTCCGTGCAGTTCCTACGTAATTCCGTAGAGCGAAACCTCCCTACTAAGAAGCTATGACCGGCCGGGCACCGTACACTACAACAGCAAGTGGATAAACAAGAATGTGCAACTCGCGGACGGGTCGGCCGGACTCGGCCCACTAAATTTTTGTTTGACATTATCTTTTCTACGACGTACACACTGCGAGTCTTTTGGGAAGTTTTGTCTCGTGCACTTGGCTGGGCTTTACAAGGTCGGCGCCCGACATATGCTCTCACACTGCACTGCTCTGCGGCAAAATGACATTTAATTTAAATGTGCATGCTCTGTAGGGCGGCGTCAACAATAATTTCCGCCGTGGGCCGGGGTATCTGCAGATTGTGCAGGAGAGGTGCGGAATTGCACCCTCTCGCTTAGTACTCTTGAAAGCAGTTGAGTTATCTGATTGGTTCATTCCAAGCCATCCGTGATCCATAGTTTTTGGGGTGCACCAACTTCAATTCAGTCTTTTAAAAGTAAGCTTGTTTCCACCGGTCAGGGAAGAGTGGGGTTTGACTTTCTGCAGGGTGCGGATGAACTTGCATGCATGGCGCACAGGTGAAAAAGATCACAGTCGCATGCTCTTGGGGGTTTTGGAATCTTGCACAAAGGGTTGAAGCGAAGACGTCTTCTCTGCAGGGAAATCAAACTTACTTGTGCCAAGAGCTGTACAAAGGCTGTGCGACACCTTTTTTTGTTTTCAGTGGAATTGACTACCCTGTTTCGATGCACAGAATGGGACGGATGCACACCATTGCAAATGTAACAGCGAGGGAAGAGGGGGAGGGGGAAATCATGGGTAAAATACGGACATTTCAAGTTGAGTTGTTCAATGTGCGTTGTACAGTGTGCACACATTATTAGACGTAACCCAGACCCGTGGTGGACAAATCCCCATTTGATCATGTGCACACCAGAGCAAGGGCACATGAGTGACGCATACACACTAGCAGTCCACAGGGTCGTCAAGCTCCGGCATTTGACGATCAGCAGAAACGGCAAAATCACTCGTGTACTCTTGGTACTACAGGACAATTGTAACAGAAATGTCCTGTGAGTGGCTTTGCAAACCAGTGCCAGATATACTCCGAAGGGACTGGCTTTGCAAACCAGTAACAGTAATGCCCTGCTGCGACTGGCTTTGCAAACCACTTCCAAAATGGTGCACACATGCACAAGCACACTGACACACAGAACAGCAAGAAGTCCAGGAGCGTAAGAACAGGTCCGTCCCATCAACAACACAGTGTGCCACGCCACGTTAAAAAAGAAGTATTGCAAATCAAAGTTCTATGAGACGTAAGAAGAGACAGAACAGACCGACTAGACTGTCATCATTGAAAGGTGGGAGGCAAGTCAAGAAATGTTTTTTTATGAGTGGTTTCATGATACAAGAAGATTATTACTAGGACACGAATGATGATAATCTCTCTTGCAAAGTTCCTACTTTTATGCATGTATATCATGATTGGAATGGAAACCGAGGTATGCCATATCAAGTACAGTGACAGCCTTCCAGATTTCAGTAGCAGCATACGCGAAGCATGTTTTTACTCGCATTGACTGGCCACAAGTCTAGCACACACAAGCACGGCCAGGACGACGAATGATCGCAGATAATCAGCACAAAGACAAGTGGACGCACGCGCGCGCGCGCGCGCACACACACACACACAAAGAGACTCACACACGAAGAATCTTCCAGGCACCGGGAGAAGACACAATTCTAAACAAAGACGACCGAGAGGGGAAATGTCTTACACACCCAAGCCATAAGAAACGCAGCATAGTGCCCTAGAGACGGAAACAGCAATCGAGAAAGAACAAAGAACACACCCGCCCGTCAACTTCTAGCTCCCGCATTTAACCACGCCACAGGCATGGAAGGTCCACAACTCGTTTAGCACCAGAGTGTTTGTGTGCCAAGGAGATCACACCACATTAAAAAAAATTAAAGAACATGACCACCTTTGGAGCATGAAGCGCACAATACAGTGTCCAGTCAGAAAGGTACCCGCAATTGAAGCAGCAAGACTCAGAACGGATACTAGTAACAGTCCGCTACATACTCCAAATGGAAAGTCTCTACGTAACAACACAGCAACAAAAAAAGAACGGATACCAGGGGCGTCGGAAGGTATTTTAGGGTTGTACGGTCAGCCACCTGAAGTACAATTTACTCGTGGAGTAAGGGTGTCTCCTCTGGAAGTTTTCGAAATTTAGAGCCCAAAACATTGCCTTTTATCGATTCACAGGGTAGATCTACTGTGTCCGGGACAAATAGTGGTACGGTCAATGCCGTAGTGACCGTAGCGTGTCCAACGCCCCTGGATACACAATCTACTTCTAAGTACTTTGTTTCACCCACAAACATTATTACGACACTAAGCAAACATACCATAGCGGACACAGAAAACTTCAGCGCTTTGGCAATTGCTAAACCGAACATATTTTTTTAAACCTACACAGGTCACCAACAGACCAGCAAGACACTTAGTCCATAACTACACCAGGAGACCGCCAGGAAAATCAGTTTTCCTTGGTATTGGCAATAGGGATAACTAGCACACAGTGCAGTAGTATCATGACATCATCAAGAGCAGTATGACATCATCATCATGAGACCAAGAAAGAATGATGGCTTACAAGCTACTACGCCAGTCGTCGGGCGGACAGCGAGGTGCTGGTGGGACTGACAGCTCCGTGCTCATCTCTTTGCCTTAGTGCCGAGTAATACACGGTTTGGCAGAGTTGGTATCCCTGGGTATGGGTGCCAGCTGACGGTGGAATGAGCAGCTAAACGTGCCAAAAATCAATTGAATTCTAGACATTCCACTACACTAACAGACCAGTAGAGGCTAATCAATAGCATAACAATGTCCTTTCACTTTCCACACAATATCAGCAATGCAGGTGCTACGTTTGACACGGGTCAGAGTAGACATGACGTAAAACACGGAAGAGGAAACAGGAGCGAAAGCATTGCACAATATTCCCAAAGAGGAGCAATGACAGTCAAGCGTAAACTTTCCCTAGCATGTCGCCAACACCATCCGCACATAGGTCATGCAAGCAAGAAATGTCCACACAGCACAGAGCACGAATGACACCATCATTTGCACCCAGAATGAGAGTCGACAGCATTGCCGCTACCGCAGCAGCCACTGTGCCGAGTGACAAAATACGCAAAGTGACAGACACAGTGAATGGCTCAAATACCGAGTCATAGAAAGCTCAACACAGGTCATCCTTTTCAAGTAGGTGAAGTGACGAACAGACCATGTCGACAATATCACAATGAGAGATTTCAGGAGACAAGGCGACTTCGGTGCACGGTAACTCCATCGTCAATGCAAAAGTAAAGAATGCTCACCTACTCGGTACGACCCTGGAAGCCTGTTGCAACCAACACCTTTGGTAGCCTAGATAGATTTATAAACGAACGCAATTTATGTTTTCCATTTCAGAACAGGCAAAGAGAAAGCAACGGTATCATGGAAGATATGGCATAAGCACATGACGAAAGAACGGACGAGTCAGGAAATTCCCCACATATTAGATACGGACTTGAATCTTCGGACATGATGCTCTACCCATTCAGTATCACTCTATCAAGAGCTTTACAGAGAAAATACTTCAGAGGCAGAATGCGAGTGTGCGCCAATACTCACCAACACAGGCGCCAATCTCTTAGGCCTTTGAACCGCAGACAGCACCGGGGCAACACAACAATAATAAACGTAAGCGCTCAAAATGAAGCAAAGAGTGAAATACTAGCAACACGAACATAATGACAAAAGCTACAACCCCCCCCCCCCCCCCCCCACACACACAGAAAAGACACGATACGGAAAGTGACAAATCCCAGGAAACTGATCATTAGACGCCCCCCCCCCCCCCACCAACTTATTGTAAACTAACCATGCCATTCACACCTAACCATTTTTGATAAGTGACAGCCGGCCATACCCATAACAACTTCCTTTCACACACACCCTCCCAGACCTTCCTAAATCGAGGAGTAGGAGCAAAGACTACCACAGTACCAGAGAACTTTGCAGCACCGTGTCAAAGACCCCCCCCCCCCCAACAACAAGAATAAAAACCTGAATCCAGAGCATGTAGACATTTAGACAAAGAACTCAATAACAAAGATCACACCGCAGCAAACGCACATCGCCACAATGTACCCACACACCCTACCTTTACTGAGATGGCTGCTGCTGTGCTGGTTGTTGCTGTTGAGCTGGGTATGAATAGCCCATCTGTCGATAATACTCCGCCCACTGTGCTTGGATATCTGCCGCATTGCCTTGGGCTTGAGACGTAGCAGGCTGGGCCTGGCCAGCTTGCTGTGCAGTGCTGGTGGCTGGCTGCTGCTGAGCACCCTGCTGTGTCGTAGCGGCAGCAGCAGCTGCTGCAGGCTGAGCTGCTTGACCGGCGGCACCAGCTTGCTGCGGCTGTTGCTGATAGTACTGCTGGTAATACTGGGCCCAGGCTTGCTGCTGCGCCTGCATGTCTTGAGGCTGCTGCTGCTGCTGATAACCTTGCTGCTGGCCACCCATCTGATACTGGCCCCACTGCTGCTGCTGTTGTTGCTGCTGCTGGCCATACATACCTTGTTGCTGCATGGGCATCTGACCCTGCATTGGCATCTGTCCTTGCATATGCTGCTGTCCTTGCATATGCATTTGACCACCCATTGGTCCACCACCGCCGCCGCCCATCATATTTTGCTGGCCATAACCACCCTGCTGCTGATTACCACCACCATAGTTGTTGGCACCAGGGGGCATGTCACACTTCTGCCGGATCATATCCTGGGCGTGGGCTATTTGGTCGGGAGAGCCGCGTAGAGTGAACACTTTCTCGTCCGGGCCGCATGGAGCATTGCGATTCAGCTGGATATGACAACCAGTTTCCTGCTGCAGCGCACGGATGGTCTCACCACCACGTCCAATCACAAGACCACATTTCGCCCCGGGAACAGGAAACTCGCACACATCCATCGGACCGCCACCTGCATTGGCTCCAGTGCCACTGCCTCCACCGCCACCTCCCATGCGAGGACCACCGCGTCCTTCACGGCTGTTGCTCTCAGCACGCTCCAGAATGTCTGTAACCATCTGTCTTGCTTGTGGCAGACCATCAGGTGGGCCAGTAAGGACAGCGTTTCGGATAGGTCCTCCATTTTGTTCCTGGCTAAACTGAATGCGCACGCCAGTCTCTGCTTGGATCTTCTTGATGGTCTCACCGCCACGTCCAATGACCATACCGACCATCTCACGGGGGACGGGAATCTCCATGTGTCCACCACCAGCGCCACCAGCACCTGGGTTCGCACCCGCCATAGCATCGCGCTCGGCCATCAGCTCTTCAACGAGACGCCGGGCTTGATCCATAGCCTGAGCATTGCCCTGGATTCGGAGTGGCTTCTGAGGTGCATGCTGATATGGACCATCTTGAACCATTTGCATATGGCAATTGGCTTGTTGCTGCAGCCGTTTGATAGTCTCTCCCCCCTTGCCAATGATGAGGCCAACCTTTGCCTGAGGAATCATTATTTCTATGGCGTCAGCATCTGCTCCTGGCAAACCAGGCATAGGAGGCTGCTGCGGGGCGGGGTTGTCAGGTCCTTGTTCAACCAGCGCTTGGATCATCATCTTAGCGGCTGCAATAGACTCTGGCGTACCAGTAATGGAAATGACACGCTCGCCATCTTGCGGATTGCCAGGCAGAGCAGGAGCACATTGGATACGCGCATTGCTATCTGCCTGCAAACGATTTATTGTTTCTCCACTCTTGCCAATAATGATTCCAACCATACGGTTAGGAACTTTTACTTCTTCTCCGTTTGGCATCATGCCTTGCATGATTTTCGCTGCCCTTGCCTGAGCTTGAGCCTGAGCCGCAGCGAAGTCGAAATTGGCTGCAGCTTCGGCAGTCATTGCACGCTTAGCAGGATTATCAAGACCAGCCATGTCCTCGTTTGGGCGCTTAAAGCCTTGATCAAGGCCTACAGCCTCACCAGCTTCTGGCTGCTGTTGCCTCAGACCTGCCGCAAGCTCCTGCGCCTTTTTCAAGGCCTCCTGAAAGGCGGAGTTGTCCTGAGCTGGTGCACCTTGTCCTTGTTGCAAGTCCAAACCAGACGGCTCAAGATGGGTCTGACTCTCAATAGGAGCTTCGCCGTTTGGTGCAGGGTTCTCCATGGCACTACTAAAATGTCTAAAAGTCAAAGTAATAGTTACAAAGAAGCAGAAGGTCAAGGGCTAGCTAAACCGTGACAATAAAATCCCTCAAAGAAAGGGATAACACAGCTGGCTGAGCAAAACTTTGGTCTTTGTTTGTGCGTGATGGCCGGGATTCCCGCGATCACGATAGTTTCCATTTTTAGAAGAAGTTCGCATGCGCCCTTGGTTCATGACGTATCTTCTCATCAGACGAATTCGAATGAGTTCAAATAATTGTACATTTTTTTTCAAATCAAAAAATACAATCATTCAACAAGAACGTTTTCATTTGAGAGGTTTCGTTCAAACTGATCTCAACCAACTGCTTTAGGCCGTATCTTTTGACCAAGACGATGGAGCGTCTTCTTCGTCTTGGTGGAGGTGGTGCGCAGGCTGGAGGTGATGGTAATGTTGCCGACACAGCGGAACAAGTTTACATTTCATCTATGGCTCTGCTAAAGATGTTGAAACATGGCAGAGCTGGTGTCCCCATGGAAGTGATGGGACTGATGCTTGGCGAATTTGTAGACGACTACACGGTTCGAGTAATTGATGTGTTTGCCATGCCTCAAAGTGGAACGGGAGTGAGCGTTGAGGCTGTTGATCCCGTCTTTCAGATGGATATGATGGAGAATCTGAAGCAAGTTGGTCGACCAGAAACCGTAGTGGGATGGTATCATTCTCATCCTGGTTTCGGATGCTGGCTCTCTGGAGTGGATATAAACACACAGCAAAGCTTTGAGTCACTTCAGCAGCGGTCAGTCGCCGTTGTTGTCGACCCGATTCAGTCTGTGAAAGGGAAAGTTGTGATTGATGCCTTCCGACTCATTCAAAACAACACTCTCATGCTGAGCCAAGAGCCACGCCAGACCACGTCCAACATAGGAGACCTGAAGAAGCCATCCGTACAGGCCCTCATTCACGGCCTCGACCGCCACTACTATAGCATGCCCATCAACTACCGTAAGAACGAGCTGGAACAGAAGATGTTATTAAATTTGCACAAGAAATCATGGATGGAGGGTATGAAGTTGGCAGATCACTCCGAGCATAGCGTCCAGAATCAGAAAACTGTTGAGCAGATGCTTGAATTGGCCAAAGCTTATGTCAAGTCAGTTGAGGAGGAGGATAAGATGACTCCGGAACAACTCGCCATTAAGAACGTTGGAAAGCAGGATCCAAAGCGGCACATCGAAGAACAAGTCGACGTCTTGATGACATCAAATATCTCTCAGTGTCTTGGCGCCATGATTGATACCGTAGTCTTCTAAGGACACCGAAGATTGCTGCTGATGCACGTGCGCGCGTGGGGTGTGGTAGTAGTGTCGATGGTGGTGTGTGCATGTGTGTGTGTGTGTGTGTGTGTGAGAGACAGAGAGAGAGAGAGAGAGAGCTTTGTACATAATAAAAGCTGTGAATTTTTATACGCCGTCACCCTGGTTTTTTACTTACTCTACGGACCACTGGATCTGTATGATTTGTTTGCTCTGCTGGATGTATCTTTGGATACACAATAGCCGTGCTGTATAAAATAATTGAGTTTTCCGCGCTCTGTATTAAAAGATTATGATCTTTGAAGTGTGTGTACGATTGCATTGACGTCGGTCTTCCAACCAGGGAGTAGTACCTGAGTAGTAAAACTGTAAATGCACCCATTATTCCGGGTACATGCACAGCCGTGGGCGAAGAAATCCCACCCATGCACAGAAAACAACGCCAAGGCTCATGCGGCCTTGGCGCATGGCTGGGTGTTTGGACCGCGCAGGATGTCATTGGAAGGGGAATGCAGTGCTACTTTCGTCTGACTCGTGGGTCGGAACTCTTTGGCCACAATTGTACTCGTACTTAAAAAACTCTGCATCTCATGCCATCTCCCACCAGACCCCCCCGACCAGCATCCATCCCATTACAAGTAAGTGAATCTTCCAAGGCACCTATAGTGTTCACAAAGAGTCCTGGTTCTGAATAGAACTCACAACACAACAGTTCACATTCTAGAATCAGAAGGCCGGGCCTGGTTCTAAAAATAGAACTCACAACACGGCAGTTCACATTCTAGAATCAGAAGGCCGGGATCTCACACTAATCCATGTCACACAAAGGGATAATTCAAGAAAAGCAGCTACTTTATATCAAAGTTAGAAACAATTGTGTACACATGTACATGCAACCGCCCGTATAATATATATAGGGCTGCGGATGAATAGCTATACCAGTGAAGCCAAAACAAAACCAGGAGTTCCCATGCACAGCAAGGGAAGTAAGTAGCCACATCGACCTATGTCTCTCTCTCCTGCTGCAAAAAAAGCAGCACGCCACCAGCAACTGCGCTGATCAGCAGAAGCTGCGCGTGCAGAGCAGGTTGCCAGCTGAGCAAATGCCACATCATCATTTCGGCATATGTCCACTACGTCAGCATGACAGTCTCGTGTGTGCAAGACAAAGACAAGAGCTGCAGCGGTGGAGCAGATGAACACGATAACAACTCTATCTCGATACTTGAGAAATAGTATGTACAGGAAGAAGTGATTGAACCGGAGGTGTTTAAAAAAATCAATGCAAAGGTCTTGACGCAGCAAGCAATGACACAGAACCTAGACAAATGAAGACTACAAATCGCACAGCGGTGTAGACATACCAGAACATTAGATAGGCTATTTCGACAATACAGGACAGTGCATGTTCACCATATGACAAGAGAGAGACGTCGCTAAAATATACCCAGTGTCATACAGCCGTGGACTTGACTTGCGGCCGTGCCCACGCTACAAACTCATCCATCAACACAGGCCAGGCCCCTGCAAGCGAGCACAGATCAAAAAGACAAATTCTTCCGTGAATGGGCACTTCCTTACTTTTTCTTTGTTTTTGTTTGAAGTTCTATTTTACATCGCAAACCAAACGGGCATTGACGCCCGAAACTATGATGGCGATAGAATAAAAGATGGAAGTGCTCTCAGAGAGGTTTGGTCATTTGTATCTGAAGTCAAATATCTCATCATTAGGGCTTTTGAGGTTAGTGACTGTTCTTCACCACATATATTCGAAAGGGCACATACCCGAATCTACTGCGTGCAAAAATAAAGCATGGCTTCTCACTCATGAATGAGTGACTACACCTCCCTACATAATAATATTACAACAACAACAATGAATGGTTGTAAGGTGTTCAAAGTCGGTTCCCTGCATGGTATTCTGCACTCACCCTCCTCATCATAGTTCTGCATTTCATCGTCAATAGTGCGAGAAAAATCCAGTAGCAAGTTCCATGTGTCCTTTGGTATTGACCGCTTATAATTCGCCTGGTAGCACAAAATCAAAATGTAGAAACAAGAGAGAGAGAGAGAGAGAGAGAGAGAGAGAGAGAGAGAGAGAGAGAGAGAGAGAGAGAGAGAGAGAGAGAGAGAGAGAGAGCAGGGTAACCACAGTCATACAACTGTATTCAATTTCGTTAGCACCCGGAAACTAAAGTCCAAAGCGTCCTACACCGCTACTACTATGCCTGGACTCCTCTGCGGTCCACATGCACTGAACGAGGTGACCATGCAGTGTCGCACACCATCATGTGCTGTACTCTCTGTACAGACTGTAGGCTATGTGTCTGGCGGCTTTCCGGGGAAGTTGGCAGACGATCCTAACTTCGTCACCGGCGTGAATGGCCAGCAACTCAAGCCTGTCAGCCAGATCCGATCCCGTCTTGCCCTTGGTTCCCAGGACCATCACACGACCATCCATGTCTACTCCGACCTGTCGGATGCTCTGCTCTCCAGCTTTGTGCACTTGGTCTTCACGAGCGTTTGGAACCAGCACGGTCCACAGGTAACAGCTCCAGTCTAGTCAGGCACTCTGCTCGTGTTCGCATTGCCGACAGGTGCAGGCAGTATGCTGAGGTGGAAGCAGCACTGCGTGATCTTGAGCCCTATCACAGTCCTGTGCAGCTGAATGCTATGGTTCCAGCAGGTAACCGTGACACAAAGTATAGGTTCATTCACAACCTGGAGCTTCTAATCCCAAATGGGATGTACTCTTACGACCCAGGCAGCAATATTGGCTGCTCTTGGTGGATTTGGAAAGTACCTGTCGACCCGGCTGATTCTGATTCCATGAAAAGTCTGCAGTTGGTGGAACAGTGCGAGAAGGATGCTCCAACATATGCAACCTGCGCTATGAGGAGAGATTTCGCGAACAGGTACCAGATGGCGACGGACTGTGGCCGAACAGTCCTCAGGGCCATGTTCCGCTATGTTTCCGGGGACATGTCTCAAGCGGCTTGCCCAACGTCTAAAGCTGTCCAGCAGCGACTTGCCGTAGCGTTGGATGTGCAGGATCCTCATCTGGTATTTGATTTGCGGGAGCTGAACGAGGGTAGAAGTAGCCGATATTATCTATTTTGTTTGTCGTACGTGCTGGCCCTACATGTGCCGACGAAGTGTCAGCTGTGTACTATTCCTGCAAGCGGTTTGCTGATGTCTGCTATGCGTGCGGCGCTGATGACCCGGAGGAGGTGTCAGCTGCAGTGAAGTCAACCTGCCAATCCGTCAATCCTGTTTGTGCTCGATGCTCCGCAGCAAGGAAACACGATTCGGTGCAGGAAGCAACGTGGGACGAAGAGGAAGAACGGTGATGAAGATGATTGATGTTTGGCCATGGGGCCATGCATGCCCGCAGTAAACACGAATGAGTGAGGCTCACACTCACACTCTTATACACAGATATACACACGCGCGCGCGTGCGCACGAGCGAGCACACGTGGCATGGATTGGGATATACAGGCACGTTCGAATCGTCTGAACTGTTATATATACCGTAAAGTACCGCCAGAGCGCCCCACCCTGATTTTACAGCCTGGGAAAGGAAAATCATATGGCAGGTTTTTGTGTGGAGCTCGTGTCCGCTTGAAGGTAAATTGAGTACGGATTGACTGCACAACGTATAATATGTGTACAAGGTTTGTGTCGTATCGACTCGTATGACCTACAGGCAGGTGATCACCTCCACACTACGACCATGAAAGTACGAGATGGTGAGGCGCTCTGGCGGTACTTTACGGTACATATATATCAGGGCTGAAACGATCATTCAATAACTCCTAACGATCAACCAATATCATTAACGATCGATTTATTGGTTTTATTGATTCTTGTTGGCTCTACCCATGTACCTCGAACACCAGTTTAGGAAGAACTTCCATGATACCTTTGCTATGTTCGAAATTTGTGGCACCGCACTGTTGATATCTGAATCTTGCCATCACCATCTGGAAACTGCTCTTATCTCCAACCTCTCCAGGAAATGCACCAATAAGACAAAGTCTTCTCTTCCAATCTCTTTCAAAGCCATACATCAACTGTATTGCTCTTGAAAGTACATGATTGCACTCGTATTCACTATCGGATGAATTGCAAGGGCTAGAATGCTATCACTGATATGCATGCATGAAAAATCGTTAGCACTCATTTTGAACACTAACGATTATCGATTACACTCTTAACGATCGATATGCGAGTAATCGGTATAATTGTTTCAGCCCTAATATATATGCGCAGATTGAGTATTTCGCTCCTGCTCTTGTAGCAGTTGAGAGCACTCTTGTGTGGGGTAGTACCTTTGCTGTTTGCGTTATGCAGAGCTCACCGACTTGTCAGCTTGAGCACTCTGGCAAGGTACGTTCGGGCCTGATTTAAATCTGGCTTTGGAAAATATATTTTTCATTGCTATCAGGTTCGGCCTCATTTCCTCTGTGCTGCGCTGATGAGTCCACAAAGGACGAAACAGTCCTGTCCGCAGATTGAGTATATATACAGTGAAACCTGTCTAAGACGACCGCTCAAGGGACCTTCAAAATGTGGTCTCTGATACCAGGTGGTCGCCTTATCCAGGGTCATTTGACTGGAAATAGCATCCCTTGGTCCTGGTTTCAGTGGTCTTCTAGGACAGGTGGTCGCCTTATCCGAGTGGTCGCCTTGACAGGTTATACTGTATATAATTATTATTAGGGCTGAAACAATTATACCGATTACTCGCATATCGATCGTTAAGAGTGTAATCGATAATCGTTAGTGTTCAAAATGAGTGCTAACGATTTTTCATGCATGCATATCAGTGATAGCATTCTAGCCCTTGCAATTCATCCGATAGTGAATACGAGTGCAATCATGTACTTTCAAGAGCAATACAGTTGATGTATGGCTTTGAAAGAGATTGGAAGAGAAGACTTTGTCTTATTGGTGCATTTCCTGGAGAGGTTGGAGATAAGAGCAGTTTCCAGATGGTGATGGCAAGATTCAGATATCAACAGTGCGGTGCCACAAATTTCGAACATAGCAAAGGTATCATGGAAGTTCTTCCTAAACTGGTGTTCGAGGTACATGGGTAGAGCCAACAAGAATCAATAAAACCAATAAATCGATCGTTAATGATATTGGTTGATCGTTAGGAGTTATTGAATGATCGTTTCAGCCCTAATTATTATGTATTCATTGTGGTGTTTTTCGTTCCCTTGTGTGAAGAGGTTTTAGTCATGCCGATAACCCAGATTTGGTGCTTCGATGTACGAATTTTCTTTCGAACGTACACCATGCACGAGCTATTGTGCTATATACCGTGCTATACTACTACCTCCGACAAGCGAAACTTGGCGCGTTTTTTCGTGTTGGTACCACAACTTCACAAGGCTGTGAGGTGCGACCTACTTGTAGCTCGGGGTGCAGGAAGCCAAGCGACGAGCTGGTGAGTGGCACATGGCTCAGACTTAGTCAGAGGCACGCCAGTCTCTCGTGTACCAGCAAAACAGTGTGCGCGCCCATTCTGCGAAGGAGAATCGTCGTGCTTTCGCGTTGCAATGGAAAACCAAGGAGTTCTCTCTCTCTCTCTCTCTCTCTCTCTCTCCACTTGGTCACTCCGCCAGCACAGAGTCCATACGTCCATGCCAAACAATCCTAGCGTCTTTCAATAGCCACCAGAGCGATGCGTCTCTGGTGGCTAAGGAAAATCGCCAGGCAATTTTGGACAGTTGGCGAGAATACCCGGCAAAACAGTTGAAGTCCAGGCGCTTGTGGAGGTGTTGCACAGTTCTTACCACGTCAACCTGGATAGTGGCGGCGGAAACGACTACCCTCGACACCGTGGGTCGAGCACAGCACACAGGAGCGACATCGAGATTTTCACAGCGATTACAACAGAGGTACTTGCTGCAACTGAATCCGCTCCAGTCGCACTTTCGTCTCAAAACAGGAACAATTCCTCTCCAGACGAAACTGCGATCTCTGAATCAGAGGAGAGTGATTCAGCCGAACAAATGTCTCTAATATCCTTGTTGAGCAATATGAAAGTTGAGTTTTGGTGAGTCAATCATTAGTTTTGATTGTAAAGTGTGGGTTATTTCTAGTAATTTGAAGTAAAAACGCGCCAAGTTTCGCTTGTCGGAGGTAGTATAATACACCTCAAGATGAGCCTTTTTTTCCACCTCTCGCATAATATTATGATTCTGGAAGTTGAACTGATGCGAAACATAGAAAAAAGAAATGGTGGCCTAGTCTGTACTACACTGTGGCTGTTCTCATTGCCTTGCCTCTTGTTCATTTTTTCGTATCTTTATCATAATTATGCCTTTGGCCGAGTCTCACGCGAACCGTGAATTTTATTTATTTTTATCATAATAATGTTTAGATCATAGTCTGGCATGCTCACCCATTATGATCTCGGAAGGGCGTGTTGTATTATTATGTACGCTCATCCCATATATGCACCCACCCGCATGCATCTGGCTTATGTGTGCGCAGCTTACGTCATGCACTGGTATTTGGCACGCACGCATGATTACATATCGCGCCTGCAGCTTCCGTTTGGTTGTTTGTCGTCTTTCCACTCGCTCCTCGGTGGAGAATAATAATTAGAATAAACGCATTCCCGTAGCTATGCAGAAGACGTTACTTCAGTAACGTCTGGCGCTAGCCAGGGTCCACACAGCTTTAATTTGGTATTTGTTTGTTTGTGTGTTTGTGTCACGCCTGGCGCTATCCGTATCTGACGGCAAAAAAGCATAGGATATTATAATTTTTTCAATTCTCCTATTTTTTTTTCAGGCATATCCTGGGATTCGAACCCGCACTATCGCCCTACATGCATTCCCCCATACACTTCGCATTCATACCCATTCTTTCAAGTTGCTTCACGTTATTATCTTGCGTTTGAAAGCCCTATTTGAATATTGCGGGCAGCTGTATGTGGCCAGCTGTGTTTGATGGTACGGTACGGTACGGGAGACGGTGTCGTATTACCCTCGATCGTACCTGTCCCGTACCTATCCCCTACCGTACCGTGCCATCAAAGACGGCTGGCCACAATGCATATTCAAATAGGGCTTTCAAATGCAAGATCACAATGTGAAACAACTTGGAAGAATGGGTATGAATGCGAAGTGTATGGAGGAATGCATGTAGGGCGATAGTGCGGGTTCGAATCCCAGGATATGCCTGAAAAAAAATAGGAGAATTGAAAATTTTATAACATCCTAGGCTTTTTTTGCCGGTAGATACGGATAGCGCCAGGCGTGACACAAACAAACAAATGTATGCGAAGTGTATCGGGGGATGCATGCAGGGCGCGCGATAGTGCGGGTTCGAATCCCAGGTTATGTCTTAAAAAAAAGGATTTTTTAAAAGAATTTATAACATCTCTATGCTTTTTTTTTGTCTAGGTCATCAAGGCAAAAAAAGCATAGCGTAGGGCCCTGAGCTTCCAAGCTCTCTCGTACGTTTATTACAACTGTAACATGAAAAAATGTGGGCACAAGTTATGCGATCATCATACCAGGCCAGCATTCCTTGAAGCCTTGGAATGTAGCTTGTGCTTGGCTCGATGGCGCTTACCTTCCCCTCTTTGGAATTAGCACTAATATCCATGAACCTTCCAAGTTGGAATGCCGTTGGTTAGCGCTACCGAGCAGTGCTCAAGCTAACTTTCATGCCGCGGAATGTCTCAATACTCCTTGCCAGTTTAGTGCTAGATTGTGCACGTCTGACTGTTCAAAATCTGGTTTAGTTGGTGGACTCGATCGCATAACTTGTGCCCACATTTTCCCATGTTACAATTTTTTCCTCGGCCCACCATCTGAGTTTATTGAAATGTGGAGGTTTTCATCATTGAGAGATGTCTGCAAGTGCACAAAATAAAACTTACCTGCAAAAAATGACACCACATGTCGAGGAACTTGAACTTTCCCCGAAGGACAATATTCCAATAGGCGAGGGCCATCTCAAGATCTACAGAGCACATGGCAAGTAACATACACACAGTGTCAACACGTGTGACCTCGCACGGCTGTCATACCCCAAACGCCCAAGGTTGATGTATCAGAGAAGGAACACACATTACAGCTTCATCTGATGACAGGGTTGATAGATGCTCAACCCATCAGATTGACCTGCAATCTGCCCTCTGGCGTACACTCCGAATATGCATTTCAGTACAAACATAAGCAAAGTGGTGGAATGTGATTATTGCCACAAAGAAGGTGAAGGGGTGCCTATTAAAACATATAAGTCAAGATGAAAGGCAGCAGCTCACCCATTCCTTTCTGGTTCGGAGTCTTTCCAAAATCAAAAGTAAAATGGTAGAAACTTTTGAATGCGTCTGGTGCTGACACCTCATCTTCAAGCGTAGGCACCTTGGCTTTTAAAGCTTCGATAGAATCACATCTGAGCATAAAACAGAGAAACAGAGAGTGTGAGAAGGACAGACAGACAGACAGAGGGAGAGAGAGAGAGGGAGAGAGGGAGAGAGGGAGAGAGAGAGAGAGAGAGAGAGAGAGAGAGAGAGAGAGAGAGAGAGAGAGAGAGAGAGAGAGAGAGAGAGAGAGGAGGAGGGGAGGGAGTACTGGCAGTACCAACAGGGAGCAGAAGAGCAAAGTCATAAAAAAGGGCAATTACATTGCAACATCCAGCACCGGAGAAACCCAACTGCACTAGAAGAAAAGAAAGAAAAATGCACTACCGGACGCGAAAGGCTAATCCACGGCATAGCAAGATCAACTTACCCGAGGGTGGCCATGCCTTCAACAAATTCTGTTCGCTTGAACTCGCATTGTGTCTCAGCTTTGAATTTCCACGCCAGTACGAGCACACTGCGGCTCTCCGGGTCCATCCCAAGGTCATCTACTAGGAAACGAGAGACGCCCTCTGCCTGCATTTTATCCTCGGCAACTGAGTCTGAAATCGGAGAAGCACATGCCGGTAGGTGACAGTTAAATACTGGTAGCGGCACGTACAGGATGACGTCTTTCACAAATCATCAAGAGTCCGTAAGTAAGAGTATGCAACTACGGCTATGGTCATTATAATTATGGGTCCATGCGCAGCACACGATCTGAAAGCATGCACACAGACCCACAATGTCTCGTACCCGCACATCCGATTTTGCTTGATTCGTTCGAGTTCCTACTCGGTGTCTAAAAAACACTTTGGGCGCATGAACTCCAGTTTCGTACAAAATGTTCATTTCAAACCCAAGGGAAAGTGTGGTGTTTGATTTTCCGCAATGCTCAGATTGCAGCTGAATGATGTAATGAAGGCAGCGCGCCGCACATCTGGCCCATAGAAAAGAGATCCCAGTTGCACACTCTTGTTTACGGACTCTTTATATCAGCCCCACGTTGCCTAGTCCAAAGTGTCGGAATTCCGAGGCTTGACTGTAATCGCACAGGTAGGAATGATGGTGACATATCCTGCGCTCCTTCAAGCATGCAGCATGCAATGGCTATGGCGCTTTCACTGCGTTGTACTTGACATCATAATCTCTGCCGCCATGATCCCAGAAATATGCTACATTCTCATTTGTGTGCAGGAGTTGTCTCATCCGAAATACTGTAAAATATACAGAAAACGACACATATACTGTTGCTATTGGGTGTTGGGAATGAGTGAGAATCGTTATCACTGGTACACAAAAACTGGTCAATTTTAGGAAATCGTTATATATGCGGCTCGGTAGAATAATGGCTTTTACAGTAGATCAGTCCGCATGTGAACAGATTGCCCTGCCGTCCGGGAACAGCTTTCCTGGCTATGGTGCCAAAACCCGGGACACAGAGGGTGAGTTCTCTTGTAGTTGTTAGCTGCCAGTAATCAGTGGAAATAGTGAGAAGGTGAATAGCGATTGGTGATCAAGGAAGACCTGCCGGAGACAAACTAGTCATTCTACGTGGAGTGGCACACAGCAGAAGGCACTCATTTAAAAACACCACAATGATAAAGAAGGAATGGAACTGGTAGAGGCGATGCATTGCTTACCTCGATACGTATCGAACAGCGCATTCAGTTTTCTCTTGTCCAGTACGGGGGCTGCTGCTTTCCGCCCATACCCACCGTCTAGCGAGAACATCTGCGGGTTGGCAAAGAACGTGTCAATTGCAATGTCCACGCGATACTGACAGTCTTGCAGAAGCCGCTGCGCAAGGCTAGGTGCTAGCCGTGTAACGCTGGCAACCTGCGACACCTTCTCCCTCTCCTTCTCGCGCTCGCGGTCGCGCGACTTTTGACGATGCTAGGACACAACAGCAACAAAGGATAACAAAAAAAGCAATATACTGTCGAAACAGGAAGGCTTGAAACGCGGTGTTCTGTCAAGGACTCGATACACCGCATTTTCCGGAGTATAAGCCGCACTTTAAACACTCTTAATTCACCCAAAAACAAGTCACTGCGGCTTATACTAGGATGACAGTCACTGCGGCGTGTACTACGATGACAGTCACTGCGGCGTGTACTACGATGACAGTCACTGCGGCGTGTACTACGATGACAGTCACTGCGGCGTTTACTACGATGACAGTCACTGCGGCGAGTACTACAATGACAGTCACCGCGGCGTGTCCTACGATAACAGTCACTGCGGCGTGTCCTACAATGACAGTCACTACGGCGTGTCCTACGATAACAGTCACTGCGGCGTGTACTACAATGGCAGTCACTGCGGCGTGTCCTACGATGACAGTCACTGCGGCGTGTACTACAATGACAGTCACCGCGGCGTGTCCTACGATAACAGTCACTGCGGCGTGTCCTACAATGATGACAGTCACTGCGGCGTGTACTACGATGACAGTCACTGCGGCGTGTACTACGATGACAGTCACTGCGGCGTGTACTACGATGACAGTCACTGCGGCGTGTACTACGATGACAGTCACTACGGCGTGTACTACGATGACAGTCACTGCGGCGTGTCCTACAATGACAGTCACTGCGGCGTGTCCTACGATAACAGTCACTGCGGCGTGTCCTACAATGACAGTCACTGCGGCGTGTACTACGATGACAGTCACTACGGCGTGTACTACAATGACAGTCACTGCGGCGTTTACTACGATGACGGTCACTGCGGCGTTTACTACGATGACAGTCACTGCGGCGTGTACTACAATGACAGTCACTGCAGCGTTTACTACGATGACAGTCACTGCGGCGTGTACTACGATGACAGTCACTGCGGCGTGTACTACGATGACAGTCACTGCGACGTGTACTACAATGACAGTCACTGCGGCGTGTACTACGATGACAGTCACTGCAGCGTGTCCTACGATGACAGTCACTGCGGCGTGTACTACGATGACAGTCACTGCGGCGTGTCCTACGATGACAGTCACTACGGCGTGTACTACGATGACAGTCACTGCGACGTGTCCTACGACGACAGTCACTGCGGCGTGTACTACAATGACAGTCACTGCGGCGTGTACTACGATGACAGTCACTGCGGCGTGTACTACGATGACAGTCACTGCGAGGTGTACTACGATGACAGTCACTGCGGCGTGTACTACGATGACAGTCACTGCAGCGTGTACTACGATGACAGTCACTGCAGCTACACTAAGATGGTCAAACGAACGGCCATGTACAGGGTACGTGTCCATATTTCGTGACAAAAAAATTCTGGGCACGGCTTGTACTCCGGAAATATGGTCTGCCCAATATTTCCCACCTACAGTGTTCAGCAAGCACCATTTGTGCAGCCGCACCAAGAGGAATATCTTCAATGCGTGTGTTGTTTCTATCCTGCTGTACGGAGCTGAGTGTTGTGTACCCCTCCAAGCCGACATTCGTAGGCTCTCCACTTTCTTCATGCAAAGTTTTGCGTGCCATTTTTTGGCATTTCAAGGATAGATGCCTGGCAAGAACGGATCAGCAACAGGCACGTGTGCCGGTGCCCTTCAAGGGGGGGGGGGGGTCCGGGGGCGTCCCCCGGGGAAAATTTTCAAAAAATGAAGCCAAATCCTGCATTTTGAGCGAAAAAAAGGGGGGGGGTGGTTCCGGGCACCCAGGAACCCATACGGGGCACGCGCCTGAGCAATGATCAGCTGCTGGAAATGCGGGGAGAAAGGCGCTCACGTACTGTCCTGATTCGCCAACAACGGCTTGAGTGGCTATACCATGTTGCTCGTATGCCATCGGAGCACATCCCGAAGGTGCTCTCCACACCAAGCACCTCACCAATGCAGTCCCTCCACAGTGCAGCACCTGTCACTGCAACGTTTTCCACCCCTCTCCCCTGACGGGCAATGCATATCAAGGTCAAGGTGTGTGTGTGTCCCTTCCATTGATTGCTCTTTCTACAGATCCATTTCGCCACGTGTTGCTTTGTAGTTCCGGAGTTCAGTTGATCATGTCGAGGTTTCGTTTCACATTTCACTCCAAGAATAGGATGTCGTAGTGTCGTCGGACGGGAGAGCAATCAGTCGTAGGGTAAATAGGAACGTTCCCACGCCAGTTGAAGCACCAGCCGATCCAACATCAGCTGAGAGGGCAACCGATGCGTGAGATATGGGAGTTGGTATTCAACAATTACATCCTTCATGTCCTACACACTACAACAGCAGAGAAAGTAACGTGGGCACCACATCTTCAGACTTCATTTCGCGATCTGATTCTTTGTGACGATAATTCAAGCTAACATCAAAAATACCTGGTTGGTGACGCACATGCTCCTGCACACTGGGAGTCATGATGCTACTTGTCCTCTGCCAGTATGGTGAACATCTTAGTGATGAAATGCCACAAGGTCTAGTGGAGTACACATGTATTCTCACATTCAAAGCAATTCGTGTGAATGAAGAAGAGTCTAACTGGTTGTAATTCCAGAGTTCCTTTCATCATGTCGAGGTTTCATTCGACATTTCACTCCAAGGATATGGGTGTGGTAGTGTCGTCAGGCGGGAGAGCAATCAGTTGTAGGGTAAATAGAAACGTTCCCACGCCAGTTGAAGCACCAGCTGATCCAACATTAGCACCAGTGCCACCAGTGGCAGTCCCAAAATTGCACCGTGATCTTGGGACTTGCAGGAACTGTTAAACACTTTGGCGGTGTGGTTGCTGAGAGGGCAACCGATGTGTGAGATATGGGAGTTGGTATTCAACAATTACATCCTTCATGTCCTTCCTACACACCACAACAGCGGAGAAAGTAACGTGGACACCACCTGGTTGGGGACGCACATGCTCCTGCACACTGGGAGTCATGATGCTACTTGTCCTCTGCCAGTATGGTGAACATCTTACTGATGAAATGCTACAAGGTCTAGTGGAGTATATTCTCACATTCAAAGTGAATGAAGAAAAGTCCAGCTTGGTCTACACACTCTTGTACCATTGTGCGTTGCGAAGGCTCCACAATGGGCTCCACTTCACTGGGCAGCACAGCATACCGGTAACAGGATCAACGTTGTCAAGGTGATGCGATCACACGGCAGTGACGGCTTGCCTTAACGCATCGACACGCGAGGCACAAAGTCAATAAGCCCCAATGCACTGGGCAGCACAGCGTAAGTTACTACTAGTATCCACGTTGTCCTCTGCCAGTATGGTGACCATCTAAGCGATGACAGGTCTAGTGGGGTAAAATTGTATTCTCACATTCAAACGAATTGATGTGCATGAAGAAAAGTCCAGCTAGGACAACACGTTCTTGCACCATTGTGCGTTGCGAAGGCACAATGGGCTCCACTTCACTGGGCACCACAGCATAACAGTATCAACGTTGTCAAGCTGATAAAGGCTGGTCACACAGTATCAGACCAAGCAATGGAGTCATGATGAATGTGTGCAGCTTCTCATGCAGTATGAAGCTGACAAGGAAAACAAGAAGTAGCTGTTCCTCGAGTGCTGTAATATCCAAGCTCAAAGATAGCAGTGGTGGGAATTGCGGATTGGTTGGTGGAGTGCTAGAACGACTCGTTGTTTACAGTGGAGCGGACAAGCGAGTGCGGAGAGGAAGGTCGCAATGGCGGAATTGAAATTTCAATCTTTCGTCGTCATGAGTGCATTGGTCAAGCGTTGTGGAAGTCTGTCGGATTTGTGAGGCCCTGCCCTGCCGCTTACATCTTCAACGTGGAAGAACTGCCAGTGGAGTCCTGGTGGGATTTCGGATGCCCACACTCCTTTAGCTTGGCGAATTCTTGCGTGGACAGTGTTTTTTGTGACGTGAAATTTTGCAGTTTTTTCTTTCCTGTTCTTTTCAGGTGTTGTCACTGCCACTGTCAGGTTGTTGTTACAGTACAGCAGTCGTCCGTTCTACTCCATTGTCTCATCTGTTTTGCCAGTTCTGCTAGCTGATTCTCTTTATCACATACCTAACTTTTTCATGCGCATTAGTGACTTTTTGGCATATCTCTGTTCTCAACGGTCTTTCAAACACCAGACTTGCCCCAGAACTATTCCTTTCAGTGCCACTACAAATAAATGTCTGTGTACCCACAGATAGCATGATCCTCTGGAGACTGGGTTGTGCTAACTAGTGTATGCCTGATTCTCTACACCATTGAGTCGAAACATTAGGAAAGTTGAACGAACATTCAAGGAAGTGATTTATTAGCTACTAGTACATTACCATGTCGGAGACGAATGAAGTGTGGATCCCTTGGTTCACTGGGCTCGCTGGCTTGAACGAGTCAAAGTCAAAGTTCTCCAATTCAGCTAACCGTTGGCAAATCGCAAGTAACTTTTCGTAATGCGTTAGAGAGAAGTACCACAGTAGTTATTGCCAGCTAATACTGCTATTCGAGAAATTTCTGTTTGGGAAAAAGTCACTTCGTAGAACCTTCACAATGACTATGTTACAGCGGCAGCTGATTGTATTATTGAACACTTCTTTCTTCTCAAGTTTGCTGCCCCTTAACTATGAAAGGAGATGGCAGGGTGTGTTTGTCAGTATTGGATAATTGGTTGCAGTGTATTTGAAAAATTGAGAAACACACTGCCCTACAAACTCACAACAGATATCAGATCATCTCTTTATTTGCATCTTTTTGGGAAAGGAATTATTTTGATTTATTGGGGGATTTTTGCGCGCACAAGAACACTGCGAAGGCGAGGACGCGTAGTGCTCCTGACCAGGGAGTCGTATTTTACGACTCCCTGCTCCTGACTACAACCAAGAGTACATAACCCCCCAGAGTGTGCAACGCCGATCCAGCTCTGTGTACGAGTCTTGGTCGAGCGGAATCGGATCTTCTGATGTCATGCGTACACTTCACACCAGCGCAAGGCCGGTCTCGAGGCAGGGCACCATTGTTTTTGATCCAAGAGTACCCGCGACTCCCCGGGTTCCCCTCAGATGTGTACGGTATTATGACGCAAAGATCCGATTCCGCTCGACCAAGACCCTATGCAGAGCTGGATCAGGCGTTGCACACTCTGGGGGGTTATGTACTCTTGCTACAACCATAAACCGGTTGGCAGAGTCCCGGTCTTGCGACCATTTGAACCGTATTGGGAAAACCCAGGTTCGGACCCTCGTTAAGCGGGATTCACAGAAGCTTTTTTGCGATGCGACACGCGATGCGACAGGCGCGAAACCGGGAAAACCCCAAATCGCAGCCATGTCGCACCCCACGCAACTGACGCAACTGGGCCATCGCATGTCATCGCAGAAGTTGAGCTTGGCTCAACTTTTGCGATGCGATGCGATGCGACAAGCGATTTGGTGTACGATTTTGACCTTTTCTACAGCAAAGTTGTACAAAGGTGCAAGAGTTGCCTTTAAATTTTTACAAGTTGTGTCAAACCGCGCGAATATCATGGTGACGTACCCAAATCAGCAAAACTTTGTCGCATCGCTGACTTCTTCTGTGAATGGTATTTCGCGAGTTCGCATCGCACGCATCCATCGCAGATCGCGTCGCATCGCGTGTCGCATCGCAAAAAAGCTTCTGTGAATCCCGCTTTAAGGCCGATTCACAATACAACTTTCTGCGACGCGACATGCGACTTGCGACACATGCGACGAGCTGCGACAGCGACACACGGTTCACAATATTCTTCATGATTGCGACATCCTCATGCACAAGTAGTACTATGCACGTGCACTGCACGTGCACCCAGGGTCGAAACCGTACTCCATTTGTGTATATCGCGTGTCGCATGTCGCAAAAGTTGAACTTTCTTCAACTTCTGCGACAGGTGCATTGCGACAGCTTGCGACAGCTCGCGACAGGCAGTTTCTTGTCGCAACTGTCGCAAATCGCGTGTCGCGTCGCAGAAAGTTGTATTGTGAATCGGCCTTTACTCTAAAGGCCGATTCACAATACAACTTTCTGCGACGCGACATGCGACTTGCGACGCATGCGACGAGCTGCGACAGCGACACACGGTTCACAATATTCTTCATGTTTGCGACATCCTCATGCACAAGTAGTACTATGCACGTGCACTTCACGTACACTGCACGTGCACCCAGGGTCGAAACTGTACTCCATTTGTGTATGTCGCGTGTCGCATGTCGCAAAAGTTGAACTTTCTTCAACTTCTGCGACAGGTGCATTGCGACAGCTTGCGGCAGCTTGCGACAGCTCGCGACAGGCAGTTTCTTGTCGCAACTGTCGCAAATCGCGTGTCGCGTCGCAGAAAGTTGTATTGTGAATCGGCCTTAAGGTTGGTAGGATTTTTATAATTTTCGTTTTTTTTGTGTTGTAGAAGTCGTCGTGTTGCCGCCGTAGTACATGTATTGTTCACGTTGCTGCCGCTGCAGGGATCACGTCTGGAAGGATTTGTGATGTTATTTTCTTGTCTTCCTCTGTAATTAAATTATTTGTGATTTATATTTCTTTTGTTCTTTTGTTCTTTTTCTTTTTTCTTGTCTTTTTTCAACTTCTGCCCATGGCGTCCTTCTCTCAGCTCGTCAGCTGTAACAGTCATAGTCATCACCATGACGACTGTTGTGAGAAGGTGCTCGCTGCCGACGAGGTTGGTGATGTCCCGACGAGGCCATGGCATGGGTAGGCCTTCACCACGTCGGAACACCCCGTCTGCACGTTGGTGTTGTGGTCTGGGTGTTGATGGACGCCGATGTTGTTGTAATAGTTGTTGTCGTTGTAATTGTCGTTGATTGTTGTTGTTGTTGTTGTTGTTGTTGTTGTTGTTGTTGTTGTTGTTGTTGTTGTTGTTGTTGTTGTTGTTGTTCTCCTTAGTGTTGCTCTCGTTGTTGCTGTTGGTCTTGGTAATACTAATAGTCTTGTTCATGGACCTCATGAATTCCACAAATAAAACAGAGTTATATTTCTTGAATGAGCTTCAGGGTTACTTTTCCTTCAATTATGAATGATTTGTGGAATGTTGCAATTGGTAACATGGAAACATAAGTTCAGTGCAGCTTCCAGTATGTTGTTCAGGTGAGGTACACCGGTTTTTGGGATCAAATGTCGGAAGTCAGCATTGCTTACCTCGGCTGTTGCGCTGGACCGTCTTGGGTTCACTCGTAGTTAATTAATTGTGCGTCCCCCCAGGGGGTTTGGGCTCTCCGGTATTAATCCTTTGTTGAACGAGAAATTGTTTACTAATTAATTATTGATGAAGGGGTTAGTGTTGTATCACGTTCTTCGTGGCGTGGGCTGAGTCTTCTGTCAGGTGGACGGAGCTATAAAACACACAGACAGGACGGCGGTTATTGGTGTATCGAAGGAGAAGAGAAGTCTCACTGGCGGCTCTCTGAGAGAGACACACGTGTTGACTTTGGACTTACCGGGAGATCTCTCCAGGTTGTCCGAGGAGCTGGTAAGATGGTCGTCGACGTCGAAGGTGAACGTAGGCTGAGGAAGATATGTGGAGTGTAGTCGGACACGACGTGATGGCTTCTTGTTGTCTTCGCGAGTTGTGTTCTGGAGACGTCGATCTTGCGTGGTGTCGTAGGTCGTGCGCGGGGATCGCGCGTAGATCTGCGTGCGGTGATGCTGGCGCGCGTGGTGCTCCGGGCCGTTTGTCGTCGACGTCCTCGTCGTACGATCGTTCCGACAATGGTGAGTCGTAGATCTACTTGCGGACTTGCTTCTTTCGCATTGTGCGTTGCATCTCCGCCGTTGGGGTCAGTACGAGGTGATTCGTAATTTTTTAACATTGCGTCATTTCTTAACAAATCGGTAAAATATCTCATTGCCAGCGCCTGCAAAAAGTCACGTCAAATTTCTTTTTGCCATTGCCATTGTCAATGTTCTGTCAAGTTCGCCTCCAAAATTGAGACTGATATTCCTTCAGGAAGTGACATTGCAAGAGCTTTCAGTCTGCATGTGCGCGATGTTTACGGTAAAATAGAGTATAAGAGAGTCATAGCCGCTGGTTTCAACCTCCAGTGACAATATAATTTAGCTGAAAAGGAAGCATATGATAGATACATACTGGAAACGACGCCTGGGAAGGAGGAATGGGGTGTGTTGGCCCTGGTAATGGCCAAACATTGGCAATTACTGAATTTACTAACAGATGTTGATCACAATTGCATATATAACCAGGGTGATACACCTACTGCTATGCAAGCTTGAATGGCTTGTATTTGGATCAACATGATCTTGATCCAGTCTTGCTGGACCATCCTGGATACGTAGGGTCTCTTTCTATTGAAAACTGACTTGAAATTGTGCTGCTAAGGCCTATTTTACCATGATGTTAAGAAATGACCACAACAAATAATATGCGGAAAAATTGCCATTTTTCAACTGCCCCCTGCTTCCCAACACCAAGGATTATGTGCATGAACAACCCACCATTGCAATCTAAGGACATCAGTATTACATTTTTGGAGGAAGAAATGGAAAGATTCGCACCTCGAACCCTACGGAAGGCTTTTTTACTTTCGTGTTAAAGGGGAAGTATACCCTAAAATCAAATTTTCACCAGTTGTAGTCTTCTGGGTGCTGAGTCGAATGGTCTTGGTCCGAGGAAGCTGCGACGCTCCCTTCCTACTTGAATCCCAATCGAACTCGCGCACTTCCACCGAAACTGGGTGACTGCGCCCTACTAGATGGGGATTTGTATGCAAAATGTCACTAAAAGCGCCATTTCGTTCTTATAAAAGCACGGATGACCGCGATTGGCCCATATGTTGTAGTCTTTTGGACGCTGAGTCGACTGGTTTTGGTCCGAAAAGGCTGCGATGCAGCGTTCCTCCTTTATTCCCAATCGAACATGGTTGAACAAGCGGTCACGTGCTCCTGGGTGCCCAAATCACCTGGTCACCGCGCCAGCAGGTGACAACTTTCACACCAAGGTTCAACTCGAGTTCAACTCGAGTGACAGGACTGCACCCAAAAAAGGTCAAACAGGCTAGTAAGTTGTACCCTGCAGGCACGGTGACCAGCTGACTGGTGTACGCAGGAGCACGTGACCGCTTGTTCAACCATGTTCGATTGGGAATAAAGGAGGAACGCTGCATCGCAGCCTTTTCGGACCAAAACCAGTCGACTCAGCGTCCAAAAGACTACAACATATGGGCCAATCGCGGTCATCCGTGCTTTTATAAGAACGAAATGGCGCTTTTAGTGACATTTTGCATACAAATCCCCATCTAGTAGGGCGCAGTCACCCAGTTTCGGTGGAAGTGCGCGAGTTCGATTGGGATTCAAGTAGGAAGGGAGCGTCGCAGCTTCCTCGGACCAAGACCATTCGACTCAGCACCCAGAAGACTACAACTGGTGAAAATTTGATTTTAGGGTATACTTCCCCTTTAAATAATGACGAATCACCTCGTATTTGACCCGGGCGTTGTCCATACCGCTTGTTCTGGATATGTTGTGCGGTCTCCGTTGATCTGGGTTTGTGGTGGTCAGGTCCGAGTACGAATCTACCACGTGAACCGTGTGTGGTGGATTAATTATTTTATTTTGGTGGAGATCGAAAATGATCTCCGATCCGAGGAAAACGGCTCGATCCGGCCGGCGGTCGAGTGTGCCTGTTGTGTATAGCGAGAGCTGCAGAGTGCAGTAAATATTGGCGCCCCTATTGTAACTGTCTACAAGGTGAATGGATGCTGTAATCTGTTCGCGTGGTACTGCCTGCTGAGCGCTGTGTTGTTCGGAAACAAGAGTCGAAGAGAAGGTTGTAGATGGATCAGAGCTGGTAACTAACTGTTGCTTGTGAGTGGTTGCAGTCGTCTATAGTGCTGATACTGATACTTATACATGGAGGAATCTTCGGTTGTTGGTTCAATTATTAATTTTGATCAGTAGTGTCCTTATGGAGGGGGAAATGTGGGTGGTGAGCTGTCCTAGTGGTAGATTTACCCCTATTGTCTGTGGCCGTGGGAAGCCCTCCGAACCTGGGTTTTCCCAATACGGTTCAAATGGTCGCAAGACCGGGACTCTGCCAACCGGTTTATGGTTGTAGTCAGGAGCACTACGCGTCCTCGCCTTGTAAGGCTGTGTTTACATGAAGCGTTTCAACCCGGGTTGAGTTCGACCCGGGTCAGATTTCAACCCGCCATGTGCACAAAGTGAATGGCGCGTTTACATGACGCATTGCGCTTGACCCGGGTTGATTTCAACCCTCCCCCCAAGGGGAGGGTTGAAATCAGGGAGTCGTAAAAGCCCGGGAGAGGACACGGGATGCGCGCACGCGGACGATGTTTGCCTCGGCCAGAAAGTGAAGCACGCTAGGCCGGCGCGGCCGGATCTGCTCGATCCACGGCGCTGTGCTCGTCTTCAGGGCAGGGAGTCCTAAAATACCAATATTTTACAACTCGTTGTTGACACCATTATCCGAAACTGGTGGCGAAGGAAGCATAAACATGATTGTGTGTCTGTCTGTCAGACTCAGTACACATGGTAGATCTACAGCTACAGGGGATGGGGAGTTGAGTGTGTGTGTGTGTGGGGGGGGGGGGAGGCGTGTGTATGTGCACATGTGCTTGTACTTTTGTGTGTGTTTGTGTGTGTGTGTGTGCGCGCGCGCGCGTGCGTGCGTGCGTGTGTGCGCATTTTTGTGCACAATTCCGTTATGAAGTACTGATAGGTTTACCTTTTGTACACTCGCCAAGACTTCGGTTAGATTCACTGAGAACCTTTCTGGCCAACCTGGAGGCTGAGCCTTCCGCTTCCTAAACGGCTAAAGTCAGTATACGAGTAGAAAAGTGTTGAAATTATCAAGATTTATAAATAACGACCTGCAACCATGTACAATGTAGATAGATAGGGAACACACATTGATTGTTTTTAAAAGAATCCAGGCAATATCATGAATCATGGAACGAGTGCGTAATAATGCTCTATGTTGCGTTTTGACGATGCTGAAGTAAGGGAGCCGTTGCGATTCACTCACAACACACGCACAGAATTACACTCGACTGCAATTTCAGTGCAATTTCTGACACAAATTCATAAATCCACGAGTACGAGGAAGCTCAGCGGATCTCAACACGAACGTTCGCCCATCATCTGCAATGGAATATGGGCTGTATGATACGACCAGCGGCTAACACGGGAAGTGGCGTCATTTTCCACAAATCTCGTTTCATTCACAACCATTTGACTGCAATTCAGTGCAATTTCTGCCACAAATTCAACTCCACGAGTACGAGGAAGCTCAGCGGATCTCAACACGAACGTTCGCCCATCATCTGCAATGGAATATGGGCTGTATGATACGACCAGCGGCTAACACGGGAAGTGGCGTCATTTTCCACAAATCTCGTTTCATTCACAACCATTTGACTGCAATTCAGTGCAATTTCTGCCACAAATTCAACTCCACGAGTACGAGGAAGCTCAGCGGATCTCAACACGAACGTTCGCCCATCATCTGCAATGGAATATGGGCTGTATGATACGACCAGCGGCTAACACGGGAAGTGGCGTCATTTTCCACAAATCTCGTTTCATTCACAACCATTTGACTGCAATTCAGTGCAATTTCTGCCACAAATTCAACTCCACGAGTACGAGGAAGCTCAGCGGATCTCAACACGAACGTTCGCCCATCACCTGCAATGGAATGTGGGCTGTATGATACGACCAGCGGCTAACACGGGAAGTGGCGTCATTTTCCACAAATCTCATTTCGTTCATCCCAACTCAAATAAAAGTGAAGTACAATTAGGGATTTATCTTGCATTTCCATCGCCTCAGAATAAATTAACTTCGATAAACTGAGAGAGAATGAGTGAGGCAGTTGGAAGAACTGAGGATGAAAATAGAGATCAGAAGACTCGACGGAGCAATCGTTTCCGTGCTCTAAGAGAAATCGGAGATGTCCCAATTAGTATTTCAAGAAGACATCACAATTTTCGAAAATAATAATTTCCTTGCCTCGCAACACCGTTCCCTGGCAGCGTTCCCCGGCAGCGCGAGGCAGAGATGTTTTCTGGGAATGTGTGCCGTGTCCTCTCCCGGGCTTTTACGACTCCCTGGTTGAAATCAACCCGGGTCAACAAAATCGTACAAACGTACTTCTGTGCGTATCTCGCGCCAGGTTTGAACGGCACTGCAGATGCAAATTTCGCGCGAACGGATTCACGTGACCATACAGGACTGTAGAAGTGGACTTTTGGCGGCATATCAGTATTTGACCCGGGTCAACTGTCTTCATGTAATTACGTAAACGCTCACCTCTTTTGTTTGTCGTACAGACTTTCAACCCGGGCTGAACTCGACCCGGGTTGAAATTTCTCATGTAAACGCAGCCTAACATGCATGCTGTCAAAATCGAAAAACAGATTGGAAAGGCTTTCTGTCTAAAGCCTTTCCATACTGGTGCTCGATGTTTTCAGTTTGGGGACACCAAAATTAGTGTACCGCTAAAGACACGTGGTCGACACGTTGTTGACACTTTGTTGACACTTTGTTGACACGTGACCCAATTACCGGCCTACCAAGTGCCTTTGGCGACCGCTAACAGCAACTGTGGAACAGTGCAGTGCCCTTTTTTGGAGCAACGTACGAGTAGTGCCCATGGATTATGACCCCGCGACCCCAATCTACGTGGCGGTCCGCAATTCGCTACTTCATACTGACTGGCGTCCGGCATCGTCCCGAATTTGGCCACAATCTGCTCTCGGGACCCCTGACCTGCTCCATCTCCGCCATCGTCAATGTACTGCGCATCCACCCAGGCCAGGACTGCACTTACTTACGGGAAGGAGTATTTGCAAGATGGAACCTGGGAACTGGAAGACGACGAAGAGGAAGCGTGGGAATCCGGCGGCAATGGCTGGGATGTAAGTCCAACATTGCTGGTGCCAGAGTAGCCACTGCTTGCTTATAAGGGAATCATGTGTGTTGCCTTTTTGCCTTTTCCGTCGTCCTCCTCCGACTGTACTCCCGATCCCAGGACTGAACTTACGGGAAGGAGTGCTTCCAAGATGGGAGACGAAGAAGAAGAAGCCGCTGAATCCGGCGGCAATGGCTGGGATGTAAGTCCAACATTGCTGGTGCTAGAGTTACCACTGCTTGTTTATAAGGGATTCATATGTGTTGCCCTTTTTTGCCTTCTCCCAAGTTCTCCTCCGACTGTACTGGTGAACGCTGTCACATATGTTGCCCTTTCCAGGCAGTAGAAGGGAGGGGGGGGGGGGGCAGCACATCCTGGCATCCAGGAATGCTAGGCCCTAGGAACTAGGCAATCTGACCTTTCCTCTTACCCCAATAATGGTATGGATGGGGAGTTCTTGAACATCCTCAGTCTTGTTAGAGTGAACTGTGCAACTCGGCAATCGGTGATAGCAGAGGACCAATGCCGATGGCGATGCTCCTTCCTTTTTCTCTGTCACAGGCTGCGTTCTCGAGAGGAAGCGTTATTTCTGCATTCCAAGAAGGACGGCACAATGGTGAGTGGAACTTCGTTGGTGTGCAGCCTTGCTAGTTGAATTGTAAATCAACCATTCTTCCTGTCTCTGACTTCTTCAATGTCCTCCTCAGTGTCGGACTGTCCGCGTCGCATTGAACTGGTCCGATGAGGCTGCTATTGCACACACAGTGAGGGAACTTCCATACGGGAACTCGGAAGTACTGCTACAGTACAGGTAAGGTGGCCATTGCTTATGTGCGTGCGCCGTTGTCAAACTTCTAAGCCAGCTGTACTCCAACCTACATGGAGTCTGAAAGTAGTCAGCTGGCGAACTACAATTGAAGTTTAGACGTTATATGCCGCGGCTTGGTCAGCTTTTTCAGTTTCACAATGCATTGCACTCAGCACCGCTTCTCGGAGTATCTTGTCAGGATAGCTTTGGAACGCATCCTCCCCAGTGGGGGAACGGCAAATGTGCTGTTCATTTTTTAGGCTTGCTTTTATGGTACGTACAAATCCCCATTGAAAAGACATAGTGGAGACCAGAAACTGCAAATAGATGTTGGGAACCGCGAAGACCACCCTTCCTTGTCAAGTTCCCTGAGGGTGTGGAGGGGGGGGGGGGGAGCGGAGGAGGGACATTCCTGCACTGCTTAAAGCAGGATTCACAGGAGCATTTTCAGAAATTGCTTGTACATTTGTACCAGTTGTAACCGACAAACGCATTCTCATTGAGGTTTGACTTGAGGCACGTCAGCAAGGCGCTGTTGCATCGCTGACGTCTTGTCCTGATTCTGTGAATGGTATTTTGTGCGAGTTTCCATCGCACGCAGAATCGCAGGTCGTGTCGCATTGCGCAGCACACTGCCAAATTGCTTCTGTGAATCCCACGTGAATGGGAATTCCAATGGGAATGTAATCCATTGCCAACAGGTGTATTCCCGAGCTGCGCATCATACTGCAAAATTGCTCCTGTGCATGCAAATGGATTTCATTGCTCTTCTGTAGTTTGGGAAATTCTCGATTATGATAATTCTGCGTGTGTGTGTACACCAGCCCTGAACATACATGTAGGTGACCCATTTGTGGTGTCTCATAGCCTACCTCACGACCTTATGCTTGCTTTCTGTATCACTTGTATCTTGCAGGTATATCACCCCGTGACGACCACATCGAAGTCTGAAATTGAAGTGTGTATTTTTCCATTGCTTTTATTGTGCTTCTACTGTGCATGTGTGTAACCTGTGGGGTATGCATGTGATGACAATGTATGCCGATGACACGGTCAGATTTTGTCCATGCGTGTAACGTACACCTGCATGCTATCGTTGAAAAGGATCTGCCACTTACGATCTTCGGACGAGTATCAGGTCAGCTTGGTTTTGTGTGGGCTGTACCAGATGCTGTTCACTTCTCTATCTGTTGGATATGTGACTTTCTGCAAGTTTCTGGTGTATGGTGGCCACTTCTTTGCTCGTCTTTGTATGACATTACAATAATTCTGTATTCACTGCTTCCATGGTGTGGTCTGCAAACTGCAATCCTTAGGCAAATATCATCACGGTTTGCAATGTTGTGCTTTGGCTGCTAGCTTACCTACACATTGTAGTTGAATTATTTTTGTTTCACAACTGACTTCCTGAAGTATGGTGGCCACTGCTTTGCATGGCATTATACAATGTTCATCAAGAATTTCCTGTTTGGGTCGTGTGTGTGTGTATGTATGTGTGTGCGTGCCCATGTGTGTGTGTGCCATGTGCATGTGCGTGTTTGTCACAAGGTGTCTGTGTGCGGGGTAGCAAGGTGGGGAGGGCTGGAATGTATCAGTGTGCTACTGCAGTTGCATGGCTACATACAGTGCATCGCGCGCGTGCTCACCATGTTTATCTTCGGAGCTGGGCTAGGGTGGGGGAGGGAACAGAAAAAGAACTGAAATTACCCATATAAAAACCGCTCTGTGAGCGGTTCTGAAAAACCTCTACTGGTGCAGCCCCGTCGTAAAAGTAAGAAATTAGAACTGGCGCATTGTCCTCCCAAATGTGAACTGATCCACCTAAATCGCGATTGACGGGACCCGAACGCACCAGTAGCACGAGGTCGGGAGGGCACAGGATCACAGCCGGCGTCGGCGCTGATCAAGTTACCATACAAGATCTACCCCGAAGCCCACCTTTGCCGCTTTGGCTTTGGCTATGGACCAGCGTCCCCAGCTGCTAGACTGTGAGCCAAGTGCATGAATTCATGATTTTCGTTCCCACTTTGGGTGTACCGCGATTTTGTTCTTTTAGCATGTGGAGAGACCTAATAGAAGATCATTTTTGATTGTTGTCAGTTTGGGAAGCTTGCAGGGAAGTCAAAATAAGCAATTATCTTAACATACCCCGTTTCCATAGCAACTACATAGCAACTGATATAGCAACATGCTATTTTGAAGGTGTTTCTTACTTTTTTCAGCAGGCAACGGCACTGGACGAAGAAATGTATATCAAGCGTCATTGCAGCTGGGTTAAAATAACTATACGAGGCCAAGAATTATAGAATTACGCATAAGTGCATTATATAAAGTACGTGCACATTTTAAATGTTACTTGAAGTGACGATGCACTGGTAGGTAAGTGCACATGAAATGGTGCCGACAACCACGAAATGCACTTCAGGAATGATAATGTACAGAACAAACAGGTGGCATTCAATATACAAAGCCCAGCAGCAGCGAATTCTCCAGACAACGGTTGGAAAAGACCATCAACAACAGCCAGGAGAATCTGGTTTAATCCGGTGCAATGCTCATTTCACCCTCTACATCTCTATAATATATACATGTACAGTATGGCAGAATAATGTTAAAGAAGTTGCTGGATACAGGATTTGTATATTTGCACTCATATAACTGATCAATGTAACGTTACTTCGTAAGTACTGCTGTATTGCTTCCTAACTTATAAGTGCAAAGGGTAGAGCAATGACCGTAACCAGTAACGTTAGAGGACCGCAGGGGTATACCGGTAGATACAGATCTGTAGTTTATTTGAACTATAATAATAATTATTTTGAAACATTAGTTACATTACCCATTGTATGTACAGAACACAAGCGGAAAGATACAATTAATCATAGTCTGAAGCACTTCAGTATAAAAGATCGAAACAGTTATTAGCTCTCCGGAGATAAGGTACATTGTACGTTCTACATGTATTTCTGCTCCAACAGATTACAAAAACCTTTAGTTTAGCTTGACTGATCAGCAGCAAGCATGCTAGCACACTGATATGATTGACATGATGATGTTCGTACTGCCACTGCACTGCGCTGCACTAGCACTGCACACAATACTATAGAAACCACGAAAAAACATCGTCATGATGCGGCTGGGTTTGCACCACCGTACATTTTTGCGAGGTCAGTGGTGCAACAGAAGTCCGCTCCAGCTCTTGTGACCTTGGTTCTTGTCGATGGCGGCTATTGATTTGGCCAAAGTAGTTTCTCCCTTCTATTTGGGCATGTTCGTGCCTGATTTGGAAGTGACAACAAGCTGAATTCGTATCTAGTCGAGTAGATGAAACGAACTGGGGAAAAAAATTGCGGTACGCTCAAGGTCGGAACGAAAAAAAATTCTAACAGGATTTTTGGTGCCTGGCTCACAGTCTATGCATCCACAGGTAGGAACCTCGTGCTACTGGTGCGTTCGGGTCCCGTCAATCGCGATTTAGGTGGATCAGTTCACATTTGGGAGGACAATGCGCCAGTTCTAATTTCTTACTTTTACGACGGGGCTGCACCAGTAGAGGTTTTTCAGAACCGCTCACAGAGCGGTTTTTATATGGGTAATCTACACTTATACTAGATAAACAAGAGTGTGCAACTCGCGGATAGGTTGGCCCACGGCGGAATTTTTGTTGACGTAATCTTTTCGACGACGCACGCACTGCGAGCCTTTTGGAGAGGTTTCCCTCGTGCACTTGGCCGGGCTTATAGCTTACACTACAAGCTCGGTGCCCAGCACGTGCTCTCACACTGCTCTGCGGCAAAGTCCGCGTTTCTCTGAAAAAAGGTGACGTCAACAAAAAATTCCGCCGTGGGCGGGGGTATCTGCAGATTGTGCAGGAGAGATCCGGAGTTGCACACTCTTGTTTATCTACTCTTGCTTATACTATAGTCGACTGCTAGTACATGTATGACATCAGTCTGCACTCAGTGCAGTCACCATGGTCACTGAACTGTGCAAGTGTGTGTACTGTGAGGGTGACTTCGTAGCAGGGAGTCGTAAAATACCGTATTTTACGACTCCCTGCTTCGTAGTAAAGCTTAGCGCTTCCGACGTCATGCATGCGTCACTCCATGATCCATTAATAATTATCTAGACTACAGTCCATTCAGAAAAAAATGAACTTCTAGCTTTTGGCCATAAATGGGTCAAACGTTGAGTTTTTTTAGAATTTTTTTCTGCAATCCCATATGGAATCCTCTTCCAATTATGTTTCTGAAGTTTTTTTGTCCAAAAAGCAAGCCATAGCAAGAATAGGATTTCGGCCAGGTTTTGCCCCAAAAGCACTGAATTGGGAAAAACCATCAAAATCCAGGCCGTTTGACCCCGCCTGCAACAGTGCATTCTGCGGTTCGAACCCCAGTTCAGGCACCCTTTTTGGACCCTTTTTCAAATTTCAAAGTTCGCAGCACTGCACTGTGTACGATGAAATCACGAAAAATCGCCTAATACGGCACGGCTGTTAGCTGCACTTGGATCGCGGCAACTTAGTTTTCTGCACGTGAACCATGAAAAATCAATGCATGCTCATGCATGTTCATGCATAACCAGTCAGCTGGCCTGCTCGCCCACGCATTTGACAGGTAACAATTCCATCAAATTTGAGATATCGCTTCGTTCTAAGTCTCAAAACAGTTCTAAAGTCACCAAACCACGCTGGTAATCGATGGCTATTCAATGTTAACATCTTCAGGAAGACTTCAGCCGTTTCCCGAGAGTTTGGGCATCGTTGCCGTTATTTTTCACGGTGTTCTTCTTCCTCCTGTCTGGAGCTGCAATTGCATCCTGGAATTATTTGAAAGGTATTTCGTGCGGGCTGTGGGGGGTTCCAACAGGCATAAACTGACATCGCTATAGGATAACTGGTAACTTTCACCCTTCAAGGAGGTAGAGCAATGAGAATTTTTTTGTGGCGGTCGTCCAATTTTTGTGGCGGTCGTGGCTGTATTTGTGCACTTCCAAGGCTTTCATTCTGCCTGATACTACTCTGTACTGTATGGGAACCGTTGTTTAGGCACATGTAGCTGTCTTATTTGGTAGATCTGCTGTTTTCAATCACTTGGGACACTTTGTCTAGCCTATTTGTCTTTCGTTCGTGCCATCTATCAGTTTTGTGGGGTGCCTTGACCTGTATTTGTGAAGTTCTCGAGTAAAGACCCTAATTCTTGACTGGAGTCACGTCTTGAATTGAATTTGCTGGGTGAGCCCTCGTTCACGCAGTTGTACTTATCGTAATAGTCAATATCTGCTTGCTGGACGGACTAGCGGCTAGAATAGGGATGACCAAATGGTCCAAGTGTGTACTAGTACACGATTATTGTTTCCATCATCGTGAAATGCTCGTTGTGGAATTGCAGTCGTCTGCCTTTGGCACTGAGGACATGAGGAGAGTTGATTGTTACTTCTGCTCAGCAATGAAGCGATCATCAGCTCTCTTTGTTCTAATTATTGAGAGGACATACCGGCATCGCAATCAAGTAAAGATTAGGCAAACCTCGCCAACCTCCAAAGAGAGTCGAAGATATGTTCTCCAAATGCAAAGACGATCTTTGTGAGTTTGTGACTTGCATTTGCGTGCATACATGAGCAAGTCACGGACCACGGCACGTGCGCGGTTACCATGCCATCTCGAACCGACGCCATCTTTCTAAGTTGCCGCTTCTTGACAGCCGTGACGGGAGCTCGCCAGAGCCAGGACCCATTTTTTTATGAATGGACTGTAGCTCGCTGTGCACGAGCTGAGCTGAACAGGTTCATTTTGAGTTTTTGTGACTTGCTTGCACTGATTTTTTGAAACAAATAATTAAATTATTTGTTTCAAATAATGATAATCATCATGAAACTGGAAAATGGAAATACATGTAAAAACTATTGACTTGTCAGTCTGATTTCACTTTGCAGTCATTTTGGCTTTGAAAACGTGTACCTGACTGCGCCCTTGATAGGCAATCAATCAGCACTTGCTGCTTTGTACGCTTGTGGATCTCTGGGCAGTAAAGGTACTGGTACTTCCGTAGCATAAAGGCGAGGAATTTCCTTGCTTTGACACGAAAATCAAGACGTTCGACGTTGGGGGTAAACGTAGAGCTGGAACTTGAGTTGGCCGGAGACTGTACACTTTTCAGCATGTCCTTTTCAGCATGTGCGTCTGGGCTACGTTGCGGCTCTGCGCGTCTGTCACGTCCAATTGTTCTGCTTCGTCGTCTGAATAACGAGAATAAAGTCTCAGCCAGGTCTCCATCCTGTGCCACACCGCCTAGCCGCTCCTTTCACGCCTGTTTCCAAAGGTATGCATATGTTTATTTATGATCACAGTTTTCACAGCAACGTGTATATACCGCTAGCAACTGAAATTCGATGTAATTGTCTGGTGAACATAGAGATACTAGTAGATAAGGGCAGACGACAAGTTTTACCACACAGTAACGTGTCAGGTGGTAGGTTCATCCCACTTGGCCAAGTCTTTTCCAAACGCTTTTCTGCCAATCTCACCAGTACTCAGTAGGCAGTACATGGGAAATAAAGAGTCAACTGTAGATACAGGAGACACTGACAGCAGCTTACACAAAACAGTGGCTAGGGTTGCCCGATATGCAGCTTCTGACTACTGTAAGTCAACAAATATTCCGCGCATATTTATTCTTATTTTCCTGGGCATTTTTGGGCTTAAAATATCTTGCGGCCGAAGTTTTGTTTTGCAAGTAACGTTTCAGTGTGACAGTTTATACAGGCAGCAGCAGCACATGCTGAAATTGTAATGTGGCCGAAGTGTGTTTTAGCCCTGGCCTGGGAGGCCGGAATTTAAAGGCATCGAAAATTGTGGAAAAATTGTAGACTTACAGTAGCTTACCGGCTGACCTGACTTGCGTTCAGGGATAGCTCAACCCAAGTACATCCCCCCTCCCCCCTCACGCACGCACGCACACACACACACACACACACACACACACACACAAGCTAACCCATTCTTTCCGTACTACATCATGACCTGTCATGCAAATAACCACTATAAGGGTACATACATGTATGTTGATGAAACATGGTTCTCATGTGGTTGTAACATTGCTGCCAGTTAATCTAGTATATCATTAAATTTTTGACAATCTTTGTTTTCAAAGCGGCTCTCAGCAAGTTGAACACGAATTAGCTGAGCACCCATCTACTCCCAACTTGAGCACTCCATATTTAGACCACTGAGCATGGAACTCAGTCAGCTACTACAGTGGTCAGATTAGTAACGATGACGACTGCGCGGACAGGGCCAAGGAGTAGTGTAGCCTAGTTACGCAACGTGCCGCTATACTATGGACCGATCCAGGCTAGAGAAACTGCCTTGAGTCTATATCTGATCGCATTAGCCCACCGAGTTAACGGAAGGATGCAACAACTGTGTGAGGGTTGTAGCTCTGCGCTCTACCTGAGATCACTGCCGTGTTTGTTGGTAGTTGAGAGTTTACTGGTACGAGTAGATTTTGTACTGGTGGATGGCATTGTGACTTGTTCTAAATATAGATAATGTGTGTGTTTCACTGTGAGCATTTTGTTTTGTATTCTGTTACTTCTGTCGCAACCATCACAAGTATCGTTGTCTTGCGTATTGTCCACTCGCATGCAGGCAGCCAGTTCAGACGTCGCAGAGTGGTTGCAACGAACAGTTGCGGTGTGCCACTGACATCAGCAGTCCAGACTCCAGCGGTCCGTACGGCTCTGCTCAACCCATGATTTCCTCGACGACATCTGATGATGAATTCTCCATCTTTGAAATTTACTGCAATAGCGCCGGCCAGTTTGTCATTCAGCGATTCTTAGCGGTAGGTGTCCGATGTGATCAGAGTTCATAATCACTTTGCATGGTCTCCCTTTAGTATTGGAGATGGTGCGCCAGGGGTTCCTTTCCTGTTGCCGCTCCTAGTGGCTGATGATGAAAGCAGTGAAGTTGGTGATGGTGTGGCATAATGACGCGCTCTTGACTTGGCTCAGGACTTGTACTTGCTCTGGGAATGCTGTGCCATGCCGTATTCTGTACCTTCCTGCCGGGCAAGGAGAGGTTTTTGTCAGGCTGACGATGAAAACACCGGCTGTGTGTTTCTTTTGATGTTCTAGGATGTTAAAGCTGCTGGACTGTTCTATTCGGATCCGCGCCTGAAGGAAGTGATGCAGTTTTGCCGAGATATGCAGGAAGAGAGTGGCGGTCTTGTGCCGTTCGAGGAATTCAAAAAGTAAGCTCTATCTACTCTACCATCAATTAGTCTTTCATAGATGGATTTGATAAACGTCATGGATGCGAATCTGGCCACATAGGGATGTTTGGCCTTCAAAGCCTGCCATGATATGAACTCCGCTTGAGTAGAAATGTGTGGGATTCATGCTGATGATTCGAAGTTGGCAAGCCGTGATTCGAAGTTGGCAAGCCGTGATTCGAAGTTGGCAAGCCGTGATTCGAAGTTGGCAAGCCGTGATTCGAAGTTCACTGGACACTGTTCTGGATAATTCAGTGTGTGTGTGTGTGTGTGTGTGTGTGTGTGTGTGTGTGTGTGTGTGTGTGTGTGTGTGTGTGTGTGTGTGTGTGTGTGTGTGTGTGTGTGTGTGAGTGAGTGAGTGAGAGAGCAGGCTCTGAGATCTGTGTCTAGTGCATGTCGCAACTCAGCGCAACAACACAGCGTTTTGACATACATGATGTGTTGTGGGTAGGCCTCCGCGGAATATGCTCGTATTTTTACCGATAATTCCTTTGAGCATTGCTCAAAATTACGTCCGATAATTCCCGTAATTCCACCAATAATTCTCACAATAATGCTTTTTTTCTTCCCTTTTTTGCAGATACCATACCGCTTACGGGTTTTTTGCCACTTGTACGGGCAAAAAATCACGGTTCGCGTGAAACTCGGCTGGAAGCTTTTTTTCTTCTTTCTCTCTCTTTTGAAATACTCATTCAGGATCACAAGCTCTTTGGTACAAATCAGGGTGTTAAAATGGAAAAAATTGAAAAAGGGGGGCATTGCTCAAATTTTACCGATTATTCCACAAAAATTGCCAATAATTCCCGTTTTAAAAATCACACCGATAATTCCCGAAATTATGCCGGCATATTCCGCGGAGGCCTAGTTGTGGGTAATATCATAACATGTTTGGATGATCAGAATGTCCGGATAATTAGAAGTTTTTTTCCCTGGCACATTGGGGTTCGAATTATCAGGATACCACCTATACTTCACTTATGTTCGGTTTGTGGTATTTCCCTGGCAAATTCTTAAAGGGGAAGTTAAGGCAAAAATTAAAATTTCACCAGTTGTAGTCTTCGGGGTGCTGAGTCGAATGGTCTTGGTCCGAGGAAGCTGAGACGCTCCCTTCCTACTTGAATCCCAATCGAACTCGCGCACTTCCACCGAAACTGGGTGACTGCGCCCTACTAGATGGGGATTTGTATGCAAAATGTCACTAAAAGCGCCATTTCGTTCTTATAAAAGCACGGATGACCGCGATTGGCCCATATGTTGTAGTCTTTTGGACGCTGAGTCGACTGGTTTTGGTCCGAAAAGGCTGCGATGCAGCGTTCCTCCTTTATTCCCAATCGAACATGGTTGAAGAAGCGGTCACGTGGTCCTGGGTGCCCAAATCACCTGGTCACCACGCCAGCAGGTGACAACTTTCACACCAAGGTTCAACTCGGGTTCAACTCGAGTGACAGGACTGCACCCAAAAAAGGTCAAACAGGCTAGTAAGTTGTACCCTGCAGGCACGGTGACCAGGTGACTGGTGTACGCAGGACCACGTGACCACTTCTTCAACCATGTTCGATTGGGAATAAAGGAGGAACGCCGCATCGCAGCCTTTTCGGACCAAAACCAGTCGACTCAGCGTCCAAAAGACTACAACATATGGGCCAATCGCGGTCACCCGTGCTTTTTTAAGAACGAAATGGCGCTTTTAGTGAGATTTTGCATACAAATCCCCATCTAGTAGGGCGCAGTCACCCAGTTTCGGTGGAAGTGCGCGAGTTCGATTGGGATTCAAGTAGGAAGGGAGCGTCTCAGCTTCCTCGGACCACGACCATTCGACTCAGCACCCCGAAGACTACAACTGGTGAAATTTTAATTTTTGCCTTAACTTCCCCTTTAACGAGGTGATGACCAATACATGCTCATTAAATGTATAGAGTTGATCATTGGTGTTGGGAAAGCGCTACCGTAAAAAATCCACTGCCCCCCCCCCCCCCCCAGCTGTGGCTTCACAGCTGATTTTTCAGCAGGCAGCAAGTGCTGTGTGATGTACAATGCGCAAGATCCGACTTGCCATGCTGGATTGTACACCGTTTTATCCAGAGGCATACCAACACAGGCACATTGTATTGTGTACAGGCAGTGCATGCGTCGGTTAAACACCGTAGTTTGAAGTAATCGTTCACAGGTAGAAATGGACACGGGGTGGGAATTGGAGAGGGGACTGAACAACGGTACTAAAACTGCCAGTTTACGGTACATCTATAACTGACCTGAAACAATCCCTGACATGTTCAATTTTCTCTGTATTTTTTCAGACATGCCAAGGCCAACTTGGCCATCTTACACAAAGCTCTACTCAGGAAGATGATCATTCCAGAGTGGGAGGAATTCTCAAATCTAGTGCGCGGTATTTTCCAAGAAGTGAAGGGGAACGAAAGTGGCCAGGTAAATTGTTAGACCTTGTTTGGGCTGTTGGGCTTCAGTGATGGACTTCTGACTACTACGGAGAGAAGTATCAGAAGACCTGGATGTTTTTGTTTCTACAATACTAGTTGTTGATGTGTTGTAGTGTCTTGCTCACTGCTGTTATCATAGACCTGATCCTGGCCACAGTGTCCTGGGTACGAGCGTACGCACTCTCCCTGGAAATTTGAATTTTTGATTTTCACAGAAACAATTTTTCGCTGACACGGGTCACATTCTTGCGTTTCAAGGACTGTTCTACGCATGAAAGAAGAACAAGAACCACATACAGTGAGTGACTACAACATGATAGACCACACCAGAAAATTTGAAGACGATCGGTGAAGGTTGAGCTGAGTTCTGACACGATCTGTTGAAACAACTTCATGTCGCTCGTCACCACGATTGAGTAGCATCTCCGTTCTTGATAGACCCTTCCCTTCGAGTTCCAGAAGTTATTTTTCATGTTTGGTGAGTTTCTCGTCGGACCTCAGGTCTTTCTCGATCGATTGCCACCTCACTCGATCCGAACGAAACCTAAACTACCGAAACGAAGCCTGCGCTTTTTTGGCTGTTTTTCCGTTTTTACGTGTAGATCTATAGAATGGATCGTCATGTTCGATTACTGGGTCTTTTGTGTCGCGTCGGCGGTGTTCCGCTAGCCAAGCAGAAGCAGAAAACTACGTATTCTGTTTCTGAGAATGCCGAGGGTATTCTGAAATGTTTTGAAGTGGATATCACACAGGACCAACCACACGTGCACCCTACACAGATTTGCAGTACATGCTACAAGGCTGTGAATTATGCTTTGAGCAAGTCAGAGTATACACGTTGTGGTGGAGGATGTGCCGAGCCAAGTAGCTGGCTTCCCCATGATCATGTGCATGAGGATGGTACCACAGTATGCAGGGTATGCACTACCATTGAGCAAGCCGCCAAAGGTGGTCGTCCGGCTAAGAAAAAGAGAACAACAAAGCCACCTGCCCGTCCAGCGGCAGCCGTTACATCCACGTGCACGTCTACGCACACAGGCACCCACCAGACACGGTCTCAGACAACAGGGATCAACTCGGAGAGTCAGAGTACATGTTTACAGAAATTGTATGATGTAGCAACACCAAGCTATGCAGCCAACAAGAGTCTGAGCACAGATAGATTCATCGGATGCCAAGCTATATTACAATGTACACTATGCAGCAATGTGCTAGAGAGAGCCGTGGAAGCAGACTGCTGTAGAAAGAGCTTTTGTTCCGCATGTGTGTGGGAGTGGCTGGCTTCTGATACAACATGCCCTGGTTGCAATGCACAGCTCTCCGTGTCGAATCTCAGCACGCCCAATCCGATCTTGCAAGGCTGCCTTGCCGAACTAGTGGTCAGGTGCGACAATTATGCTGGAGCGCTGATTGGTTGCCCGGCAACAGTGCCACTTGCTCAACTTGCCAGCCATGTGCAGAACTGCGAGAACACTGGTAAGCAAACAGTCGGCCCGTCCACCGCTGTCAGCGATGTGCTCACTGCTTCGCCGTCAAAGCTCCGAGGCAACGTGTCAGACAGTCTCACCAGCCATCTAGTGAAGAGCAAGGCGGATGCTGGCGTACTTCAGTTGAGGAGCCGAGGTCCATCGCAGACATGGCAACGAACAACAGTTGCAGCTGTACCGTCCAACAATGCATCAGCCAGGACTGTGCGGCGACGCTGTGCTGAGCTTGAAAAAACCAGCCAGCGCGTAGCAGGGAGTTTCGCCGGTGCAGTTGTCCAGCAAGCTGCCACATTAAGCCGGCTAAAGGAGGAAGAGCGTAAAGCTGTTCTTATTGAGGCTGGTGTCATGCCAAAAACACCTGGGACAGGCACAACGCTAGCATTGAAAGCCAACCTACACATGCCATGGAATCAGCTCCGGAAATTGAAAGTATGGCTGAAGGACTTTGGCCTGTATCTCGAGTCAGAGCGGGTAATGCGGAAACAGCTCGACGATCTTTTGCCCTTTACCATTGTGGCAGAAAAGACACCGTTCGTAGCAGCATCTGGAAGCGTCGAGCTGCATGCAATGGTGACAATTCCTGATCTTGTTGGGACTGTCCATCACTACTTGAACCAGCTGGAGGCAACAGATCAGCTTCACTGGCATGATGGCGCAATCCCAAAAGATGAGGTATGGGTCAAAATCGGCGGCGATCACGGTGGCGAGTCCTTCAAGATGTCGTTCCAGATCGTTAATGTACAGCAGTGCAATGCTCTACGGCACATCATTCCGTTTATCATCTTTGCTGCTAAAGATACGGCAGCAAATCTGTGCACGGCCCTGCAGCCATTCGTCAGTGAGGTCGAGAAGCTGGCCAGTACAACGTGGCGTAACAGGTCAGTGAGGGTCTTGTTGTTCGGAGATTACGAACTGCAGACCACGTTGTACGGCTTGTCAGGGTCGAGTGGAACCCACCCTTGCCTGCACTGCACTGCTATGCGGAAAGAGATACAGCTACCTGGGTGTAGCGGAGCACCGCGCAGTCTCGATTTGTTGTGCACAGACAACGCTGCCTTTGTTGGAGCTGGTGCAAAATTAGCGGACGCTAAGAAGCACAACAACTGCATCCGGCCACCGATCTTGCCTGTGTCCCTGGACAATGTGATTATTCCCGTTCTTCATTTGGATCTGGGAATATTCGCTTGGATATTCGATGCCATGACCAAGGACTGCCAGATGCTGGACGTTGCCCTTGCATCATCCAGTACAGCAGTTGGCACCGATAGCCGAGCGTACACTGTCACAACAGAGATGCACGAGAGCCTTCGCCAGAAGCAATTGGATCTTCAGAACGAGCGCACAGCAGCTGACAGTCTACAGGAGCAGCTCGAATGGCTTGCAATCCATGCTTCCAACCTGACTGCCCCACAGCTTGAAGCGGCCACAGCAGGAATTCAGGCGAAGCAGCACACCACCACAAGCGCCATCAGCTCTCTCCAGGATGAAGTGAAGGCTCTGTCTGACCAGCTCCAGAGCCGCAGTATTCTGCATGGTCCATGTGAGGCCTCACTGGACAGAACTCTGCAGGAGTACAATATTTGTCGCCAGCGGTACCATGGTGGTGCCTTTATCGGCAATCATATTCACCATGCCCTGCAGCCACCAGTGGTTGCTGCTTTGTCAAATGCGCCTCTGATTGTCACCTCCACCACAGAGAGAGCAGCGCCTCCATCCGTTCTCGACCAGGCCAGAGTAGTGGCAAAGCGGTATAATGACCTGCTCACTCAGTTCTCTCACTGCCGCCGAAGATACTCGTCCTGCGCAACAATGTCAGCAGAAGATATTCAGCTGTTCGAGAGTGATTGCGCTACCTTCCTCTCCACAGCACGGCAAGAGGTCGTCACCAGAAAACTTGGCCATGTAACGCCTAAGCTTCATTTGCTGGAATGCCATCTGCCTGACGCCTTGGCAAGATTCAGAGTTGGCCTGGGCCTACTAGCTGAGCAGGGAGGTGAAAGTATTCACGCCGAGTTCAACGACCTTCGCAAGCGACACGGAGGCGTCGTGAACGATGTCGACAAGCTACGGACTGTCTTGAAGGCTCACCTTTCCTCCACGCTTCCTCAGCACGCCAAACTTGTCCCTCAAAGGGCCAAGCGCAAGCGGAAGGCCAATTGAGGACCGTTTCAGGTAAGTTCCTTGCTCAAACGATATCCCAAACATGTTGTTTGTTAGTTGATTTTCAAATAAATTTAATTTTTGTGGGTCCGCTTTTGGTGCACACATGATTGTTTGCGTACGCGTGCACACGCGCCATGTGTATTACTATGGAAACTCGAAGAGTTTTTGCACGTGACGTGATTGCCGCCATCTTACTGAGTGGCCAGGCGCAAACAGCAGTGTGCTGGCGTATCTGTTCATAATAAAATATTGTTCTGTCGAATGTGAACATGAGCCTTTCCTGCTCAACGTGACATGTGCACAGTTGAGAGGTCTTGGTATGGCTGCCTATATTGTAGTTATGGGTGTGTGTGTATGTATGTGTACGTTCATGTGTGTGTGTGTGTGTGTGTGTGTGTGTGTGTGTGTGTGTGTGTGTGTGTGTGTGTGTGTGTGTGCGTGCGCGCATTCTTCTTCTTCTTTTTCTTCTCTCTCTCTCTCTCTCTCTCTCTCTCTTTCCTTTTCTCTATCTGTCTATCTGTATGTATATATGCCCATCTGCATGCTCGTGTGCATATTCAGGTTGCAGACTACATTCCACAGCTGGCTAAGATGGACCCGAAGCTATGGGCTGTATCCATATGCACAGTGGATGGTCAACGGTGAGATGGTCCATGCATCGCACATCGCCTTTTCGCAGCAACAGCAGCCCACACGTATCACTACTACACATACTTATTACTTGTTAGTAACTAGTGTTGCAATGATGAAGTTGGTTGTTCCAACGAGGAACACACGCTTCCTGCCAAACTCGACACTCGACTGACTCATGACTGCCATCCGGAGCACGCGAGGAGCACGTCGCACCTTCCACTCGGCAAACCTGCAAGAAAGCACCCCTCCCTGCTCAATACACAGTGTTTTGGGGAATTCACCCCTCATCAGTTGAGCTTGAGTAGGCTGAGGAAGATTGTGCCTGGAAAACACTACTCACATTGTGCTCTCCAGGCCAAACGATCACTAGGGATGCAAACTTACAGAGACGCTTCGTTTCCAGCGCGACGAACACCTCGTGAGTCAGTCAAGTGTCAAGTTCGGCAGGAAGTGTGTGTTCCTCGTTGGAACAACCAACTTCCTCACTTATACCGCCGAAGTCGCAACTTCTAGGTTCGTATTGTTGTCCCTCGCGCGGATGTGCGACTAGTTTTGGAGGTGACAGCATTGTGAATAGCTACTGGCTCTTAACGTCTGTTTAGCACAACTCCATGAGCGACTCTGACTCATGCTGCTACCTGGGGCCTCACGAGGTGTTTGTCGCGCTGGAAACGAAGCGTCTCTGTACGTTTGTATCCCTGGTGATGGTTTGGCCTGGAGAGCACTATATAAGTGGTACTTTTCAGGCACAATTTTCCTCAGCCCACTGGAGCTCAACTGTTGAGGGGTGAATTCTCCAAAACATTGTGTATTGAGCAGGGAGTGGTGCTTTCTTGCAGGTTTGCCGAGTGGAAGGTGCGAGGTGCTCCTCGTGTGCTCCGGATGGCAGTCGTGAGTCAGTCAAGTGTCAAGTTTGGCAGGGAGCGTGTGTTCCTCGTTGGAACAACCAACTTCCTGACTAATACCGCCGAAGTCGCAACTTCTAAGTTCGTAGCTGCAGTTTGGTCATGCAATGGTTACTAGTGGACAGGCGCTACTCACTATATCCAGTCTCCAGGCAGGTCTATGCCGTCGCTACTGTACACACCACCTACAAAATGCAACTGTAGGCTTGCAAACTCCTCATCGCATACCGGTAGTTTATTATCTGCGTGTGTCGTTTTCTGCTCCTATCTACAGCCTGTCCCTTGGAGATGATCGTGCTACGTTCTGTCTGCAGTCTGTTGGAAAGTGCCTGAACTATGCTTTTGTACTGGATGACAATGGACGAGATGAGGTAAGCCTCACCTTACCTTGCACTGCGATGTCTTGTAGGTCTTGACATGGCGGCATCCACACATTCTTACGAGAGTGAGAGCTTTAGTATCAAGTGCTAGATCATCATGGCATGGCTGTACTTGAAACTATCCAGAAACTACTGCAAGCTACAGTTGTGTTCACTGAAATCCGACCAGAAGTGCAAATCTTGCTCCCTGGCCCTGGACCAGTTCCGATTACATCACTCTACTTGTACATCTACGTCCAGCCGCATTCGTACCAGTACCAGGGCTGTGCAAGTTGAGGGCGTCAGATATGCATTTTGGGTCGGATATCACTAAGCACAACTGTGGAGAGGAGAATATTACAGAGGATAAGCAAGACGAAATTCGCGTTCGCAAACATTTTTCAGTTCGCGAACTGGATTGCGAACTTTCGCATTTTTCGTTCGGAAAAGTAGTCGGAGCACGAATCGCGGATTCGTGTCAGGGCAGTCATAAATTTACCACGCTGTACTGTCTGTACACAATGTACGTCTTGTCAATGTCATGCATGTGCGAATTCTGTTTGCTAATCCTTCTCATAACGCGAATTCCGTCACTGAGTTCGACTTTCCTTGGAGAGCGAACGCGAATTTCGTCTTGCTAATCCTCCGTAATATAATATTGTTATTTCTTGCTCATGTGCAAGCTACAAGACAAGTACATTGTAAAACAGAGAGGTTCTAGGCTGTCCAAGAGAGTGCTCAATACCGAGAGGCACAGCTACATGTAGTTCAAACAATGAGGGGATGGAAAAGGTGTTTTAACTCTGAGTTTCACGCACTAAGCGATTGTCAGAAAACAGAAATGAGTAAGATCGTCAGAAAACAGAAGTGAGCAAATCTGGATCAGTACTGGTTTATATACCCACAAAGAAAAGTGTAAATGACTGCATCATGGCGCAAATCTAAAAGGTGCGAATGACGGCAGTGCAAAGCGTAAATGACTGCATCATGGCGCAAATCTAAAAGGTGCGAATGACAGCAGTGGTGAAAAGTATCACTTTAATTGACAAGCACTGGAGCTGGTTGTCTCTTACTTAATTAGGTGATGGCTGTGGATGGTTTGAAGTTCCGAAGGTAGTACTTATTCTCATTTTGTCCCAAAATTGAGTAACACGCGTGTTCTCGATTTCAATTCTTAAATACCCACGGGCTACAAGAATAACCACATGGAAACGAGTGTTATATTTGAGTGAAATAAGGGATTTGGGAGGAGGAGGAGGAGGAAGGTGTATAACTTTTCCAGCATCCGGCAATTTAACTAACCAGTATTCAACAAGCACCAGCAAATAAGTGTAGCAGCAAAGTAACGGTGAGGATAATTCAGGAGCAACAGCAACAATAGCACAATGGCGAGATTGACGGACATGGAGAGTATCTGAGCAGTGATAAAATCTGCAAATTAATGGACCAAAAAATATCAATAGTGTGCAGAGCGAAATGAAGATAAATAAATAATAACCAGCCGAGCACTAAAAACAAGCAGAAGGAAATAAATCCTAAGGAAAAAGTTTAAAGGCGACGTGGAGACAATAATCTTAATAATGCAATGAATATAACTTAATGCGCACTCCTATCACAACCATGGGGACGAATAATGTATTCCAGAACGTTTTCTTGTCACAATTATCAATGGAATTCGTGACTTAAGAGAATGATGAAACTACAAGAGGATTTATACACTTGGAGTGAAACAACGAGGATACAAGCATAGTAAGAAAAATAGCACAAACTTAGGAAAAATTTGCACAGGTAATAAAAACTATAGGTGAGGTGAGAAATGATAGGAAATTCAGCAAGTGCAGTGTGACAATGGACATGCATGTGCAAGTTGAAAGTTCTAGAAGCAGTCTACATTCGCATTCGTGATCCAAATCTTTGTAAACAAGAAGAAAATGTCACCGCACTTACACTATTCCAGTAAATTCGCACTCACACAACAACAACAACAACAACAACAGCAGGAGCAGCAACAACGACGACAGGCAACAGCGGAAAACAGGAACCATGTAGAATATACTTATGCTAATGCTTGCATTGAGTAATAGATTAGGAAATACTCGTGGATCTGTTAGCTGCTACTCATCAAACTCCCCAATCTCACCATCATCGTCGCTTGCACTATTGTCGCTGTCTCCATCTGGAGTGACCAAGGCAACCTCATCGTCGCCTTCGGGGCCTGTGGCCTTGATATGGCTGAACAGCTGCTCATCGTCCGTGCCATCCGCCGCTGCTGTCAAGCCGCAGATGAGGAATGAGCGCACCAATGACTCCTGGCCAACGCTCTCCCAGGCTTCAGAAACCCAGTCCCCAGTCGAGCGCCTGCTGACGGGTTGGCTGCTTTAAATTCCCACGCGGGGTCGTCGTCTCCGTGCGGTCTTTGAACCAATCCACGCAGAGGCTCCGAAGCTTGGCTTTGAAGGGGCGGTTCGCCGACACGTCCATGGGCTGGACGAGTCCAGTGCAGCCTGGTGGAATGAATTCCACCACGCTGTTGCACTCATCCTTCGCAACACTGCAACTTACCTCACTCAGGTGAGGACGGTAGTTGTCGACAACCAATAGCCGTTGCTCGTCCTGTGTTTTCAATACATTCTTAAGCCACCAAATGTACAGGTCGGATGTCATCCAGCCATTTGCGCTGGCTGTAGCGACTACGTTGGCGGGTGTGGTGAGTTGCTGCCTCACCCTCCGTCCAAGGACACCATCACGTTCTTTAAATATGACCAATGCGGGCAGCTTTTCACCCGCGCCATTAGCCGCTGGAGCGACGGTGAAGCCTTTCTTCGTTGCTTTCGTTGAAGAAATTCTAACCGTACGGGTGCCCATGATTTCATTTGTTGAGGATGGGACGGTGTCGAACCGGCTCATCGTCTGATCCATGTTGTACACGTTCCGCTTCTCGAACGTACCGGCATCGATAATCTTCTTGCGAAACTCGCGAATCACCGGCATCAGGTCTGATGGCACTTTCTGGGAGTCTTTGGTGCCGCATCGCATCGAAACCCGGTTTCGCTTCTTGAATCGCCTCAGCCACAAAGGAGAAGCTCGGAAGCTGTTAGGAACTCCTAAGTTTGGCCCGAGCTTCATAGTGTGGGCGCATAGGGCAGCGTTCGAAACCGTGCGACCAGCTGCACGCTCCTCAAGCAGGTAGTCGAGGACTGCCTCGTCCAACTGTGCAGACAGCTGGGGTCTACCAACGCCGAGCTTCCGAGCTCTCCGACCTACTCCTTTCACTTGTCGGAGTTGTGCCTCAATATGCAACCACTCTCGTATTCTTTTAGGGACAACCTTGAACTTACAAGCAGTGCTCTTTTGCACAGGCCATTTTCCTTGTAAAAATCAAGAACGGACAACTTGAACTCCACAGTGAAAGATCTGCACGTCTGGGCCATTGTTGCAAATGGCAAAAACACTATCGCAGAACACAAAACTCTCTTCCAACCAGCACTCAAAACTACCAACTTCACACTTCACTCGCTACCAAACATCGATTCCATAATCCAACAACTCCTCATCTTGTCGTGAGCCACAGCTACTAGCTTGCATAAAGTGCAGTCGGGGTCATAGTCTGTACACATTCACACAGACTCTCACCCGAATGTTTGTTTGCGCACTAGAAAGTAGTACGAGGTCGGCTGTATGCATATGCACATGAGTACAGAAAGACGCATCATTTCTCTACGGTATAATTCTGAAATCGCTTCAGAGACAGAAAATCGAAGGGGGGGGGGGGGATTAGAGTGGGGGCGGATCAACGGTACTTTACGGTATAATCACCAATAATCATTCCACCACAGACAACACGAGAAGGACACCCGCCTATCGCAGTACAACTGGGCCAAGAAGGATGAAGGGAAGGCATGCAGCATTCAATGAGCGGTACACCGCAGAGCAGTGGCCTACAGCAACGAAAGCAAAAGGTGCAACCTGTGCTTGGCGGAAAAATTAGCAATCGCGCAAGCACCCAAGCACCTCTCTCTCTCTCTCTCAACAAGAGGAGTGAACTTGTGTCAAGGTGTCGCCATGAGAAGGTACTACCTTGGGAACTTCAAACCATCCACATGCAGCCATCACCTAATCAAGTAAGAGACAACCAGCTCCAGTGCTTGTCACTTGAAGTGATACCTTTCACCACTGTTCTCATTCGCACCTTTTAGATTTGCGCCATGATGCAGTCATTTACACTTTGCACTGCTGTCATTCGCACCTTTTAGATTTGCGCCATGATGCAGTCATTTACACTTTGCACTGCTGTCATTCGCACCTTTTAGATTTGCGCCATGATGCAGTCATTTACGCTTTGCACTGCCGTCATTCGCACCTTTTAGATTTGCACCATGATGCAGTCATTTACACTTTGCAAGTTTGTGGGTATATAAACCTATACTGATCCAGATTTCTCATTACTGTTTTCTGATGATCGCTTAGTGCGTGAAACTCAGAGTTAAAACACTTTTTCCGTCCTCTTATTGTTTGACAAGTACATTGTATTGGGGTTGTCTTCAGGCTACTCTGGCATTGCCGTCTCACAGGGCCACCATGGTTTATGATGATTGAATTTCCATTGTAAGAAGTGCATGCGGCCACTGTAGCACTGTAGCACTGTAACACGCGTCACTAGTGTGGAACAGCAATGCCTTTTGACTTGATGCTGTTATCGCTCACTGATTGTATTTGTACTGGCTTGATGTGATTGCAATGCTGATTGCTGCTTTTTTCTCTTGCTGGTGTTGGTGGTGGCGGTGGTGTTTTCGTTACTGCTGCTGCTGCTGCTGTGTCCAGGTGCATCGCTATATTGGCCAGGAGCCTAGTGGTCTATCCTTCAATGAGCTGAAGCTGAACAGTTATGGTAAGTGTGATGGTGGAAGTGATCTGCAGACAATGCGATGTTCTCTTCGAACTGCCCATCACTAACTAATACTTTCATGGCTTGGAAGGGACGACTACCCAATGTCATACTTCGAAGTACAATATCAAGCAGTTCTGGTATACGACCGTTTCTGTTTCCTGACAGTGATTGTGCATGTGTGTATGTGTTTGGCTGTGTCTATGCAGGCAAGCCACACAACCCAATGGTGAATGCCGGGGCAATTCTGCTGGCATCCCTCGTCAAGGTACCGGGCAACTTCTCTGAATACTCAGTAGTCCAGTTGTCTCCAATACAACTGGTCAGACATGTATTAGTGGCAGGGAGCATTCAAGTTCATTTTGCTCATAGCTGCACTGCAGTAGTCATCTAGCAATGTTCTGGCCATTATTCTATATCTGGATTCTGTTCCAGGTCCTGTCTATTGACTGTGGGTTTAGTACACGTCACGTTGGGTACATATTGGCTTGATAAATTTGAGCCATATAGTACGAATGCTGACAGGTTGCAGCAGCATATCAGCAGCTGTGGTCTCTAATTCTCTTTCTGGTCTTTTATCCCCTGTTTGTTTATTTTTTCTGTTTGTTTCTAGCCCACGTATACACCAGCTGAGAAATTCTCCTGGGTAAGGATACTACATGATGTATTGTGTAGTGATGACTTGGGGTCAAGGTGTATAGTGCTCGCTCACTTGCTTCATGTACTGCAAAATCTCTCTCTCTCTCACACGCACGTGCACACACACACACCAGTCCAGTGCAGTCCAGTCAAGCCACTGCCACAGGGTTACGTGGGCCCCGGAGGGGCATGAGAGAGGAAGATGGAGCATGCTGATGACGTCGGAGGTTGTCTCCCTCTCTTCTCTGTAACAAATTTCATCGTGCGATGTTCTAAATCCACTCGGGGGCTTGTCAGACCTCCGCGAGCGGCGACGTCGGGCGCAACTGAAAGTGACGGCATCAAATCACCGTCTCGGCTCTCAGCTGTGTACGTCCCTCCGTCCAACGCTTTCCGTGTACTTGGAAGACAGCTCCTTCATCCACGTCTTGACATTGCTATGAATATCCTTCTCCATTGTCCCGTTGTCCTTCGTCCTTGTCCATTGTCCTTGTCCATGGACCTGTTAGTAGTCGCTGAAGCTGACTGTGAAGGCTGAAGGAGTGCAGTGCTGCTGCTGATGTTGCTGGTCATTTGTTGTTGAAGTGCAGGTTCTGAATTTGGAGCCAGTTGTTCCTAGTCTGGTCTTGATGAGATGCTCAGATGGGTCTAACCAGGTCTTGTTGAGGCTTGGTCACGCTGTCGCGTCTGGAGGAATTGTCTGCGTTCAGTGTCGCCAGATTCTCCAACACGACATCGGAGATTTTTTTCAACTGCAGGTCATCCATGTCTGATATTACTTGCCTCCAGTGCTGGGTCAGGGATCGCAACATTGGATAGTTCATGGAGTTGACGCTTGGCTTGGAGCTGTGCGGCCAAGGTAAATTACGAAATTCCTGCTATGATCAAGCCGGCTCATCAGTTGGCAACTTCTCGCCAAATGTTCTGATAGAGTTTCGAGCTGCTCATTGGTACAATCCAAGGCATCAGCATCTTTGCACACAAAGGACTGAGCTTCAATAACCTTGAGCGTGTTTCGTAAACGCTTTGCATAAAGCTGGTACCTCTGCTGTGATGTCTGGTGGACTTGTAGCTCGTCCGAAACAGCCCCTAGCCCCGGCGCAATTGCAGCTCCCGTGTTGTGAAGCATTTTAACCTCTTCTACAATCTGCGGCTGAGCCTCGGCATTTCCTAAGCTGAGGTCTAACGTGAGCTTGGAACTACTTAAGTATGATGCTGGAAGAGAGTCCCAGGGTGCATGTCTGAAATTTGCAAACATGTGTTTGCAGGGAAAACCATGGATGCTCCAGTCCTCGCAGGAGCAAGAGGGTGCAGTCAGGCTTACACTGTGCGACCGCTCAGAGGACTTCACTTTGAACATGCTGTCCCCAGCATCTTCAACATCTTCTGGCAAGTATTACTCAGGAGACTGATTACGCTTCATACAGTGAAGGACTACTCTGTTGGGTCTGTCGTGGAGGTATTCTGGTATGGAGCTGTGGTAGCTTCGGAAAGAGCTTAGTTGGCTGATATTCATCACCGCGAATTTCCGCTTTTCCTCCTCCAGAAACCGTTCAACGATAATCGTAAACGTCTTGCTCAGCGTCCTCTTCTTCCCGTTGCTGATGTTGAGGCATGAGTATTTGAGGACCGTTCGCACAGACGGAGCTCACACAGCTTCTCAGCTTCAAGAGCGGTCGTATTTGACTTCCTTAGTGCCTCGAGCTGGTCAGCCTTTGCATTTTGTAACGCATTCGGCGATAGACCAGTTGCATCCACCGAAAACTTCAGTAACCTCCGTATGCGACGTACTGTGCAAAATGCCTGGTAACTTTTTTTCACGTGCCTTGTAGTTTGAATCCTCTTCTTCTTTCCAGCCACTGCTGGCCCCGTTGCGTACGAATGGTCCACATGTACTGAAGTGTCCTGAGTGGACGACTCTGCTGACTTTTGGATTAGATTGGATTGGATTTTATTTATAGTGGTGACTATAACAGACAATTGCCTAATAACAATAGACCCACTCGAGGGAAAGATGCAAAAAGATATGAATAATTAATAGAATAGACTATTGGCTAGGTGATCATGTTCGCATTTTGCATAGCTGAAAGTCATAGGTACTAGCGTGAAAAAGCAAGGCAGCATTGGGGTAACAGTTTCTTATATCGGGCGGAGTTATCCACACAGCAAGCTAGAGGGTGTAAATCATTCCACAGCTTAGCACATTGGAAGGAAGCGCCATGACGGGCAAAGGCAGTTCTGAGCATGGGCAACTTAAGAGTGCGTGATACAAGGCTGCGCGTTGCAAGACCATTATTTAAACGCTCGAACATTTGATTTAATGTGACACTACAGCGCGCTAGCGGCCTTCCAAACAGCGCCACGTCAGATACAGTAATTTCTTGCAATCCATGGATGCCAAACGATCTAGACCAAGTCTCGCAAATAAAGGGCTTGATGGGCTACGAAAACCAGTATCGTACTCTGAACGCAAAGCTCGCTTTAGCATTCGTTCAAGCCTACCAAACTGGGTTAAGGAAAGGCCAGCAGAAAAGCGATTTGATGCATATAGAAAATCTGGCAACACTAGGCACTTTACAAAGGTTTCTCGGCAAGTCAGCGGAATATTGTGTCGATTTCGGAACAGAATACCAATTTTACTGGCAAGTTTGGTGACCATAGAATCAACTTGAGTCCTCCAAGAAAGATCCTGGTCCAAATGTATTCCAAGGTACTTAGCACATGTCACTTGCTTGAGCTGCACTCCATGACAGTAGACTGAAAATTGGTGGTCAGTAATATGTAGCGTAGACAGGAAGAGCACTTGTGTCTTCCGGGCATTTAGAATTAAATTGCGGTTTGACAGCCAGGTACTAATGGCTGAGACAGCTGCAGACAGGGAGTTGCTAAGCGCATTCTTCTGCGTACCGCAACCATACAATAGAATATTGTCAGCAAATTGCTTTCCTTTGTGATATCTTTCCTTCCCAAATTGGCATTCCAATACTAGTACGCGGAAGCCACAACAGACGAAAGGAACTCCATCGAAGGGTATAGGGGCATTGTTCATGCCGTGCTCTTGGCTCCAGTGAAAAGCTTTTGGGCGAGACACGGCATCCTTCAATACATCTTCAGCACTGTGTGAAAAAGCTTTTTCGGTAGTCCTTACAATAAAGTTGCTTCGAGGTAGGAGGACTTTCAATACCTCTTCCACCGCCTCCTGTCCATCGACTCCAGTTGTTTCATTTGCCATCGTGGCAAAACGTGGCAAAACGAGACTCGCAACTACGCCCAGGTATCTGGCTTCAGATGTTGATACAGGCAATACGCGGGAAAAGGTCAAGCAGAAACTAGATAAAGGACCAAAATATTACATGTTATCCGTAGTTTGTGTCCAACACTAACAGATAACAGTTATAAGCAAGATGTTGTAAGATGTTGTGTAGTGAGAAGGTGCAACAGCTAGCACAATACTGACTGATGTGATACTGACATTCAACCACCTGATGATACGCTCTATCACGTCTTGGAGGCGCAAACCAACAGCCTTCCAACTTGGAAGGTTCTCAGTTATGAAATAACATGAGAAATGGGAAGGTGAGCGCACTGAAGACGAAAACAATGATAGAGCTTATCATCAGGTCGTTGAATGTCAGTACTTGTATCACACCAGTCACTATTGTCACTTGTGCTAGCTCTTAACCCTTTGTGTACGGATTGTACAACTTTCGATCCCCTGGGATCGAAACTTTTCAAAATTTCAATCGATCGTAACTCAGTCATTCCTGGGTTATATCCGAAAACTAAAATATGTAGGTCAAAGAGAAAACTCCCAGCTGTCCATTGAAACAATTGCTGAAGCGCTCCGATGTGTGGTTCCAGAGTTACGAAGCTCGAAAGTCAAACCGCGGCAAATGTCGCTCAATAGCCGCTCGCGCAAATTTGAATGAGGGATTTCCCCATCATTCTGGGCATGCAGTGACGTAGAAACACGTTCAAAATGGTAAATGGACTCTTGACAGTTTGTGAAATTTTTTTGAAGTAACAGTTAGTTGTTACGAGCAAGGAGAGCGAAAAAGCTGATGCAAGACGACTTCTGTCGGAATTTGGCGTTGCAGCTAAGACGCTGGGCTGTAGCGCTGGCGTTTTGACCTTCGTGGTGGCAAGCGTGGGCTCAATGTGTTCCTCTTGCAACGAGCTTTCCAGGAAGCCCAAGATTGAAAAAATCGTCAAAAGGAGACTAAAGTTATGACCCAGATAATTATAGAATTTGAGGCGAGTCGAGATCAAATTCAGTCTGTGTACAATTTTTCAGTACATAAAGGGTTAAGGGCGATTCACAATACAACTTTCTGCGACGCGACACGACACGCGATTTGCGACAGTTGCGACAAGAAACTGCCTGTCGCAAGCTGTCGCAAGACACCTGTCGCAGAAGTTGAAGAAAGTTCAACTTTTGCGACATGCGACACGCGACATACACAAATGGAGTACAGTTTCGACCCTGGGTGCACGTGCAGTGCACGTGCATAGTACTACTTGTGCATGAGGATATCCAGCTGTCGCAACAAACATGAAGAATATTGTGAACTGTGTGTCGCTGTCGCAGCTCGTCGCATGTGTCGCAAGTCGCATGTCGCGTCGCAAGAAGTTGTATTGTGAATCGGCCTTTACACCTTCTGACTACACATCTTGCTTATAACTGTTATCTGTTAGTGTTGGACACAAACTACGGATAACATGTAACTGGTCCTTTCTTTTAAATTCAATCCTTGGCTCTTCATCCGAGAAACTAAACAGAAAGTAGGTCGGTAGACATTCCCATTCCCACTTTGGAGCACTGCAAACCGAACCTATTCTTTTACGTACACTGTTTCGTCAATATTGCGATCGTTAGGTACGAATAAAACAATGGCACGCACACACGCACACACACACACACACGCACACACACACACACGCACACACACACACATACACTCAAGTTTGTGTACCTCTCACAACCACATCTATTGTCAACATAGTGTTGTATGTACTGGTATGTGTGTTTACTTTTCACTGCCTTAGCTTCAAGATCAGTATCGTCAAGCTTGTCCCACGGACCACATTGGCTTTTGCAATGCCACGTAAGTTATTGCCAACCTGCTAAGAAAATAGAACTTTCCCTTGGCTGTAGGTTGGGAAGGACTGAGGTATTGGACATGTGTGTTCCTATGGCTTGCAGTCAACAGTGACATTTGACTTTGCTTTTCACTGGAAATAACATGATTGCTAGTGATACCCATGCTTGATTTTTGAAACGGCTCTATTGTCACCGTGCAGGTAGTAGGCCTTCTTTGACGTTGTCTTGTTTATAATGATGTGTTTTATTTATAGGTTTCAATCTGAGAAGCAGACAGCTGATAGGAATTTTGCACTTGGCTACCTGATGCGAGAGCAAGGCGTAAGTGTTCTGATGCTGAGTTTTTGTTATTATGAATTTATGATGCAGACAGTCCTGTGCAGGAGTCCCGCAGGCATCACTGTTGAGTGGTCCTGCAGGCATCACTGTTGAGTGGTCCTGCAGGCATCATGAATTGTTGTAGTGGCAACAGACAAAACCCAGATGAAACCCAGACAAAAAGTCTATGAAATTCCTTCTTTCTGAAGTACAAGATCGAGACTTCTCATACGTTCGAATAATAACTTGATGTTCTTCATACCTTCACTGTCTGGCTTGTATGCTGCTGTTGATGCCCAGTCGTTCCCACAAGAACGCCCTGACCTGCAACAGATCCTGGAGTTCTACTTTCAGATGTGTTCTATTGAGATCAATGCCAGGGCTGGGGCGGTCATGGCTGCTACTCTAGCTGCAGGTGGGATCTGTCCACTGTCCGGTGCAAAGGTACGTCCACAGTCTTAGTCTACTATGTCTACTAATGCTTAGTGCTTAGTGCTTAGTGTGTGTGTTGTTTGGACAGGGATACAGTTCAGTATACAGCACCCAGTGGATACAGCGTACTGTGCGACATGCTCTACACTGTTTCACCACCCTGCATTATGTAGCCATGGCATGGCGAAAAGGCGTCCTGACTCCTGGCACACCGTCCCCACTCCTGACTCATGGCACACCGTCCCCAGTCCTGACTCATGGCACACCGTCCCCAGTCTCCTGCGTACATCTGCAGTGGGTGGATTACTCTGGTTTTAAGCACTCTCCAAGTCTTGGTTTGGGCTGCTTGGTACTCGGTGACTTGTTCCCCAAAACACAGTGTAGTCGTATGCACTACTACTGGTTTAGGTGTGATTCTTCTGCTGCTGCTGCTGCTGCTTCTTGTGCTGGTGCTGGTGGTGCTGGTGCTGGTGGTGGTGCTGCTGCTGCTGCTGCTGCTTCTTGTGCTGGTGCTGGTGCTGGTGGTGGTGGTGCTGGTGGTGGTGCTGCTGCTTCTGCTGCTGCTTCTGCTGCTTCTGGCGCTGCTGCTGGTGGTGGTGCTGCTGGTGGTGGTGCTGGTGCTGCTATTGTAACTATTTCACCCAGGTACTGTCGCCGAATGCTGTACGAAACACACTGTCACTGATGCTGTCTTGCGGCATGTATGACTACTCTGGGCAGTTTGCATTTGAGGTAAGTTTCACCAAGAGTACATAACCCACCAGAGTGTGCAACTCAGGATGGTTCCTGTGGGAGCGTAATCCGTGCAGTACGTCATTTCTGACGGCATGGTAAGCCACAGGTACGGTGAAAAGTTGCGTAACCAGTCACGGTGGTGCAGCTCACTGAGTTTGTCCTGATTTCGGGCTTTTGATACGGATAGCCTGGTAAATTTACTTGCCAGCGGATGTACGCAGCGCACGCAGTCACACAAAAACACCGAAATCCTAAAAGCCAATCTGGCTCTCTGTCACCTCTGTGTCTACTGTGCTTCCTTTGCATCTTCAAAGTCACACATGTGTGTGGCCACCGGCTGCGCCGGTACGGTTACGGCTGCGCCGGTACGGTTACGGCTGCGCCGGTACGGTTACGGCTGCGCCGGTACGGTTACGGCTGCGCCGGTACGGTTACGGCTGCGCCGGTACGGTTACGGCTGCGCCGGTACGGTTACGGCTGCGTCGGTACGGTTACGGCTGCGCCGGTACAGTTGTACCAGTATGGTTGTACCGGTATGGTCGTATGCCTGTACACAATATTTTCAGAAATTTTCGGTGCTCAATATTTTCGGTATGAGGGCAACATGCCAGATTAGGTGAACAGAAAATTTCGGTACAGATATGCAGTTCTCTATTAGATTATGTGTGTTGGTGTTTGTTCGGTGTATTGAAATTTTAGGTATGAAGCAGATGCACCGAAAGTACCGAAAATAAAAGTACACCAAAAATTTGTGAAACTACAGTACACTATTATATAGTTCGGTGCTGGATACATGTTCACGACGAACATCATGTATGAGTTTCTGTCAGTGTGTGTGTGTTATGCTGTGTTTACTGTGTACTGTGCGTTGCTGCACACTGCTAGGTCGGTCTACCTGCCAAGTCTGGCGTGTCCGGCTGTATCTTCCTAGTTGTGCCCAATGTCATGGGCATCTGTCTCTTCAGCCCGCCGCTCGACAAGATCGGAAACAGCGTCCGCGGCGTCAACTTTGCCCGGGTAGGTTGACTGGAGAATGTGTACAACCAAGAGTCCATAATCCCCGAGAGTGCGCAACTTCACTGATCAGATCTGGGACGGCGAAAATCGTGTTGCACGTCATAGTGTGACATCATGAGTAGGGGAAGTGTGTTTGGGTCGCGTTTGCGTCCACGGAATGACGCAAGTCCGACCCCAAAAATGACGTACATCACTGAGTACGCCGTCCCACGACCCCATCCCAGTTGCGCACTCTGGGGGGTTATGGACTCTTGGTACAACATGTACAGGCTGAGAGGAGAATGTGTACTTGGTGTGCTACTCATTAGTGGTGTGCAAGCTTAGACTTAATGCGCAACTAGACTTAACAAGGCATTGCGTACTGGGTACCTGCAAATTATATTAGAGTGTGCACAGGGGAGTGCCTGTACACTGCAGAATCACAAGTCATAGGTTCGCGTGCAACGTTGGGCTTTGTACGCAATGGATCTGCCGTGCTGCACCAAGTCATGCTGCCCGTCACTTTGCTAATGACTCATTGCATACAGTCAACTTCGCTTATAACGACACTCGGCGGGGCATCAGAAAAGTGTCGTTAAACCCGAAGTCTCGTTATAATTATGTATTGCAGTTGGATGGGACTTTGCTCTGGGCATGGAAATTCTGTCGTTATTCGCGAATTGTCGTTATATCCGTAGTCGTTATTACTTATTAGCAAAGTTGACTGTAGTGGGAAAGCCCCAGCACCGTGCCTTTTCCTAGTGGAAAAGCCCAGCACCTCGTAGTGGGAAAGCCCCAGCACCATGCATGGTGGGAAAGCCCCAGTACTCTGACTGCAGGTTATGCTGATGGGGAGACTGTAGTGATGAGTGGGTCATAGTAGTACGCCGCTGTTTACAAAAATCTTGGTCGGTGTGCACTGTGCATATCGTTGATACATGCTTGTAGGCACAGTCCTTGAAGCAGAGACCGTCACTGCATACACCATTGTAGAGTTGCATTGCATACACCATTGTAGAGTTGCATTGCATACCCCTTTGTAGAGTTGCATTGCATGTTCATATGCCGGGCATGTATACTTGACTTTGCATACACCAGCAGTGTTTGTATTGTCTGTTAATTTGGCACTGTAATTTGTTTCCCCGTCTGTTTGTGTATTTCGCCGTGCAGGAGCTTGTTGGCACGTTCAACTTCCACCACTATGACAGCTTGCTGCAGAACGAGGGCAAGTGGGACCCACGACGCCGGCGGAATTCCACCAAGGTCAGTCACATATTGCATGTGTGTGTGTGTGTGTGTGTGTGTGTGTATGTGCGTGCACGCGCGCGCGTATGTGTGTGCGTGTGTGTGTGTGTGTGTACTTCGCTGTACAGTGTGCATACACCTGTGTAGGTAGTGGTGGCTAAAATAGCCTGTTCTGAGTTATGACTATCTGCAGTGGTCATGCTGTGCGGCCGGTAGTGTGCTATTGTTAAGATGCATATCTGATAGCTGATACTAGTATGTGTACTTCAAGTTCATGTATCGCCAGTGAAACTAAGCATACATATGTACATAGCTAATTGTAGTGTTAGGAACACTACTCAGCAGTGCCACTCTTGCTCATGATCAGCTGTTCGCTGTATGTCCCTGGGCACCAGTAGAATCAGCGTGTGGATGAGCCATGTGCTCATGCATTGTCGGTGTAACATAACATGCAGTGCAGAACCGGCGTGTGCGTGTGTGTGTACATCTGGTTTTGAGCGCATAGTACGTGCCTTGTGCTCTTCAGTCTACCATTCTTAGTACTGGTGTGGTGGTGTTTGTTGTTGTTCTTGTTGTTGCTGCTGTTACTGCTGCTGTTGTGTATATCAGGAACACTGGGTAGTTGCTCTACTATTCAGTGCCAGCAAAGGTGACGTGACTGCACTGCGACGCTATGTAGCTAGTGGTATGGACCCCAGCGCTGTGGACTATGATGGCAGGACGGCTCTGCATGTTGCTGCTACATCAGGTCAGTGTCCAGATGTGCCGTGGCTGAAAGCTTGTCTTGTGTGACTATGGGTATTGAACACTCGCTGAGTGTTTGTGTGTGTGCATGTGTGCGTGCGCGTGCGTGTTGCTAGGTTTGATCTTGAGCAGTGCAGGTCTTTTGGTGCCTGTGTGTAGGCTAAAATCGGCCCAGTTGTGGGGTGTGGTTGTGAATACATGGTGTATGGTTTTGATGGAGTGCGTGTTGTGTGCGTCTGTGTGTGTGTGCGCGTGTTGTGTGGTGAATGCCCGATGCGCAGGTCACATCAAGTGTGTTGAGTTTCTCTTATCGCTTCCTGAAGTCAACATCAACACTCTGGATCAGTGGAAACACACAGCGCTTGACAATGCCAAGCAGTTTGGGCATGCGAATGTTGCCGAACTACTTGCATCTAATGGTGGAATGGATGGCAGCCACGTCCTGCATGAAGCCAATGAGTCACCGACACCACCTGCCAATGCGTAGTGAGCCATGATCTTGACTGCAGTGTTGTAGATGATTCCCAGTTGTTGCCGGCCACTTGCAGTGTTCTGTGCAGTATGCTGTGCTGTGTCCTGTGCAGTATGCTGTGCTGTGTCCTGTGCAGTGTCCTGTGCTGTATTCTGTGTGACTCTCGGTGCAGCATGTGCCCTGCTTGACTATAATGCTGTGCCAAATCTGACACTAGTGTGTGTATGCGGCTTAGCCAGCTATCTCACTGCTGGGTAGACATGCTGACACTAGTGTGTGTATGCGGCTTAGCCAGCTATCTCACTGCTGCAGTGCTGGGTAGACATGCTGACACTAGTGTGTGTATGCGGCTTAGCCAGCTATCTCACTGCTGCAGTGCTGGGTAAACATGCTTGAGAACGGGTTTACATGTTACATGTCATGTGCATACTTGTAGAGAGTGTCACGTGGTGTTCTCCTGTCAGCGCTCACACAGCACACACACCCGATAACCTGCCAGTGCCACTGCCTGCTCAGCATCAAAGTCTCCATCGCGCACCAGTACGCGCCACATAGAGCTGCTTCAGCTGGCCGTTGCAGCTCCCTGTGTACTATATTCGTCATGCCACCGACCGTGCATGTGTCTCACCCTGGTTTTCGTTGAGTATGAGCAGACAGACCATCACAAGAATTTGAATTTTTTAATGTCCATCCTTCTTCGTTTTTCCTCACCACAGGAAGCCTCGCCACTCTCACTACCTTTTTATACATGCATTTACTTCTATTTGTCCCCCTATTTTTGCTCTGAGCTGCTGGTGGCATCTCTCTGTATTAAAAAAATAATTTTTAACGTAATAATGCTATACTCGAGAGATCCTTGTTTCTTATCGTTTTAGTTAGTCAATTTAATGTGACTTCCACTCATGCAGGTGTGGGAATATGCTGTGTGACAGTGCCGGGGTGGCTTGCTCGGACTCCCTCTTGGAGAACTGGAGCACACAGTTCAGGTGTCCGTGTACTGTCCGCTTAACTGCCATGTTGTTCCGAAGTTCTCAACAACCGTTGCGGAGATCTGAGAGTGTAAACTAAAAAGTGACACGAGTACTGCATGCTGCATGCCAGCTCTGAGGAAGTAACAATTTGTTTTACATATAAACCATCTCTGCGTCCACCAATGAGACCAGACAAGGTGGAAACAGCTAGCTGTCGAGCAGATTGAGTAAAGCGTATCTAATAAGTTTTAACATCTTATACCGTTCCGAGTAGTCTACATCTGAGCAGGAGGACGTGTTACTGTGGAGTCATGTCCAGCAACCTCCGTCCCATGTTCATCAGCTCGTCGTTGCTGGGTAGCTGCTGGCTGACAGTGGTTCCCTTGTCGAGGCCGGTTTTCTCCTGCCATTCGGAAATAGTCAGGCTGTCCTTGCCACAGGTGACCTTGGGCTCACTGGCTGTAGCGTCATAGACCGTGTTGTCGTGGCAGTTCGGTGCAATGAATGTTTTCGATACGGCAGCCAACGAGCAGCCAGCACCAGCCTTGATGTAGCTTGTAGTCCCGTTGCCAAACAGCCAGGTTTCATTGTACACCTGGTCAGCGTATTGCTCGTAACCAAAGAAATTAGTGTGACCAAGGTAGCCGGTGGTCAAATACAGATGCACATTGTTATAGGAGCGGTGGTCACCACATCCGATACCATTCTTCTGGCCCCAGCCGTAGATTTCAAAATTGTCATGGTTTGCGTACAGAATGCTTCCGTCGTCGTTGTCCACGCCACCCTTGGTGCCGCCGTAATTCGACACAAGGAAGTTGTTGTGGATCTCGTTGACCAGTGGGATAACTCCGGCTGTTCCGCCGTTGACTGTAGTAAGGAACGGTTGTCTGTCCCAGCTGTTGATAGGACCATGGTCACTGCTCTCACGACATGTGTTGAAGATCAGATTCTCCGTGATGTCATTTCCACCTCCAAATCCATCATTAATATTGACAGCTGCTCTCGCTAGGTTGTAAATGATGTTTCCACGTAGGACAGACTGTGCAGACTTGGCTTGGAACCAGCCAGACGACTGCTTCTCCCAGATTCCAGTTTCACGTACGACATTGTTCAAGATCATGGTGTAGCGAGGGAAATTCCCATCGGTGCCATCGTTGCCATGCTTGCCCTCGTCACTGATCTCATCTGTGATTCCCCATGCAGCCATGGCTGTACTGCCGGTCCAAGAAAAGTTGTTGTTTGATAGAACGGTGTGTTGGTTATAGCCACTAAGCATGATACCATTACCATCCATGCGGTGCAGGATACTGCTGTTCACAACACAGTTCTCAGTGCCTTGAAAGAACAGAGCACCAAGTCGCTCCAGACCCCAATCACCTCCGCTGGGTACTCCGTGTGGTGACAGGTATGTGTAGGCTGCGTCGCAAAAGCCAATGCCAGAGATGGTGACATTCTTGACTGGGTTGGCCTGTGTACCGGTGATATTGATCAGAACCTGTACACAGATCAATACACACAGGTGACGTTACATGATGTAACTTACATTTCAGCATGGCGGTGAGTGAACACTTCGTAAACATTTTGCAAGGCATACTAATTGCCAGCAAGTCGGACTACTAGTTACGCTGACACCTTGCATGTGCACACACACATTTGCATGCGCGCGTGTGCACACACACACACACACACACACACACACACACACACACACACACACACACACACACACACCAGTTGGGCATGGGAGTACCACTACAAACACTTCATGCAAGTCATGCACTGCCTCCTTGTCCTTGCCCTCCCCCTGACCCTGTCTTTCCAAAACTATCAAACAATCATGAATGTCACAGTTTCTCTGGATCGAAGGTACAGAGGGACTAGAATGGCCTACCTGCAGATTGGTAGCTTCCACTTGTAGGTCAGCTGGTGGTGCTGTGCCACTGCTTGCGTTGTGGAAATAGAACAGTTGACTGGTGTCACGGTTAAAGAACCACTCCCCTGGTGCGTCCAGTTCCTGGAAGACGTTCTCAATGAACCAATCACTGCCTCTACCACCACGGGCACCCTACAGAAGACAGATGAATACACAGGCAGTCATGTTATTGAACCGGCAGGGGCGGTCGGAACCGGTGCGGCAGGTGCGGGCAAAGGCGCACCAATAATTTCATTTATAGAAAAGAAAAAGGACAAATGAACTACAAGTTATGCTATAATGTCCACTAACACCACCAGTTACTAAGCAATCAGCTCATGCGATAACATTATAGCGTAACTTGTAGTTCCTTGGTCCTTTTTTCTTTTCCGAGCTATAAATTAATCCTTGGCTCTCCATCCGAGTCCAATAATTTCATCCTGTGATTTTTAAGCAATGAGATATGGTCTGCCGGCCTGGGCCCAATTATCATTTTCCGAAAATTTCCTGGGATAGGGGGCCCCCCGGCCTTTTCATAGTCGCACCAATGTAGACTACCTTCCGACACCGCTGACCAGGGTCAGTTTGACCAACTTACAAACGTCAAGTCTCCAGCATGTTGTATTCAAGTCTCCAGCATGTTGTATTCAAGTCTCCAGCATGTTGTATTCAAGTCTCCAGCATGTTGTGTTCAAGTCTCCAGCATGTTGTATTCAAGTCTCCAGCATGTTGTATTCAAGTCTCCAGCATGTTGTATTCAAGTCTCCAGCATGTTGTATTCAAGTCTCCAGCATGTTGTATTCAAGTCTCCAGCATGTTGTATTCAAGTCTCCAGCATGTTGTATTCTGCAGGTCTGCTGTGTAAGTGCCAGTACATGTACTTCAGTAGCTGATTGGTGTTTCCATGGAGAGAACTAGTAATTCAATACAAACATGTTTTGACTCAAACAGATTTAGCTTCTTCACTACCGGTACCCGTAAACGAGGTTTGTCTTGCAACTGATGTAGTCCTAACCAGGGTAGACCTGTACCTGAAATCCTCCGCGTGTCCAGTGCAGTGTGTCCTGGTCAGGCGAGTAAGCGTCCACATCAAACATCCAGCTAGACCAATGACCTGAACGCCACACGTGCGCCACGGCTCCCGTGATGTTCTTCCATGGCCCGTTGACAGGGCCATACCTTGCATCAAACACCTCCTTGCCTGAATGCAGTCCCGGACAAGAAGAAGAACCATGCACCAAATCAGAATCAGACTAGTCAGTTTAAAGTAATAGGTACTACATGTACTTATCCAAAAGTATATCAGCCATGTGTGTTACGCCTTGGCCTAGGAGTATGCTGCACAAGAAATACACGCGCACTATGGTGGGATGCATCTGCCTGCCATCGCGAGGATGCCATGCCGCAGTTTACAAACACTTATATCTTCTTACCTTTGAATGTCATACCAGATGGTACGTAGTACTGGAAGCCACCAGGTGGATGTTTCTGACACCAGTAGCTAACAGGAGGTGAGAACTGAGAGCATGGTCCACCAATTCCAACACCGTACATCTCAAACATTCCTGTTATGTTACGTACTGGTCCAAGTTGTACTTCCTTGGCTGGCCCGTACTCATGGGCGGGTAGCCACTTTGCTGCTGTACTTGACGGGAACCAGCCTTTCGGGAAAAAGTCGCGCTCCGGGTCGGAGTTTGGTCGCCTGGCTCTTGTCACACGTCTTCCGTTGACTCTGAGTCCGGTGAAAGCAATGCCCTCTGCATCCGCTACATCCGCTACATATACATTCATACCCTTGGTCACGTCATGTGACTTCCACTGCAGGTTGTTGAGAAGGTGAGCACCACTAACCCAGACCTCCTCACCCGGGTAATTGCTAATGATCAATGTACTGTCTGCTGGCGTCAGTTCCAGGGGGGTCGGCAAATAGAACGTCCCCTTACGCAGAACTATTTTTGAGCCTGGCCCCGCCTGACGCGTGGCAGCCAGAGCAGCATGGATGGTTTTCTTGGGGCTGTCGGGCGTTGTACCCGAGTGACTGTCATCACCGTTCACAGCATCCACATATTGGGTTACCCCATCATCGAACCACTTGGCTGGCCATTCGCGTGGTGGAAAGACGGGTACCACTGATTTGTCAGCCTCGCTCAGACTAACATTGCACATGGAGCCTAGCAACAGGGCATCATGGACATTAGGCACACTGTCCGGACGAAGCTGGCGAGCATAATCCAACGCTAGTTTTCGCCACGCACATCTGAAGTCCAGTGGCACACCATTAGGATCTGGCCCATAACCGTTACCTTTCCCTAACCTGTATTCATCCTCTAACGTCCAATCGTCATCACTTGTAGCGTAAACCGATGACCAGTTTGCACAGACTACCAACACCGCTAGCAAGAAAACCGCGGTCATCTTCTACTCGACGACTATTCGTATCTTCTCAAAGGTTTAGATGTAGATGTACGCCGCCTGCATCAGCATTTGGGGGTTCGATTGATTTCACAAACTCAGCAAACTGTTGAAGTCAACCCTGTACTGTTGATTGATAATGATTGATGGCAACCGGAGTTTTTCTTCTGTAGATCTACTGCAACCAGCGATATCACGGACATGATCTGAACTCTGAATCTGATGTGTGAACTCTTCGCGCCTACACTACTACACTGTACTACAGTACTAGTAGTCTACTGTACATGATTGTACTTCACTCTTCTTATGTTACTAGTACCTTGCCGACCGCATACCTTTTTCGCTCACAAGGCGGTCACGAGATTTCGCTCCAGTTGACAGGGGTTGACCGCTACCCGCTCCTGATAAGCTCAGCCTGGGTGCAACAGTTGAACACGCAACCGACAATTTCTCCAACTCCTCTTTCATTTGCTCTGTGGATATATTATTGTTAGACTTAGAGTTCGTGAATTCTGCATGTTCTTTAGCTTGTAGTAGTTCACCTCGGTCTCACTCTGCGTGAGTCTGAAGGAGGCTAGGCAATGAGGGCAGTTGTCTTTCTAGCGGCGCTGACAGTGTGCGCTGTATCCACACCGGTATATAGCACAAATGACGAGAATTGGACGTTGAAAGATGAGCAAGACCTTCGGGACGGTTATGGGCCAGATCCTGATGGTGTGCCACTGGACTTCAGATGTGCGTGGCGAAAACTAGCGTTGGATTATGCTCGCCAGCTTCGTCCGGACAGTGTGCCTAATGTCCATGATGCCTTGTTGCTAGGCTCCATGTGCAATGTTAGTCTGAGCGAGGCTGACAAATCAGTGGTACCCGTCTTTCCACCACGCGAATGGCCAGCCAAGTGGTTCGAACGTGATGATGGGGTAACCCAATACGTGGATGCTATGAACGGTGATGACAGTCACTCGGGTACAACGCCCGACAGCCCCAAGAAAACCATCCATGCTGCTCTGGCTGCCACACGTCAGGCGGGCCCAGGCTCAAAAATAGTTCTGCGCAAGGGGACGTTCCATTTGTCGACCCCCCTGGAACTGACGCCAGCAGACAGTACATTGATCATTAGCAATTACCCGGGTGAGGAGGTCTGGGTTAGTGGTGCTCACCCTCTCAATAACCTGCAGTGGAAGTCACATGACGTGACCAAGGGCATGAATGTATATGTAGCGGATGTAGCGGACGCAGAGGGCATTGCTTTCACCGGACTCAGAGTCAACGGAAGACGTGTGACGAGAGCCAGGCGACCCAACTCCGACCCGGAGCGGGACTTTTTCCCGAAAGGCTGGTTCGACACCAGCACAGCAACAAAGTGGCTACCCGCGCATGAGTACGGCCCAGCCAGGGAAGTACAACTTGGACCAGTACGTAACATAACAGGAATGTTTGAGATGTACGGTGTTGGTATTGGTGGACCATGCTCCCAGTTCTCACCTCCTGTTAGCTACTGGTGTCAGAAAAGTCCACCTGGTGGTGGAGGCTTCCAGTACTACGTACCATCGGGTGTGACATTCAACGGTAAGACAATGCACTTGTTTACTGTGCAGGGGCGTCGTAAGGTAATTTAGTGTGGTACGGTCAGCTATCTGAAGTACAATTTACTCGTGGGGGAGGGGTGGCTGAGTGGAACATTTTGGAAAATAATAATTATTAGAGCCCAAATCAGTGCATTTTATTGATTCACGGGGTACTTGGGTCAAATAGTGATACGGTCAATACCGTAGTGACCGTATCGTGTGCGACGCCCCTGCTTTGACTGAAGTCTTTTCGAATAATCTCCAACAACGCATGCACCATACAATTTTGCAGTATGGAACAAGACCAGGGATGTCACGGGTGGATGTCTGTGTAACCGACAGAGGCACATGGTCAACTGGGTACTCACTGCTCGGGGTGAGGGTAACATAGATGCAGCTAACCAGGTTCGCCCCCTTATCGGACATGGGTCGTGAGACTTTAACCACCTCACCCTCGCCGTTTATGGCACTACATCTGTCACCCTGGTATAGTCAGGCATGGTGATGACCTGGCACGAGCGAAACTTCTCTAAGCTGGTTGTGTTTCTTAACACAATCATAAGCCGGTGGTAACGCGGATGTGCAAACTTTACTTTTACCTTAAAGTACCGTTGATCCGCCCCCTCTCTAATTCCCGCCCCCTGTCGATTTTCTACCTGTGAAGCGACTTCGGCGTATACAACGAAAATACGATGTTGAACCGACGCATGCACTACTGTACACAACATTTGCCAATCCAGGATGAAAATGTGCACAATCCAGCACATCGAGTCTGAACTTCTACGTTGTTGTACATCGTACTGCACTTGAGAGCCTTGATCTAATTCCCGCCCCCTGCCGAAAACCCAGCTGGGAAGCGACATGGCGTGGGGAGGGGATCAACGGTACTGCACGGTACTTACACCCATGGACTGATGTGTTCAGACGGGAGAATAAGGTTATGGGCTAATGAGTCCTGAGCATGTGGCATACCTATCAGGAGCAGCAGCAGGAGCAGCAGGAGGTGTCTCAGTCTCTATGCCGGACAACTATCAAGTATAAACTATAAACCAACTTGCTCTGTACGAGTCTGTACGAGTCTGTACGAGTCTGTACGAGTCTGTACGAGTCTGTACGAGTCTGTACGAGTCTGTACGAGTCTGTACGAGTCTGTACGAGTCTGTACGAGTCTGTACGAGTCTGTACGAGTCTGTACGAGTCTGTACGAGTCTGTACGAGTCTGTACGAGTCTGTACGAGTCTGTACGAGTCTGTACGAGTCTGTACGAGTCTGTACGAGTCTGTACGAGTCTGTACGAGTCTGTACGAGTACCGTAAAGTCCCGCCAGAATGCCCCTACTCCCTCCCCCGACCCTTCGAGTAGGTCCAGGTGGGGAGGGGCGGATGGGCGAGTCCAACTTGCCGCATTCAGTACATGAAAAGGAACTCACCGTACAAAAACTGTGCGTGCGTCTCGTTCACCGACCAAAGGTCAAGAGCCGTGAGGGAGTCGTACCCAGGCCGACCCATCAAAACCCAGGGTTTGTGCGATCCCTGGTCAAGATGGTGGGAACTGTTGCATACGTTTCCAACCGGGTCGAGCACGCGTCTGCAGTACGGCATCACACTTAACAGAGTCATACAAGGATACAATCATTATCACTTCCCGGACAAGAAGTCGGGGGGGGGGGGGGGCACTCTGGCGAGATTTTACGGTACTAGTACCGTGGGGGGGGGGGGGGGGGCAGAAGGATTGGAATGAGGCCTGGACTATATGACAGTCCTGCGTGTGAGGAGAGTGCATGGGTGCTGAGCTGTTCAGCAGTTTCCAGGTGTTCTCAGTTCTGACAGGCTACAGCTACACGGGCCCGGTATCTTGCTCGGTCCCCGGTGGAGCACATGTACTGCAACATGCTTAGCTCAAACAGGTCTGAAATCTGCCATATGGCTTTTAGGACGGTACCTCAAACGTTCATCTCGGCAACAAGACAACATGCAAACTTGAATGTGAAACTTTCTCACAAAAAGGATGCTTGTTCGTGAGCATGGCTGACAACACTTACACACACCAGCATGGCTGATAAAAAATGTTTGGACAGAATATGGCATGTGAACTTCCAGCGGCCTGATTATTCAAGCGGCTCTATCGTGTGAATGGCATACATGGCTCACTGTTGCGCTAGCCTTGCATGGTCACGGTTATCACGGTTATGGGGGATAGGTGTGCTACAGGTACCTCAGTGTATGGTTAGCAGTGTTGTTTGAGTAGTGCCAGGGCTGCTTTCATTACCCCCCCCCCCCCCCACACACACACAAACCATGTACCATGTACCATACACAAACACACACACACACACACACACACACACACACACACACACACACACACACACACACACACACACACACACACACAGTGGATGTGTGTATCTTATCACCAGGACATACATGTGCAAGCTGCTGTCTGCTTTGTTGACATAACTTGCACTAAACCTCTTCAGCAATGATCACAACTTGTCCACCCTACATATCTTCCAAGTGCATGTTGTGCTGCAGGGAACAAACTTCACACTTGCACCGGTGCTCTACATGTATCACCTTGCCACGGCACCTCTCGCGCATATCCAACTGCCTCACACGACGGTTACAGGTGGTACCTGTTGACACATGGATAGTTGATAAGCCTCCAACACGGTTGCATAGCTCTCTTTTCTTGGATTGTCGCTGTAGTGATCGCAGTCTGTGAATTGGTAGATTCCCCGGTAGCGAGTCAAATACAAATATACGAGTATATTGCATTTCACTGTAGCATGTACCTCTCGTCATTGAGTCTCTGGAGAGGCAGCACTTTGCAGTTCTTGCAGGAATGCCACCACACACCACAAGTTATGTGGCTGTGTCAGTATGCGCAGGAACTCGCAGAACTCTTTCATGCCAGTTTACAGTGTGAGACTGTGAGCCCATCAGTGCAGATGTTCCTGAATACTGATTCAAACCCTGTGGCCGGATCCGGAAGCGGCTCATGCCCGGAAAGGATTTCTCACAGAACAGGGAGTGTTGGCATCCCACAGCGGACACTGTCACTACACCTGGAATGGTCTGGAGTGTGATTGCCTTGCAAGTCTGACATTGAGTTCATGACACACTGCACCATTGAGCGGTCTTTCAATTTTTCAGTAAAATCCTTCTTACGAGAGATGGTAACGAAAACGTTGAAGGATACCTAACCCTTGCTAATGGTGTGTGTGTGTGTGTGTGTGTGTGTGTGTGTGTGTGTGTGTGTGTGTGTGTGTGTGTGTGTGTGTATGTGTGTATGACACAAGAACTACTGCCTCGCCGAATAGCTATCATCGCCTCCGGCGATGGGCTTTCCAAAGGTCCAAAGGTGTGTGTATGTGTATGTGTGTATGTGTGTGTGTATGTGTGTGTGTGTGTATGTGTGTGGTGAATGTGCAACTTGCTTTATTTATTGCGTTGACTTTTTACTTTTACTGTTGTTGTTGTTGTAGGCAAGGAGGTATTCAGCGAGGCATACGGCCCAGTTCACGGAGCCTGGAAGAATGTGACCGGTGCCGTGGCGCATGTGTGGCGTAAGTCCCACTGGTCCAGTTGGATGTTTGCTGTGGACGCGTACTCTCCACTCCGTGACACACTCCACTGGACATGGGGTGGTTTTCAGGTAAGTCCATTGCTTTGGTACGTGTCCTGTCTGTCTGTCCGTCCGTCCGTCTGTCTCTCTCTCTCTCTGCCTGTCTGTCTGTCTCTCTCTCTCTCTCTCTCTCTCTCTCTCACACACACACACACACGTGCGGCATGGTGTGAGCCAACAGTTTCGAGCTGACTTCGAAAACTGGTTTTGGCTACAAAACCTGCTGATCTGCTGTATTGGCGTCTGTCTTTGCAGGGTTCGCGCGGTGGACCGGGCAGTGATTGGTTCATTGAGAACGTCTTCCAGGAACTGGACGCACCGGGGGAATGGTTCTTTAACCGTGACACCAGTCAACTGTTCTATTTCCACAACGCAAGCAGTGGCACAGCACCACCAGCTGACCTACAAGTGGAAGCTACCAATCTGCAGGTAAGCCATTCTCAGTCCCACTAGGCGTTCTTCCATGCACCTTGCAGGTCAACACAACTGCGGCCATTCCCGTCTCAGCAGATTAATGACAACTTGACATCCGTGGAAGAAGAACTTTGCCACTGGTATGCAAGTCTCATCATTTCCCTATACAGCCCTCTTCCAATCAATACCCGTCATCTCATAATAGTGTATACATGTACAGGTCATCTCTCGTTACTAACGTCAAGAGTACATGAACATCTGCGTTAAGTACATGAAGCGGTATTCAGAAAGATATGTGTGAACTCTTAGGCCTCATTTACACGACACCGATTGAAAAACGTTTTTGTCAAAAACTATTTCAAAAGAACGCGCTTCCACAGATTTTGATAGGAGTGTGCACACGAGCACGCTGAAAAACGTTTCAAACGAAAAACGGCCTTCAAAGTGTATTTCAATCATTTTCATTCCGTTTCTTTCTCGTATAGACGGCAAAACGTGTTACTACTACGAGCCTCGAACTCAAAACATACCACCGCCAGGGCAACTGTTTGCACGTGACCATTGCGCGCCGAAAAACGGGTTGCAGTGTACACGCTTATCGTTTTTGTGTAAACAGCAAAAACATTTCGAAAACGATTGAAAAATGTTTTTCAATCGTTGTCGTGTAAATGAGGCCTTAGGTTACTCACTGTCATGCTGCAATGTAACATTACGTGTGTCCGTGTGTCTGTCTGTATGTGCGTGTGTGTGTGTGTGCGCGTGTGCGTGCGTGCGTGTGTGTATGTGTATGTGTGTGTATTGATCTGTGTACAGGTTCTGATCAATATCACCGGAACACAGGCCAACCCAGTCAAGAATGTCACCATCTCTGGCATTGGCTTTCGTGACGCAGCCTACACATACCTGTCACCACACGGAGTACCCAGCGGAGGTGATTGGGGTCTGGAGCGACTTGGTGCTCTGTTCTTTCAAGGCACTGAGAACTGTGTTGTGAACAGCAGTATCCTGCACCGCATGGATGGTAATGGTATCATGCTTAGTGGCTATAACCAACACACCGTTCTATCAAACAACAACTTTTCTTGGACCGGCAGTACAGCCATGGCTGCATGGGGAATCACAGATGAGATCAGTGACGAGGGTAAGCATGGCAACGATGGCACCGATGGGAATTTCCCTCGCTACACCATGATCTTGAACAACGTCGTGCGTGAAACTGGAATCTGGGAGAAGCAGTCGTCTGGCTGGTTCCAAGCCAAGTCTGCACAGTCTGTCCTGCGTGGTAACATCATTTACAATCTAGCGAGAGCAGCTGTCAATATTAATGATGGATTTGGAGGTGGAAATGACATCACGGAGAATCTCATCTTCAACACATGTCGTGAGAGCAGTGACCATGGTCCTATCAACAGCTGGGACAGACAACCTTTCCTTACTACAGTCAACGGCGGAACAGCTGGAGTTATCCCGCTGGTCAATGAGATCCACAACAACTTCCTTGTGTCGAATTACGGAGGCACCAAGGGTGGCGTGGACAACGACGACGGAAGCATTCTGTACGCAAACCATGACAATTTTGAAATCTACGGCTGGGGCCAGAAGAACGGTATCGGATGTGGTGACCACCGCTCCTATAACAATGTGCATCTGTATCTTAGCACTGGCTATCGCGGACACACAAACTTCTTTGGACATGAAAAGTACGCTGATCAGATATACAATGAGACATGGCTGTTTGGCACCGGTACTGCTGACTATATACAGTTAGGTTCGGGATGCCAAGACTCTGCGACTTTCCGGCCACCCGACTGCCATGATAACACAATCTACGATGCCACTGCTAACCAGCCAATCGTGGCGTGCGGCAAGCAAAAGATGACCGTTTCTGAGTGGCAGGATAAAACCGGCCTCGACAAGGGAACCACTGTCAGTTAGCAGTTGCCCAGCAACGAAGAGTTGATGAACATGGGACGCAGGTTGCTGGACATGACTCCTGAATGACCAGCCCAGTTTCTTGGATGGAGAGCTAGTCTGAGCTGGCATACCTGCATGGAGAAGCTTGTTCCTGCCCAGCTTTTGACTCGGTTACGTTGAACTGCATTGAAGCTTGCGTCTGTTCAGTTGTGAGATCTTAACGTTCTTGGGCCCGCGACTCTACCTCGTGTTTCCAGGGGGTTAGCCTGGGACGTTCTTATTGTTCAGCAATCTGGCTTCGTTCTTATTACACGCTCTTAGAAACCATTCGTACGGGATCATATGTATGTTTGCAAAATTCTGCCAGAAAACCAACACCGCAGTTCTTTAGGCTGTGGCATTCTTAGCATTTCAGGCTGGACGTTCTTGGGCTCGAGGCGCGCGGCTCTGCTTTATTCATTTCTTCGTTCGACAATGCACCAGCACTTGAACGAAAAATTTGTCGTCGCCCCGGTGCACTGGTATAGCGAGACCAGCTGTACCAGCTGCATGTCCGCTACATGCTTGTCGCAGACACGAGTAGAGCGAGTGAAGCAGCCTCACAGCATGAGTTTGCGCGGAACTTAAAAATTCGATACTGGGCAGTGTTTAAGATCACATTCACTGTCAAGCGGGAACATGAATCTTTGATTCCGCCGTGAGTTGCGAGACTTGGATATTATTATTATTCAAGAGGAACATTATATTCGACAGGAGCTTGTAATCGAGTGAATACGGCAAGTATCACTTCAATTGCAAGTTATACAGTAGTGGCTTCCATGGTTTCCATGGTTACAGTGCACATGTACACAAAGTACGATATTTAATAATGTGCTGTCTTGGCATTGGTTCAGTGCATTTACAGTATAAGCCGCAACCCATTTTTCAGGTCTGAGCGAAATAGTTTCCATATGCATTCAATTCAGCAGGAAGTCACCTTCGATTGTAAGTCGCACCTCACTCTTTCCCTTGAAGTTAGGCGTAGAAAGGTGAGACTTACAGAGAAAGACGGCGTAATTCGAAATCGTCTTCTTTTTCTTGGCTTCTACTGTGCAGTGCTGGACATAATCAGCAGAGGACAATGTGTAGTAATGAATGGAATGGTGATGAACAAAAACATACAAGAAAAGTGTGACGAGCAGGAAGAGAAATCGCAGAAGTAAATGCATCTGCTGCATTTGTAGGTGAGTTGGGAAACATAAGAAGCGATTAGACTAAATGCAGTGAAAGACCTAAGCGAAACAAACAGCAGCAAAGACAGCGACATTGGGACACAATGTAGCGGGATCGGAGTAAAGAAGATTTAGCTACACGTGAATGGAGAGGAGAGGAGAGAGAGAGGTAGAGAGAGAAAAGACAATGACATTGTCTCAATCCTAAGAATAGCGTGTCTCTAAAACATGAGATAAAATGAATAAAAGTTTGAGATGTTGAAAAACGACCGGTCAAGAATCACGTAACTACTATGTAAAAAGATGAGGGAAACAACTATGGTAATAATACCGTATGAGCAAATAGCAACTAGCAGCAGCCCTGCTGACACTACGCAACACTGGCGAACAGTAACAACCAGCCAGGCATAGTCCGCAGCAGCAGCCGCCGACAACTAGTGCTACCAACACCGACTAATACCAGCACTGCAAGTCAAGGTGGCCAACAGGACAACAACAACAGCAACAAAATGGTGGCATACCCGTCTTAGATGAGCAAATGCATGAATATATAGGCTGATCAAGTCTCTCCTAAGTCACCAATCATACACCCTTGCACACTGCACCCATAAATGTTAAAACCACACAGCATGCCGTTCCCACATACGCACATGTGAGCATACCGTTCCCATAGCAGGCACCTAAGCGACCATCTATACACATACTACAACAGAGTCAGAGCATTGAGCATTCACTAGCATTAACTAGCCTTAACTGGCACTACCACCACTACTGGCAGATGAGCTGTCAGACGCCAGCTGAGATTGTATCCAGCTGTCAATCTGTGTGACCAGTTTGTGGCGCTTGAAGCGTAGCGCCTCTTTGCGAATATCCTTGGCGAGTGCTACACGTTCTTGCGTCGTACCCTTGCTCTCTGCAAGCATTTCCAGTATACGATCAGCACCTTCACACACAAAAGCAGCCATCACACAGCATACGATTAGCACCTTCACACAGAAAGCAACCATCACACACATACAGTATACGATCAGCACTTTCCAACAGAAAGCAACCATCACACACATACAGTATACGATCAGCACTTTCCAACAGAAAGCAACCATCACACATACTCTACTTCAAAAGACAAAGTACTAAAGCAGTGCTTTCTCGTCATACGTGCTGTGCATACCGGACACAAGTTTTTGGCCATGTGGTCGCAAGCTTACGCCAGACCGGTCATCTGATTTTTCTTCGGTTGAGCTAGTATTCCTGAAAGCAAGACGGATCAGCCGGCAAGCAAGACACAGTGCCGCTGTCTAGGAATTACGCTGGCTAAGCGTTCAAGAGAGACAGACCCCACTGCCTGAATGAAGTGGGTACATAATTCAACACTACCAGGACAAGCCTTCTTCTACATAGCTCGTAGCTCGAATAATACAATGGACAGGAGGGTACACATGCGTATGCACGTGGGTGGGGGAGGGAGGGAGGGAGAGAGAGAGAGAGAGAGAGAGAGAGAGAGAGAGAGAGAGAGAGAGAGAGAGAGAGAGAGAGAGAGAGAGAGAGAGAGAGAAGTTACAAACGAGAGAACTTTGCAATAAAAAAATTAGCTCTTACTTTTGCCTGGCTTGCGAACTTCCTTCATCATAAGCGTTTTGATATTTCCATTGTCTGAACACACGCACATCAGCAGCACAAGAATGACAGGAAACAGAGGAGTCTGAGAGGACACTCTCAGCACCGCAAACGAACACACAGACATACACACACTCACGCTCATGGAAGGTGCTGCTGCTGCAGCAGCAGCAGCAGCAGTCAGACGAGGACACAACACGCCGACCAAATACACATCTCTCCAGTGACTGAGAATAAATTACGAATGTGCCCCCCCCCCCCCCCCCCACACACACACACTCTTTAGCCTAGAGAATCCCTTACAACCTGCCAGCATAACTGTCCTAGTCTCAACGGATCAGCGCTAAACAGGTTCCCTAACTTGCACTTGTTCGAGTCTAGGTATGTCACTGACCATTTGCAGATCTGGCGTGTGCCACACCACTGCTAGCCGCAGCAACCGCAGTAGCAGAGGTTGTTGCCGTCGCTGCCGTTGTACTTGAAGCTGCTGCAGTTGCTGTCGCTGCTGAGGCTGAGGATTCACCAGAAGTCGTTGATGCCGTGAGTGCATAGTTCTTCTGTCAAGCGCACACATGCATATACACGCAGGACAAACACAGGCAGGACAACGTAGTCACACTTTTTGAGAGGACAGAACAGCTTTACCCAGACATCCAGCATACACATGCGTACATGCACTGCTGAACACGAATACAGGGTGGTGGGGGGAGAGATGGGCAAAGCTGTTGGCTAGTGCCAGAACTACCCAGAAGCCACACAAAGTTGGGACAAAGCCAAGCAAACCCGTGCATGCAAGAAGCGAGACGTTGGCATTAGAGGAAAGTCGGCGTAGCCCCGGATTAGTCCCTCGATTCGCTTTGCTGCAAAGTGAGGAGATGGCCGAGGGTGGAGGTAAAGTGGCGGCATACCAGTGAAGAAGAGTAGTCAATGGCTGCCTCTACAGTAGGTCACTGGTGGGATGCAAAGTGCCAAACACCTCTACAGTAGGTGGGATGCAAAGTGCCAAACACCTCTAACGTGGACCTGAAATTACTGTAAAGTGAGAAACTTTCGCTAGAGATTAAATTTCGCTATTTTAGCGACCATCACACAGTTGCGAATATAAATTGCCGCAAACTGCTCTGTACACTGATTGTACTAGATCCAACTGAATAGATGAAATCGCGAAAGTTTCTCGTTGCGAACCAGCGCAATTCTTGAAAATGCAAAACTGGCGCGCTGTAGCGAGAGTTTATTGCTTTACAATACATTGCAGGTGGAAAGGAAAAAAAGGATACCAGGTCATACACCAGTCACCTAAACTCACTAAAGGATACCAGGTCGTACACTAGTCACCTAACCTCACTCATGCCAGCTGCAGACACGTGCAGTGCTATCAGGCAAACGTATCTGACAGATATGACACATTCTAAAGGTTATTGTAAGGCCACACGTTTTTATTTCTATGTTTCTCGTCACCTGAAAGTCTAAAAACGTATGCGAGAGGTGGAAAAAAATAAAAAAATGACCGAAAAATAAAAAAAGTTTATTAGACCTTTGTTCACACTAAAATCCACCAATACACCATGCAAAATAGCATCCATAGTTAGCAACTAGTATGTGGTAGGAGCTTCTGTCACAATCTGTGCATGTGCAGCTAGATTGCGCACAAAAATGCCGTCCTTGCATCATGTTTCGCGCAGGCCAGGCCACATTATGTACATGTGCATGAGTGTGCTGGTCCCCACATGCACAGTCAGTGCAGCACAGTTTTTTCTTCCAGACTCCTGAATCGTATGCGCGCGGGTGACGAGAAACATAGAAATAAAAACGTGTGGCCTAACAGACAACTGCCTAATGCTGTACTAGAAACAATAGACCCAATCGAAAGAAGGAAATAAAACGAAGTGAAATAGAAAACACACAGACACAGACACACACACACAGACACACACACACACACACACACACACACACACTTACCGATGAGGCAGAGCTTGTCGCTGAGCTAGCAGACAACAGAGCACACGCGCGATCACCGCTGCTCGCCGGCAGTGCTGCTGGCCGAACATTTGACGTATCAGCTCTGCTAGCAGCGGTTGTGCATGCTGCTGCTGACGTACTCGGCGAAGTTGGACTGGACAACAGTGGTGAAGCTGGCATGGTACCGATACGCAGCAGTGCAGTGGCAAAGCGCTGAGCTCGCGGTGTCGACGATCGAGACCGTTTTAGACTGCCACCGCCAGGTGGCGATCCGGGCCGCTTGCCAGGCGAGTCACCGACGCCGACAATTGCTTCGTTAGCTTCATCCAAACCAACACCTCTCTAACAACAACAACAACGACGACAACGACGACAACAACAACAACAACAACAACAACAACAACAACAACAACAACATCTCTTATTGGCCACAACCCATCGTGAGAATAGCTACTTGAAACAACAACAGCGGTAACAACGACCAACACTGCTGCCATGTATCAATATCTATGGGCAGAGCATTTGCAGTTCACAGCACATTATCCAGGGCCCCAGGCATGTGAAGAATGCTGTCAGCACCTGAACTCCATACAGACAGCAGTGCATAACAGGAAACAAGCCTTTCTGCTCGTACTTCGAAGTACAGTTTTTGCTTGTAGAGTAGGTAGGCAATGTAAAGATGGCTACACATGGCAATGTACAGATGGCTACACATGGCAATGTACAGATGGCTACACATGGCAATGTACAGATGGCTACACATGGCAATGTACAGATGGCTACACATGGCAATGTACAGATGGCTACACATGGCAATGTACAGATGGCTACACATGGCAATGTAAAGATGGCTACACATGGCAATGTAAAGATGGCTACACATGGCAATGTACAGATGGCTACACATGGCAATGTACAGATGGCTACACATGGCAATGTACAGATGGCTACACATGGCAATGTACAGATGGCTACACATGGCAATGTACAGATGGCTACACATGGCAATGTACAGATGGCTACACATGGCAATGTACAGATGGCTACACATGGCAATGTACAGATGGCTACACATGGCAATGTACAGATGGCTACACATGGCAATGTACAGATGGCTATACATGGCAATGTAAAGATGGCTACACATGGCAATGTACAGATGGCTACACATGGCAATGTACAGATGGCTACACATGGCAATGTACAGATGGCTACACATGGCAATGTACAGATGGCTACACATGGCAATGTACAGATGGCTACACATGGCAATGTACAGATGGCTACACATGGCAATGTACAGATGGCTATACATGGCAATGTACAGATGGCTACACATGGCAATGTACAGATGGCTACACATGGCAATGTACAGATGGCTACACATGGCAATGTACAGATGGCTACACATGGCAATGTACAGATGGCTATACATGGCAATGTACAGATGGCTACACATGGCAATGTACAGATGGCTACACATGGCAATGTACAGATGGCTACACATGGCAATGTACAGATGGCTATACATGGCAATGTACAGATGGCTACACATGGCAATGTACAGATGGCTACACATGGCAATGTACAGATGGCTACACATGGCAATGTACAGATGGCTACACATGGCAATGTACAGATGGCTATACATGGCAATGTACAGATGGCTACACATGGCAATGTACAGATGGCTACACATGGCAATGTACAGATGGCTACACATGGCAATGTACAGATGGCTACACATGGCAATGTACAGATGGCTACACATGGCAATGTACAGATGGCTACACATGGCAATGTACAGATGGCTATACATGGCAATGTACAGATGGCTACACATGGCAATGTACAGATGGCTACACATGGCAATGTACAGATGGCTACACATGGCAATGTACAGATGGCTATACATGGCAATGTACAGATGGCTACACATGGCAATGTACAGATGGCTACACATGGCAATGTACAGATGGCTACACATGGCAATGTACAGATGGCTACACATGGCAATGTACAGATGGCTACACATGGCAATGTACAGATGGCTACACATGGCAATGTACAGATGGCTATACATGGCAATGTACAGATGGCTACACATGGCAATGTACAGATGGCTACACATGGCAATGTACAGATGGCTACACATGGCAATGTACAGATGGCTACACATGGCAATGTACAGATGGCTACACATGGAATCTGACTACAACAACAGTGCTAGTATCCACCATGCTAACTGTTTGACTGCATGCTACACGCCACACGGTAAAGATCAAACCTGACTTCATCGAGCACCCATCGGACACAGGCTTGTAGTGCGGTGTTTGAACGGTGCCCCTTGCACATTGCGTACACGAGGCGCCAAAGAACAGTGGTCTCATAAACCAGGTGATCATTGGACAACAGTACATGTACAGAACTTGCAAGAGTTTTTTTTCATTTCTTTACAACGACCACTTACTAGTAAATGGCAAACACGAGATGCATCTAGGGGAAGCACGCACAACATGAATTGTGTGTACTGTAACTGTGGATGGATAGCTGCAACGGCTGGTTTTCAGAACTACATCCTGTTCAAAAGGTAACTAGCTCTATGACTGTATGCATTCAGATGCGAGGCCGACCGCATACAATGCAGTGCTCTGCTGCATACATACAATCCGTCAATCGTAAAGTTTGATTACATTGCGACCATTATCAATGAACTACATGTTACAGTGCAACCGGCCACAATAACAGTGACCTTCTAATTGTAAAAAAAACCCGAAGCGGAAAGGTGGTTCTTGACCCACCCTGTACGAAAACCCGTACAGTTTTTTAAAAAGTTATAAGCAAACTTACGCCCTTGCTCTCCAGCCGGAACGGGTTTCCGAATAGTTGTGTCTTGCTCTCGCCAGATATACTGACATCAATATCACGCAGTGGGCTGATCCGCTTCAGGTGCTCCTGGTAATTGCCAGTCTGGGCAACTGGCAAGCTGTGGCGCTCCTCTACACAACACACACACAAACACACACATACATGCAGACACACACGCACACACACACACGCACACACACGCATGCACACACACGCACACACACACGCACACACACACGCAGACACACACAGACAGACAGACAGACAGACACACACACACACACGCAGACACACACATACACACACACACACTGCGAAATTCATGAACCAGTTTTCGGGCATTCTTTTCAAATGAAATACAAGCAACCAGAACCAATGAAACATAGGGATAAGTAGCATCACAAGGGAGGTAACCACTACAACTAGGTGATAAATTTAGCGAAGAATTTATGCACAAGGGGAGATAAGAAAAAGGGAAAGAGAGGAAGAGAAGGTGAGAAGTGAGACGAGAGGAACTAAAACACACACTGTGTAAAGACAAACACCAAATGGACACTACATTAACTAGTGGGGTCAGGGGTGTCAGTAAACAACTTGAGAGATGTTATTTTTCTCTTTTGTTTACATAAAGATGACTGGGTAGTGTAAATATAAATAGCTTCTAACACTTTCAGAAGCTGAAGCTATTTATATTATTTTACAATCAGTCATGCACACATACCTTCATCCTGCAGACGTGTCCTGGCGCCACTAGCGTTACACTGCATTGTGACATTCTTCCGCATTCGCGCCAACTGGTCGACCATACTTGAGCGAGATATATCGAAAGGATTGCGATACATCTGGAGACGGATTGGCTGCAGCAAACATAAAAAGCACGTGTGAAGCATGTACGATTGCACTATAGACAGTACTCCATAAAAATGCACAATACCAACCAAGGAATCCGAATAGACACTAGTATGTCTTCCAAAGCATGTAGCTCACGGTCACTCAACAGTTGATGCATACTGGCAAACAGTCCACAGCTGCAGGAGTATGCAACGCTGACCTCAGAGCTATGGGTGTGGTGCACTCTGCACTGCCGTTGGACAGTGGAGATATGGGTGTGGTGCACTCTGCACTGCCGTTGGACAGTGGAGATATGGGCGTGGTGCACTCTGCACTGCCGTTGGACAGTGGAGATATGGGCGTGGTGCACTCTGCACTGCCGTTGGACAGTGGAGATATGGGTGTGGTGCACTCTGCACTGCCGTTGGACAGTGGAGATATGGGTGTGGTGCACTCTGCACTGCCGTTGGACAGTGGAGATATGGGTGTGGTGCACTCTGCACTGCCGTTGGACAGTGGAGATATGGGTGTGGTGCACTCTGCACTGCCGTTGGACAGTGGAGATATGGGTGTGGTGCACTCTGCACTGCCGTTGGACAGTGGAGATATGGGTGTGGTGCACTCTGCACTGCCGTTGGACAGTGGAGATATGGGTGTGGTGCACTCTGCACTGCCGTTGGACAGTGGAGATATGGGTGTGGTGCACTCTGCACTGCCGTTGGACAGTGGAGATATGGGTGTGGTGCACTCTGCACTGCCGTTGGACAGTGGAGATATGGGTGTGGTGCACTCTGCACTGCCGTTGGACAGTGGAGATATGGGTGTGGTGCACTCTGCACTGCTGTTGGACAGTGGAGATATGGGTGTGGTGCACTCTGCACTGCCGTTGGACAGTGGAGATATGGGTGTGGTGCACTCTGCACTGCCGTTGGACAGTGGAGATATGGGTGTGGTGCACTCTGCACTGCCGTTGGACAGTGGAGATATGGGTGTGGTGCACTCTGCACTGCCGTTGGACAGTGGAGATATGGGTGTGGTGCACTCTGCACTGCTGTTGGACAGTGGAGATATGGGTGTGGTGCACTCTGCACTGCCGTTGGACAGTGGAGATATGGGTGTGGTGCACTCTGCACTGCCGTTGGACAGTGGAGATATGGGTGTGGTGCACTCTGCACTGCCGTTGGACAGTGGAGATATGGGTGTGGTGCACTCTGCACTGCCGTTGGACAGTGGAGATATGGGTGTGGTGCACTCTGCACTGCCGTTGGACAGTGGAGATATGGGTGTGGTGCACTCTGCACTGCCGTTGGACAGTGGAGATATGGGTGTGGTGCACTCTGCACTGCCGTTGGGCAGTGGAGATATGGGTGTGGTGCACTCTGCACTGCTGTTGGACAGTGGAGATATGGGTGTGGTGCACTCTGCACTGCCGTTGGGCAGTGGAGATATGGGTGTGGTGCACTCAGCACTGCCGTTGGACAGTGGAGATATGGGTGTGGTGCACTCTGCACTGCCGTTGGACAGTGGAGATATGGGTGTGGTGCACTCTGCACTGCCGTTGGACAGTGGAGATATGGGTGTGGTGCACTCTGCACTGCCGTTGGACAGTGGAGATATGGGTGTGGTGCACTCTGCACTGCCGTTGGACAGTGGAGATATGGGTGTGGTGCACTCTGCACTGCCGTTGGACAGTGGAGATATGGGTGTGGTGCACTCTGCACTGCCGTTGGACAGTGGAGATATGGGTGTGGTGCACTCTGCACTGCCGTTGGACAGTGGAGATATGGGTGTGGTGCACTCTGCACTGCCGTTGGACAGTGGAGATATGGGTGTGGTGCACTCTGCACTGCCGTTGGACAGTGGAGATATGGGTGTGGTGCACTCTGCACTGCCGTTGGACAGTGGAGATATTGTCATTCACATACAGTAGAATCGCTCGCCCAAGAACGTTGTTTCCAAGGGGTTAGCCTGGGACGTTCTTATTTTTCAGCAATCTGGCTGCGTTCTTAGAAACAGTGCGTACTGGATCATATCTATCCCAAGCTGCCAGAAACCCAACACCGCCGTTCTTAACTTTAGCTGTGACGTTCTTAGTATTTCAGGCTGGACGTTCTTGGGCTCCACGTTCTTCAGCGCGCGACTCTACTGTACCAAACTTTCCAAAGTCTCAGAGAATACCCGCTTCAAAGCTGGTGACTGCAGATCAAAGTAACAGTTACTGATACTATAGTCTGGCTGGTCTTGCAGTATCTAGTTCATGACTACAGTGTGTGGGCAATGGGCCGCGCCTGATGACACGTGCAAAGTAAGTGTCATACTTTGCTGCGGGTTGCGGACTCTTGGTAGCTGCACGAGTACATGCCATGGAGCGTGTGCAACTGCTCGCATATTCTCTTGGCAACATAGGGATTTCCCCCGTTTCACATTGGGGTAGTACTCCCAACCAGATGATGTCCACCGTAATACAGTTCAAGGTAACAGCATCTCTAGTGTAGCAAGTCTGGCCAGAGTATTGAAATGAGCTTCGTGCTGATCTAAAACACTTTGTTTTTCTTGAAAGCATACTAGTGAAAAACTTTCAAGATGATGTTGAAGAGCCTGAAGCGTGTCCCTTTCACATTCTCAGTGTTATTGCATTCTTGTATCCAAGAAAACTGTTCATTTCGTTCTTCACTAGACTTTGTTGCAATCCAGCCACTTTGAACTCCACTGAAGGGGAGACCTAATGAGGTTGAAGTAGCTAGCAGTGCAGAGATAGAGATAGAGATACCGTGATGCTATGATGACTATACTATGATACATGGTGATATGATGATTCTACTAAGTAGAATACATTACCTCTTTCAGAGGGTAAGGCGAGTTGGGCTCCCTACAGGCAGACAAGACAAAGACAGAAGTTCACAATGCTAGAGATGAGTGTGCCGTGGTTGTGCATCTAAAACCGAGCGCAGAAAGAGGTAATAATGCCACATGACTCTGCGTGCTAACAAACCAACAGGAAGCTGACTAAGTCAGGCGATAGTCTATGCCATCAAATACAAGCAAGCGCAGGTAAAGACTTGAACATGCCCAGAGTGCAAGGCAAGCAATACGGCAACAGACAGACAGGGCACCCTGCAATGAGCCACACAGAAACCCTACTCCGCACACTCACCCATTCTCCTTTGCACAGCGCTTGCCCAGCTGGTGACATACTCTGTCATACATCTCCTTACCCTGGAGTGGACCAAGGCAAACAACACACACACACACACACACACACACACACACACACACACACAAAATAGCAAATCCGTTGATTCCCGAGCTGCAGAGAGTGCTCAATGTCAGAGACAGAGCAAAGAACATAGCAAACTCAGCGGAGGACGTTCAGGTTGGTTGTAACTCGGAGTTTCATGCTG